TAATATGTGTTCCTATGAATAACGATCTCTAATATTTTTTTTTATTTATGGTTAAAGATCCATAATACTTTATAAATCATATTGGACTTATATTTCCACATTGAATAAAAATGAACATTTGCATACGATAACTTAGATGCTAACCAATATTTATCAATTTGAAATTGAATGTCTAACTTAGAAGTATGTTTGTTAAATTTGTAATAGAATAGTATGTATTACCCTTTTCAAACGATGTATTTAGTCAATGCATGTAATGTCAAGATTAAGTCATTTTTTTGTTAACTTTGTGACATAATACATATATTACCTTTTTCTAGGCCCACCTACAATCACTCAAAATGAGTGATTATCGATCTCTACCAGAATGTGAGGTTGTGACCAAAGGATTGTCCACCCTCTATTTTTTTATTTATAACAAAGCACAATGTAAACCTCCAAACAAGGTATTTTTCAAATTCATACATTTCATCAATGGATCAAATTACAATACACAAATTGATTAAATACTTCAATTTGGAGAATCCCAACCTCAAAACAACCCCTAAAACTCATTGATTAAATGTCAACGACGCAATTAAGAAATAAACAGTATCTTAATTACTATCTCATAAACCTATAAATTGAGACCACAAATATATTTTTTTTTTTTTGCATAAGGAGGAGGCACGAGGCCAAAGAAAAGAGAGCAGATTACAGGGGGGGATTGGCGGAAGGGGTGGACAAGGTGATTACTCTCCTAGGGAAGGAGACGCCTTTTTCATCATCCTGAAGCAGGGTGTTGAGCTCACTCGGCGGTACATCCAGCTCATACATGCCGTAGGGATAGACGAGACTGTGCTTCGAGAGCCAGTCCGCGACTCTATTCCCTTCCCGGTATGTATGAATTAGACTTACCACCCAATCCTGTGAAATCTTACGCCTGATAGCCGTTAGGAGGGTCGCATGAGGGTGAAGAGGATCCGTCCTATTGTTCACCAATTGCATAGCCAGTTTAGAATCTGTCTCCACAATGAGGGCCCTGCATCCGGTATTCCATGCCATTCCGAGACCATGATAAATAGCCCAAAGTTCCGCCATGGTAGCAGAACACTTTCCTAAGCCGGAAACGAAACCTCCCATCCAATTGCCTCTATTGTCTCTAAGAACTCCTCCTGCTCCTGCTACATCATTATCCTGCCTAGCAGCCCCATCAACATTCATCTTCAACCACCCCTCAGGGGGTGGCTTCCACCCGATCTGAACCTCAATGCGACTAGGGGGGAGTTTGGACTTACCCAGAATAAGACTCGGGGAGCACCACGCTCGATACCAAAGGTCGGCTTTGATCTTGATCGCTTGATGGAGGGACGGTGCCGACAGGGTCTTGTTCACCCCGTGGAAAACCCCCTCAACCCGGTTCTTCCAGATGCACCATAAGGAGATACAAAAGAAGGCATTCCATGGTATACCATCTGTAGACATCGCCTCATTAGTCACATTCTTCTTAAACCACATCGTCCAGCTGTCGCCAAAGAAATCTGCTTGGGCATCCCCAGGAATCGAGCGGTTCCAGAAGTAGGCAGCAGGAGGGCACTCCCTAAAAATGTGATTTAGGCTTTCTGTTTGAGACGGGCACTTGTAGCAGGACGCATCCTCCGTCAGATGTCGGCTCGCCCTTAGCTCATTTGAACTGATTTTACCCTGTGCAAGCAGCCAAACAAACACCCTCACACGCTCGGGAACTGGTAACTGCCAAATCTTCTTCCAAAATCCCTGATCAGTGGTAGTAAGTGCCGCCGGCTGTTGCATCAGGTAGGCACTTTTAGTCGTAAATCTGCCATTGGAACTTAGATGCCAGAACAAGGTATCTTCCTCCAACGCCAGGGGGTCCACAGCATGCGAGGTAATTTGCTGCTGAATCTCTGGAGGGAGAAGGTTGATGAACTTCTCAGTCTTCCAAACTCCCTCATCATCCACATAGTCCGCCACCATTGCAGTCCGATCCTCTTCTGGAATCCCGCCCGTTGTCAGCTCCTGAAGTGGTACCTGCGAAAGCCACACATCCATCCAAAACTTAGTCTGACTCCCTTTATGAATATTCTAGGCGCAACCCTTTTTTATTAGGTCTGCAGCCTTAATGAAGCTCGACCAGGTAAAGGAACTTCCCTGAATAGGCTTCAGAAGCTCCATGTTGCTCTGACCCCTCCCATACTTAGCCTCCACTAGTTGAACCCACAGCGTTTCCTTCTCCTTAATAATGCGCCAGTCTACCTTAGCCAACATTGCCAGATTCACCTGTCTAGTCGGTCTGATGCCCAACCCGCCCTCGCTCTTGGGTTGAACTAGCTGCGGCCATCCAACCAGGTGAAGTTTCTTCTTTTCATCCGTGTCTCCCCAAATAAAACTTCTGTTCATCCGATCAAGAGACCTGCAAACATTCAAAGGATGGAGCTCCGTTTGCATAGGATAAATGGGGATGGAGGACGAGATGGATTTCACCAGCGTAATCCTAGCTGCCATGGAGAGATGCTTAGTCTTCCATGGGGCCAGCTTCTTCTGAATTCGGAGCATGATATCACGATATCGGGTCCTGGTAACACGACCATGAATTGCCATTACTCCAAGATAGCGCCCTAAATCAACAGTGAGTGGAATCTCAGCCTGGTGAGCCAATCTCCTTGCTACTCGTCTGTCGATGTTAGCTGACACGAAGACGGCTGGCTTGTTGTAATTCACTCTTTGCCCCGAACTGTCACAGAAATCATCCAAACATTGTTTGGTGACTCGAACCTGAGCACCTTCAGCTTCTGCAAAAAGAATAAGATCATCTGCAAAGAAAAGGTGAGACAGTTTAGGCCCTTCTTTGGATAATTGCAGGGGTTTCCACAATTTTTCATGAATAGCCTGATCAATCCTGTGAGAGAGTCTCTCCATGCACAGAACAAAAAGATAGGGTGAGAGGGGGTCTCCCTGGCGAACTCCTCTGGAAGGGGTTATCGGGTCTGAGAGCTCTCCATTCCACAACACGCGCATCCTGTTATTCTCCACGCAAAACATGATGCAGCTTATCCAGGAACTAGGCAGACCAATCTCCTTAAGCGTGTCCCGAATGAAGTCCCAGCGGAGTCTATCATAGGCTTTCTCAAGATCAATTTTCATAACCATCCCCCCTTTCTTTCCTTTCTTCTTTCTGAGAGAGTGCAGAACTTCCTGCAAAACAATGATGTTGTCAGTAGTCTGCCTTCCTGGTATGAAACTGCTTTGGCGAGGGGAGACCAGCTTCCGCATGATAGGCTTGAGACGGTTGGTGATGGCTTTCGTGATGGCTTTGAGGCACACGTTGTTGAGCGAGATAGGTCTCAGGTGGGTGACCATCTCAGGATGCTCCACTTTGGGGATAAGGACCACCGTCGACTCCACGACCTTCTCTGGTAGCACACCTGTAGAGAAAAAACTGAGAGCCAAGTCAATAAGTGCTTTTCCAACGACCTGCCAAGCTCTTTGATAGAAAATATCCTGGAAACCATCCGGGCCTGGGGCCTGGAAAGGCTTCATATCCTGAACAGCTCTATAGATATCCTCGTCCGTGAAGGGGCGGAAAAGGAGAAGGAGATCTTCATGCTCAAGTCTTGGAAAGGCCTGCTTAGGCATCACATCGGCATAGCTCTGGCAGTCCTGCAAATACAACAGAGAGAAGAAATAAAAAACTAGGGCCGCCAACTCTTTAGGGTCCGAGATCCACTGTCCATTGCTATCCCTCAAGCTCTCAATCTTGTTCCTTCTTCTGCGGATAATAGCTTGCTGATGGAAATAGGCCGTGTTTCGCTCTCCAAATTTCACCCATTGCTCTCTAGCTCGCTGAAACCAGAGGATCTCTTCCTACTCCAAAACTCTCTCCAGCTCCTTCTCAAGCTTAGCCTGGAGCTTAAAGAGACCTGGGGAGAAATTGTCAGCAACTTTAGTTTGAATTCCCTGGATGCGGCTCAACAACCGTCTCTTCTTGTGAAAAACATTGCCAAAGGTTGACTGATTCCACTGAGTCAGCTTCTGTGCCACGTCCTGAAGACCCTCTGGAAGCGGAACCCGCGAATTCCAAATATCACCAAGCAAAACATCAAAATTCTCATGAGCAAGCCAGGAAGCTTCAAAGCGAAAGGGGCGTGACTGGGAAGGGTGAACTCCCTGATTTCCAACCACTGTCAAGATCGGATGATGATCAGAATTCAGGCGCGGAAGATGATTAACAGCGGTATCAGGGAAGGTTGTATTCCAAGTGGCATTGCACATGCTTCTGTCAATACGGCTAGCTTTATAAGAGTTCGGAGGCTCCCCTCTAGTCCAGGTGAAGCGGGGACCAGAATACCCCAAGTCAATGAGCTCTACTTGGTTAACTCTGCTACTGAAACGGTTGCAGCGCCTAAACACAGAGGCCGTTGCTTGCCCTGATTGCTCAGATGGAAGGCGGATAGCGTTGAAGTCGCCCGTTAAAAGCCAAGGTAGCTCGTTCTCTTCCCCTGTCCGAAAGATAGCCTCCCACAAATACTTTTGCAGACTTTGTCTGGGACTAGCATAGACCGCCGTCATCAACCAGGGAGAGAAGGAGCTTCGAGTGATCTTCACTGTCAGGTGCTGAAAGCAAGCCGAAAACAGCTCAACTGAGTACAACCCGGCATCCCAACACAGCCAAATGCCTCCTTTTCTTCCTTCTGCTTCGACTCTCATAACATTTGGGAAGCCGAGCTTGCCGCAAATCCTATCTGCCACCTCTCCGCTAATCTGCGGTTCCAGAAGAATCAAGAAGTCAGGCTTATGACACTGCACAATAAACTTAATACCCCTAGAGAAGGCTGTGCTACCAGCCCCCCCCCCCCCCCCCCCCCCCCCCCCCAACATTCCACGACATGATTTTGAAACTCTGCATATTAGGCATAGACATATTAGGCATAGATATAGAAACAAAAACAGAAAGGGGAGGGAAAAAGAAGAAGAAGCGGGCAAGCAGAGGCAAGCTTCGAGGGTTAAGGCATCGCTGGGGCCTCGGCCACCATGCTTTCTCCCTGTGAAGTCTCGCTGTGCATCTCCCGCGTGCTTGGCTCCGTCTTGGCCGGTCCAGCAGGGTCGATTGATCCGCCTGAAGCTTTAATCGCCGCCTCCTGTGTGTCCGCACTCGCCGTCGAAGATGACTTCGCTGCTCCCGTCCAAGCCGCTATTTCTTGTAAAGTGAGCGAAGCCAAACGAGTCCTCGTCTTATTCTTCTTTTCCTTTATCGGAGACCATATCTGGAGCGCCTTAGCAGCTACCGGCACCTGGGATTTCTGCGGAGAGGTTGATTTTTTCTTCTTCCGAAGTTGCTGGTTCTTCGTTCGGGTCGCCGTCGAGGGGGTATCCGAGACAGTTTCTTGGGCCTTTGTCATGTCATATTGATGAACCTTCACTATCAGAATAGAGGTCCCGTTTGGGCCCAAGCCCACAAGAACTTTCGGAGGTCTGGATGTAGAGGGTTTATCTTTATTGGTTTCAATTAAAGGGTCACTAACCGACGGGGCCGCTCCCTTCCTACCCGGTTCCGCCTCTTTCTTTCGCCTAACCTGCTTCTCCTCTCCAGTGGGCCCATTTTTAGCCACGGGCTTCGTGTGAGGGATTGGGCCAAGAACCCCCTTCCCCCCTGTGTTCATCTCAACTACCTCAGACCCCTCTTTCTCCTTTCCTCGCGATTTCCTTGCCGCTGTGTTCCTCACTTTCTCAGACACTGTCTGCTTATCCAAATCCTCCCGTTGAGAGGAACTTTCCTTTGCTGGCCCTTTGCTTCCCGTTGTAATTTCCATATCCTTAGGGTTGCTCCTTCCTTTTCCGTTCTTTCCATTAGTGACCTGTTCTCCTTGATTCTGGCGGGAGCTTCCTTTATCAGAGTTCCGATTTCCACGCCGTGAACGCCGAGTAACTTGCATCCAAGGACCAAAACCTTCCTTTTCCTCCAGATTCGTCGCCGATTGCACCTCCGCCGGTTTCTGGTTCAGGCTAGGGCAGGGGGGCGACGTATGCCCAACACGCCCACACTCAAAGCATACTGTCGGTAAATTCTCGTATTCAATATACTGCCATTGATCATCCAGTCGAATTCGTGTCACCAGGGGCCTGGACAGGTCAAGCTCTATTGCCAACCTAGCGAACTTGGCCCGTTGTTGATGCTGTGTGTGGTAATCTAGTTTAATCGCTCTTCCAATCATGTTCCCTAGAGAAAAAAGGACCTCTTTGTGATAGAAATGTACCGAGAGTGCCGGGAACTGAACCCAGACCACCATCGTTTTTGGCATAGCATCCGACAGACAAAACGCTGGATTCCATTGGAAAACCACCAAGTAATGGTCAAAGATGACCCATGGACCTTCCGTTAGAGCTCGGAAGTAGTCTGAGTCATTGCTGAGCTTGACAAGAAAGCACTCTTGTCCCAGTGCCATGATCTCCATCGGCCCTGTAGGGCGCCATAGAGCCTTGATCTTGTTGCCAAAAGTAATGTAAGAGAGGTTTAGACCCATTGTCCTGACCACCAGAGATCGCTGCCACGGGACACAGAACTTCTCTTTGAAGCCTTTGGAGATCTTGAGCTCTGGTTCCCCGTTGAACGTTCCTGGGATAATATCATGTTCGCCCACCGGAGTCCACGAGAGTAAGGCTTTATTGGCTTCCGAGCTCTGTCCCATTACAATGTTCGCGTAGGAAGCTGGGGAAGGAGAGCGGAGCCCGTCCCTGTTCCGGCCGGCGCTGGCGTATCAATACACATATTTGCGTCGCTCATGCTCCTCGTTGCGCTGTTGGGGTCCGCTATGGCCTCCGGTAGAACCAATCTGGCCTTCTCACTACCACTTGGGGTAGGTTGCTGAACGTCCGGCGGCCTTTCCGTGGGGATGGAAATAGTCGCCGGAGGGTGAGTCAAAGAAAACATTCAGAGAGAAATTTTTCCTTCCGTCCCAATTAATTAACCTCGAGACCACAAATATATTCTTCTCAATGAATTGTAAAGATAAAAAGGATTTAAATTACCGGGACTGACTTATTTGCAATTAATTAGTGTCGTTTTTTGTTTTCTTTAGAAAAATAATCTGTCATAATTCATAACTAATGCATAAAATGCGGGAATTATAAAAAGTAAATTTGCTTTCAAAGGCACACGCGCCAGGCGTGTAAACGAAAACCAAAATAAATAATGGTGAGTGTTAATACGGGGAAAAGATTTAGCATACATCAAAGCGGAAAGAGTAGAAAGTAGAAACCCAAAAGAAGAAAACGAAGGATTGAATAACGCGCCGAGTCGAAACGAGGCAAAGCAGAAGCTGCGGAAGCGAGTGAAGGAGAAAAGCGAGTGGCAACATTCCCATTAGATCTGGAAAAAAACCCTAATTTTTTCTCAGTCCCTTCTCTCTAACGCGCTCTGTGTCCCTCACTCGCCTCTTTGCGGTTCGCTGCTTTTATTTCGCGCGGATTCCTCTCTCCGAAGAATTACTTTGAGGTTCCTTTCTCTAATCCAACCTCCTTCTCTCTCTCTCTCTCTCTCTCTTCTCAAGCTTCTGGTTTCCTTTTCTGGTTTTTCTATTTGGTTGCTGGTAAAATGGTGAACGAGAAGTGGCCACCTTGCTTTGATCGGAGTCGTAGTGTATACCTGTTGCATTATGATACTGACATAATGATACACGGGGGTCTCGATTAAGTGACCGAATTTCCCCCTTTTTCTTCGAATCCTTTGGAGAATGGAGGAAAAAACTGAAATCTGAAAAGCTTGGCCGAGCTGCGTGTATGGAATACTTGTAAAGATGTAATTCCGGAGGTGTCAGTTTCAGCTTTAGCTGAAAGGGGCAGGTATAGGTAGAAACTAGGAAGTAATGATCTTTTCACGTGCATTTTAGATGAGCTGCCTGGATCATGTTTGGTACTGGTAGCTGCTTAAGGTGATTGTTCATGTAATGTGTTGCTATGATGATCGCTTTACTGTAAGTTTCTCGGTTTGGGTTTGGTTTCGACCTTGTGATGGTGTGAGTTGTGCTGGGTTCACTTGATTATGTGTCCTGTTCGTATTCACTTCATACTTATGTTCAGGTGTCTGACTAGTAGCAACATGATAAGTGAAAACATTTCTGTCGACTAAGCTTGAACCTGTGGCAACTGATTTCAGTTACCATGATGTAAGGATCTTTAGTGGTATAATACCAAGGGATTTGCTACTTCGACTCTGATGCTATCTCTATTGACCCTTTTCAGGTGATATAACCGAGGCATTTGCTATAGTTCCTTGTTAATTCATCCCATGGATATTGATCTGAGGTTGCCTTCAGGTGGGCATGATAAGGTAGATGATGAAACAAATGGAATTGATCATATGTTAAATGAAGACAAGCTGCATAGTTCAGAGGCAGAGACTCTAACCATGGTTAATGTTTCAGAAGATGTACATGCTACAGAAGGTGGAAATGTAAATTCCCCAATGAGAGCCATTGAAACCAAAGAAGGAACAAATCTTGAACCGCTTTCTGGCATGGAATTTGAATCGCACAGTTCAGCATATGCGTTTTATCAGGAATATGCCCGTTCCATGGGGTTCAATACTGCCATACAGAACAGTCGTCGATCAAAGACATCTCGGGAATTTATTGATGCAAAATTTGCCTGTTCTAGGTATGGAACGAAGAGAGAGTATGAGAAGTCTTGTAACAAACCACGCTCTAGGCAGGATAAGCAGGAACCTGAAAATGGAACCAGCAGAAGATCATGCTCCAAGACCGAGCAAGCATGCATGTTAAGAGAAGGCCTGATGGAAAGTGGGTCATCCATAGTTTCGTGAAGGAGCACAACCATGATCTCTTACCTGCCCAGGCTGTGAGTGAACAGACAAGAAATATGTACGCTGCAATGGCTAGGCAATTTGCTGAATACAAGAATGTTGTTTGCCTCAAGAATGACACCAAGAGCCCATTTGACAAATCTCGATCTTCGGTACTAGAAGCTGGAGATGCTAAATTTTTGCTTGATTTCTTCACACAAATGCAGAGTTTAAATTCCAACTTCTTTTATGCGGTAGACATAGGTGAAGATCTACGTCTGAAGAACTTGCTTTGGGTCAATGCCAAAGGTAGGCATGACTATGTCAATTTCTGTGATGTTGTCTCCTTGGATACCACCTACATAAGAAACAAATATAAGATACCTCTTGTTCTCTTTGTTGGAGTGAACCAACACTATCAATTCTTGCTGCTTGGATGTGCTCTGATATCAGATGAGAGCTCAGCAACATATTCCTGGCTTATCCAAAACTGGCTTAGAGCAATGGGTGGGCGGGCGCCTACTGTTATCATCACTGACCAGGACAAAACATTGAACTCGATTATTCCGCATGCCCTTCCTGGTGCTCGTCATTGCTTTTCTTTGTGGAGCATTTTCGGGAAGGTTTCTGAGAACTTGGGTGATGTGATTAAACAGCATGACAACTTCATTAAAAAATTCGAAAAATGTGTCTTCAGGTCATGGACAGAGGCAGACTTCATCAAGAGGTGGTGGAAACTCCTTGATAGATATGAGCTCCAAGGGAATGAGTGGATGCAACCATTATATGAAGATCATGAGAAATGGGTGCCATTGTATTTGAAGGGTGCCAATTTAGGTGGAATGTCCACAGTTCAGAGATCTGACAGCGTGAACTCGTACTTTGACAAGTTTGTGCACAAGAAGAGCACTGTGCAAGAGTTTGTGAAACAGTACGAAGGAGTTTTAATGGAAAGGTACGAGGAAGAAGCCAAAGCAGAATCTGATACATGGAACAAGCACCCCGCTCTGAAATCCCCTTCCCCATTGGAGAAGAGTGTTTCAGGGTTGTACACTCTTGCTGTCTTCAAGAAGTTTCAAGTTGAAGTGTTGGGCGTAGTTGCTTGCCATCCTAAACTGGAGAGTGAAGATGAAACTAGTGTCATTTTTCGAGTTCAAGATTTGGAGAAGCAGCAAGATTTTTCTGTCATGTGGAACCAATTGAGAGCAGAAGTTTCTTGTATTTGTCGACTACATGAATATAAGGGTTATCTGTGTAGGCATGCATTGGTTGTTTTGCAGATGTGTCAGCAATCTGCTGTCCCATCTCGTTATATATTAAAACGATGGACCAAAGAGGCAAAGAGCAGGCATCTTAGTATGGGTGAAGAAGAATCTGAGCAACTACAGTCTAGGATGCAAAGGTACAATGACTTGTGTCAGAGAGCAATGAAACTGAGTGAGGAAGGGTCATTTTCACAAGAGAGTCATAACATCGCCCTTCGTGCTGTTGAAGAAGCTTTTGGAAATTGCTTAAGTGTCAACAATTCTAGCAAGAGTGTCCCGGATGCAGTTACATCAACTGCACATGGTCTTCTCTGCACGGAAGATGATAACCAAAGTAGGAGCATGAACAAGACTAATAAGAAAAAGAACCCTACTAAAAAAAGAAAGGTGGTTACTAATGGTCATTGTCATTTGTTTCTCTATACAAGTTGTCTTTGTCCGATGTTTAACATGATGTGGTCTGCAGGCTGGGTTGGAGCCGGAGATAACAACAGTTGGGATAGAAGACAGCATGATGGTGCAATTCGTGTTCTGAACAACCTCCCCCTGAAACATACACAATTTAATAGTTTACTTTGTTTTGCTATACATGCACAACTGATATTCTTTATTGCAGGAAAAGTTGAACTCTAGAGCTGTATCACTGGATGGCTTTTATGGGTCACAACAGCCTGTGCCAGGGATGGTATGATATGGCTTTGAATTTGGTTTTGATCTTTAACATCAACGTCCATGCTATTCCTTACACAGAAAATTATTTTCTATATAGGTTCATAACTTCATGGAACGTTATTATCAGCCGAGCATACAAGGCCAGGTATGTCACGGAAAGCAAACCTATCAAACAATATCCTGTTCTGACAAGGATTCAAATCTGAATAACTTAGCCAACAAGAGAGCCATTTGCCTTTTATTTTGGTAGTTGAAACGATTTCTAAGTTTCCAAATTAGAGCTTTTGGGATAATGGATTAAGGAAGGGAATGATCTTAGTATCTTGGTCTTAGTTTAGGACTAAACCCTTAGTTGAGGAGAGGGATAAAGTGTGATCTGGTGGACTTTTGCAGGGACAAATGAACTCACTACCAGCGCAAACCCATGATGGTTATTTCAGCTCCCAGCAAGGCCTTCCTCATCCTCTGGTAAAATTACCATCAATCTCTGCTCTATGCAATAATGTCCGCTCTCTTATTGGATCGTCAAAGCTGGTGGATTTTTTGTCGATTGCAGGGGGTGGATTTCCTCAACAGAACTATTGGTTATTCTTTCGGAATCCGGGTATAGTTCTGCTATCTCAGCAAAACATTTTTCCGTTAGTGATTCACGCCGTTTGTCGCTTTGCAATGTCGTTCTTTACTAATTTGAGGGTTATTCTTCTTTCTGGGATTGATTACAGCAGGATGATTCTAATGTGAGAACATCGCAACTACATGATGATGCATCCAGACATGTGTAGACACAAAAAAGACAGAGAAGCTGAATACGAATGGCGCGAGAACATAAGTCTGTAGATTTCTAGACCAGAGGGTGTCCAATGATGGTGTTTCTGTTCATGCCGTCTGCCAGGATAAGATGATTTAGAGTTATAACATGTATCTTCTGCACATGTAGCAGTCTCTTATTTTGTAGTGCTACTAGGATCCCCCCCTAGTGCGAGCTGAATCTTTGTTTATCTCTAATCTTAGTTGTAAAGCTTGTTTGTAATGTTGTATCCTGAATTCCTTTCCTGATTATTACGTTAGTGGAAATCATTGAATGTGGTAAAGTAGATGTTGTACTTGCATTTGCCTCAATTTTTTCTAGTAGTGTCAAAAGAGCTCTCTGCGAATTGTGTTGTAAATATAAAGTCTTTCTTCTAATGCGACATAAATTCTCGACAGTTGAATTCTTCTTTAGAGGAAGATAAATCGTTTTTGAAGATTCTCAACTTGCAAAATAGTCTTTGCACCGTTATTCTCTCCATAGAACTGGATATTGATCGTCTGACATAAAACAATATTTCTTACTAGTTTTTTTAGTTTTTACCCGTTTTTGCCATTTTATGACCATTCAACAAAGTTATGACTATTGGGTGAGAAAAAAAGTTTAGTATGCATATCTCCGTATGTGAGTCTTCGTATATCTTATATTTATACTATAAGAGTTGTATACATATTATTTTAAAACACGACTTTATGATAAATTTTGTTAAATTACAAAAATTTAGTAAATTTTCCCATGTTTTTCTTATTCTCGACAGCTGCGATCCAATTGACAATTATCACCTCTACCACCACCCCACAGTGATGGCAACAAGTCCCATTTGGTGAGCAAACATTGTATATTCATTATCATACTCAAAATAGTTCAGGGTTTATACATATCTATACCCATACATGAATCAGGTAGAATATCAAAATCATATCCTTACCCGATCGAGTTTCGGGTATCCAAGATTATTCATAAATAATAATTCCTCATTATAACTTTATCCAACATGTTAAATACGAATACTATATGATTGAAAAGGTACAACAATAAATTACTAAAATAAAATTTTTGTGAAGATGTTATATACGTATAATAAATATAAAATATGTTAAGAAAAATAATGATAATTAATTAAATAAAATACATATAAATGTGTAAATGGGTGTATTTACATTGAACCATACTCACTCATTATTCTTAATATTCATATTCTAATTTTATCCATACCAATTAAAAAATGGTATCATCCCCACCAAGCCCAACCCGACTCACGTGGGTGCATAATCAAAAGGTTATGCACCCTTTCATAATTAAATGTGTACCTTTCTTTTTTAGTGGGCACAGAAAATTCGGATCTAAGAGCGGGGAATTAAATACATTTTATTTTTCTAGCTTTTTTAATCGGCTCTTATTTTCTTCGTTCCAACTCGTTTTTTTTTTTTTTTGCATAGATGAAACGAGTTTGTTGTGCTCTACAAAATGAGATCCATTTTCAATATTTTTTGAGAAAAAAGTTCATATCTCTCGTTACCAACCCCCATATCATATGGTATTTGCTTCATTTTTAAGTCTTACTGAAAATTTTACACAGGAGGAACGAGTTCATCATGATTTATTGGATCTAAAAATTTTTAGGTAAAGAAATTAGAGGATAAAAAAACTCCACACAATACCACCCTAAGGGTAGTATCTTGTGGTACACAATGTTGAAAGTCATAAATAACAGTTAGTATACTCCTACTATCATGTATTCAATCATCATACATTCGTGATATGTTCATCCCACCATGGTACACTGTTTATACCATACAGTATGCTCTTATTTTGATAACAATCAATACCACCATGGTATAGACTAGTACAAAATGCCACAATTTTTTGTTTAAAAAATACATCAAAGTGGATATCGTTTTGAAGAGCACAACTAATATGATATATCTGTGACAAAAATTAATATTCCAACTTAAAACGAGAGAGAAATCCTCCATTAAATATTAAAGAAGAAAATATTAAAGAATTTTTGAGTAGAGAGATGAATGCTGATGCCAGATTCTAGTTGGGTTACTCATAGTTACTAACCATAAATTTACTTATGGGATCCGCTTCGGCCAACCCATATTATCATCCCCGCCTACTACTAAAATGGTATTTTCCAAATTATTATTAATAATAAAATCATGTGAGGTGGAGCATGCATTGGGAGGCGCTCTTTTGGAGGAAATTCAACAATTTTTTTTTTAATATTTTGCTTGTACTTTTACTTTGCGTCGGTTTAATAGGCCAATCCAAACCCATTCAATGACAAATTACAACCTCTTATCGACAGTTTAACTATTTATCAACTAATTATGCAATGTGATATAAGCTACCTTGTATCACTCTCCTTGAAAAAAAAAAAACAATAATCAAAACATACCTGCGCAAGTGCAAGTCTAAGGGTGTTCAAACGGATTGATTACCGTGGTAACCATATTAACCGGTAGCATTCGGTTAATTTGGATAATTGGTTTGGTTTGGTTAAACAATTTAGCTTATTTTGTTTGGTTTCAACATTGCTAACCAATGAAACCAATTAACCAATTAATGATACACGTAATATACAAAATTATTTATACTTCCATGCAACCAACCAAACCAAACTTTCGTGATTCCCCATTTTATTTCCATGTGCACAACAAACCAAAGCATTATGGGTCGAAAATTAAATAGGACTGCTTATTTACTAAACTAAAATATTTTGGACAACTACTAGATTTTAGGACTACGTACAGTACCATGACAACAATCTCAAACTATGTATAGGTTAAGTGTTTTGTAGGAGAGCTTTAACTTCATGATGAGTGGTATTGGTATGTATTTAATATTTATGTTAAGCGTTTGTTGTAAGCTAACTATATTAGGTGAAGAGATGATGAATGATGTATTAACTCGAATGATGATGATAATCATGGATGGTTAGTCTTATTATTATTGCTTATATATAACGATAGTTTATGATAGTAATAACATATGATTATCTTTTATTCATTAACAAGATAATTGTTTTCATGTAATGTTATGTTATTTGGTTTCATTGGTTTTCATGTGATAAAATTTAGGTTTAATTGGTTTGGTTATTACCACGGTAACCATATGAACAACCTAAGCGCAACAAAAGGAAATATAAAAATGGGAAATAAAGTAACAAAAAAGAAAGAAGATTTTATTCGTCCTTGACTCCTTTCACAACGACTTCGTTCAGCTAATTATTAAAAAAAATCAATAAAGTTACCGCTAGGGCTCATCACTCTGCCCTCGCCGGAACCAGACCACCCGGCTGGCACTACAGCCACCGCTGTCGCTCTCTCTTCCTGTTCTCTGGCCTTCAATCTCAAGTATCCCTCTCTCTCTTTCTCTGTCCATGCTTTATTCGTAGTTCTTTTCGAAACATCTCTGTGTATGTGTGGAATTGCCAAAGAGTCTAAGTTCAACGTTTTCTGAACCCGGTATCTTTGGCGATTGATTACCGAATTTCCGTCACATGCAGGTAGAGTTGATTAGCGTCCATCTCCGTGAAAATTTAAACTCGCAATCTCTGTTCTCCAGGCGGAATTCTGAGTTTTCCGTGACAGAGAAATGATGAAGTCCGGCAACGGCAAGTCTCACGCCGAAGAGGAAGATGACGGTGACGATTATGATTCCCCTTCCTCCAGAGGTACTTATTGCGCGTGCTTTGTTTCCTGAGATGCGTTTTCACGTTTCCTCATTTCAGCTTCTCCGTCCTTTCTGTTGTTTCGTGATTGCGACTTATAGGTGAAATGACGAAAGATGATGGCAAGAGCAGTGACCAGAAGGGAAAGACCCACAGGTCGAAGCATTCCGAGACCGAACAACGGAGGAGGAGCAAGATTAATGAGAGGTCTGCCTCAATCTTTATTTGTTCGCTGTTAAAACTTAAAAGTGGGCGAATTCGTTTACTGCTTCAATTGCCATGGCCGTGGCGCCAAAGAAGGACTCTTGAACTTGTTGATCCTGTAGTTTAAGTTTGAATGATCGTTTGTATATAGAAAAGAGTATGAAGTCTTCTAGGGGAAGGTTTGAATTCTTGTTTTTAAGTCAATGAGTGTTGAAATGCATTAACTTTTGACCGTGTTAACACTTAACAAATGCAAGGTCTTTGATCCATTGTTGTGTTTCTTAGTTCAGAATCCTCGTTGACTTTGAAAATATGAGAGTTTGGGGTTGAGATGGTCAAGTGTCTAACCCAATGTTGAATATGTTTGGATAAGACAATCGTGATTCGAAGGTGGGATAATCCCAAGCTGTCTATCTGTTTAATATTAGTTGAGTCGTAACCCTCATGTGAAAATATAATGTAAAAGTCTTGGTTGGAGTAGAACTGCTTGCTTCATTTCTGCTGTGAGAATTATGTCGCATGCTCTTCTGAATATGTGTAGGTCATATTTGTCATTCATCTTACTTGGAATTAAATTCAGGTTTAAATCTTACATATGCTTATTCGTCTAATCCAGTTTTGTTGCGATGACTTATGAATTGAGGCTTTGCGTCAGCTTCCTTTGTGTTTCCTGTATCTTCCTTTTGATTTTCTGACTTTCTGGCATGTTTCTTGAAGTTGTTTGTGTTTCTTATTCTTGATTTTCAATAGCAACGAGAAGATCGCGGCAAATGAGGAAATCGTTAAAGTTCAGCTCTGTCGGTTTCTTCTTGATTTCTTATCTGATCTTTCGAGCACAATCTTGAGTGTTTATGTTACTGGGCTATTTCATGCTAGCATTGGTCCGAGTTCTGTATTGATGATGCTGTAGGAATTTGAGATTTTATTATTTCTTCTTTTTTGTACAGTCACTTATTTGGTTTTCAAATTCAGTGAAACTTTGATGCTATCCTCCTCCAGTGAAGTGTTTAAATAGTGCAGTTTAGGGTTGATTTATTAACTTAGTGCTACTCTGCATTGCATTGCCAGTTCAATTTCTTTGGATTATTTAATTACTAAATACTGTTGCTTATTACCAACCGTTTTATGAGACAGGTTTCAAGTTCTAAGGGAACTTATACCACAGAATGATCAGAAAAGAGACAAGGCTTCTTTCTTGTTAGAGGTGCACATAATAGTCCTACTCATATATATATATTTTGGTAAAAGACAGACACCAAAGGCGACCTACTCATTTTGGCTGTTGCTGATATGACAATATTTTCTTAACTGAACATTTCTCTATTCATTACCAGGTTATAGGCTACATACAGTTTTTACAGGAAAGATTGCATAGGTATGAGGGATCATACAATGGCTCGAGTCAAGTGCCAACCAAATTGACCCCATGGGTAAAAGTTCTAGTATATTACAATTATATGCCTTGCTGCTTCTAAGATGTTTTCCTTCTCTCATTGAGTTGGCATTGATACTTTTGTCTTCCCTTGTTTTGTATAAATTCATCTAGCGTCCCATAGATGGTGCTAAAAGACTATGGTGCACTTAATAGATCAGGCAGAGAAAATAGTATAATATGCAACTGTAGATCACTGTCACCTAAATTGTATTTTCTTCTACCAGACATTTATGTATGCAAATTTGTTGTCATTATTGCTTTCTTTGGTTTCTTGAAAGGAGTATTCTGATTGGCTTTGTTCCCCCCAAATCAGAAAAACCATCTGCCTTCGGAAACTCTAGTGGACCACTCTCAAGTTCTGAAGATTGGTTCTGCTCATGAAAGTACTCTAGCACTAGCCAATGCCCGAAGTTCTATGGAATTTGACTTGGAAGCTTCTACAATATGCAAAGCATTGAACCATGCCCCTGGAACTCCACCAGTTCAATATAACTTGCTTCCAGACTCGAGTATGCTTGGTGCCATTCGAGGGCTAAATGGCATGTCTACACCATGTTTGCAAGATTCTACTTCAGACGCTGAAAACATGGCCCATCAGATTCAGTCTGAACTTTGGCATGGTCAACCATTTGTTACAGAGTGTACAGCACCTAGCATTGTACTGAATGGTCAACAGCTGACAAGGGAAGGTGGGACTGCTAGCGTCTCAGATGTTTATTCCCAAGGGTGAGTATGTGCTCTTGTGCTAAATCCATGGGAAGGTTGTATATGCATGGCTGCATTTCAGCTATGGTATTAATCGTCAGAAGCATTGAATTATTGGTGGTGGAAAGCAATGTGGTGCCTTATTATCGCTGCGACCTGATAATGCATGCTTACTGGGCTTGTTGGTGGCTAGTGTGATGTGTCAAGTTAAAGTCTGCATAAAACTTCACATTAAGAATGAAAAAGGGATCCTGTTCAGATTTTAGAGAAACGTATGATCCAAATAGGGCTGTTGATTATCTGTTCGACGCCCTGATCTTTCGGCGTCAGAACGTTTTTGAGTGAATTAATAATCATAAAAGCTATGTTTTGTTTATGAATTTGATTGACTGACGTTCGCATTCCAGGGTGCTGAGCAGTCTGTCCCAGGCACTGCAGTCATCTGGTGTGGATTTATCACAGACAAGCATCTCAGTGCAGATTAATGTCGACAAAAGCGCGAACCATGGACCAACTGCTTTGGGCCTATCTCCTCCAAAGGTTTTCTTTTTGTTTCATCCCCTCTTAGCTTTAGCTTGGTGGATACTGGTTACTTCTTTAGCTCATACTACTTCCCTAATTCCCCAGGTTGATGAAGAAGCCCAATATTTGAACAACCAAGTGATGGAGGAACAAAGCCCTGGAGACGAGTCTGATCAACATAGCTGTAAGAGACTTAGAACAGAAAATTGCTAATGTGTTATGTTTAATTTTTATTCCCCATATGGTCTAATATGGCCGTCGTGGAATGACAAGCTGTGATTTATTTTTCCCGGCGGAACATTGCTCATACCGTGATTCCAAGCCCATCTTCTGTGCATAATGTTTATTGTCCGAGAGGAGGAAGTCTGTATATTCGTGTATTTAATACCTGCTTGTAGTGATTTTCTGGTAGTTCCAGCATGAGCTTAAGTGTGGGCTTTCGAATTGTGCCAACACTGAGTGCTATGGTGCGATGGTAAGTCTCGAGGATGCGGCTTCTCCATCTCTGGCTGATGAGCAATCAGCATCGAGTTCGTCGTTGCTCTCAGTTATTGCTCAGATCACCAGACTTTGCAGCATCGGGTACTCTTTCTGGTTGTTCTTGATTCACGCCGGGCATGTATACAAGTGATGGCTAGCCATGTATACATGTGTTGTCGATGTTTGTCAGTACTCTTTTCTTCCCCAAGACTTAGTAGAGCAATATTAGGTCGCCATAATGTTCTGTGAAGCCGTTCTTTGGATATGCTGCTGCTCAAACATGGTGGTGTGGAGCTTTTCCTCTATTCATGCATTGAGGGCCAATGGATAACCGTTGCTATGGTTGTCTATTTTGAGGAAAACTCACATTCTCTCTTTCTTAATTGATAAAATCTTCATCAACTTGTGTGGTAAAGCTCAAATTACGCGGCAAAGCTATTCAATCTATTTGAACTCATCATGATGACTATTAACTCTCCTGAAGTTGGGAATTTTACCCATCGTAATTCTTACATGATTGGCGCAAAGAATAGACTAATAATTCCTCGTCTATACGCGCGTCTTTATTCCTTACAAGATTATATATGTTGTGACACTGTCGTAGTTGTATACCTTATTTGAAACTCGTTAGTCAATCCTCCTTCAGAAATTGAGTGATAGATCACCATCCTGTAGCTTTAATTTTCAGTCAATAGCGTAAACTTACCAAACCAAATCATGCCCTTTAACTTTAAAAATGATGAAGTCGTGTTACTTTTTTTCTGCAGATGGATGTTGGATATACTACTGTTCCTTGTATACTAGGAAGGAGGGAGAACTTGGATTTCTTTCTGGCAAGACTATTGAGCCTCATCACAAATAACTTTCTTAGAGTGGCATCTTTAACAATTTTCTTGACTATAAGAAAAGTAAAATACGAGATCACGCTCCTAACTTGTCTAAGGAAAGGGCAAGGTAAGTGAAGATGAATGTATTCAAATTCCTAAATATGTTTACAACTGAGAATCTTTGATCTCTTCAGTCATTCATGTTACTATAACAAAAGTAGAAACTTACGCTTAACAATCTGTTACTGCTACTGCTTTTAGGAGAATAGTTTTTTCTCCCAAACCGACCTGTTTTAAATAGGGTAATGTATATTTTATATTATCCAAACCTATCGAAATACTAAAAATTAGCCAAATGTTAACTTTCAGTTAACAATTTTGTTAGTAATATTGACTTGGCAACATGATACTGACTTGAAAGAGACACATGAATGTCAACATTCCAAAATTTTAGTATTTGAACTAAGAAAAGAGTTACAAAATTATTAACGATAACATAAAAATGGCTAATATTTTGATATATTACAAAAAAATTGGCTAATTTATAATATTTTAATAGATTTGAATAATAAAAAAAATCTGAACAACGGTAAAAATAGACATTACCCTTTTTAAATAACTAGGATTGGAAGTATGACCAAACAATAATTTATTGATTAGACCAAGACTGAGAAAATGGATGATCAAATCAATAGTTTTCAGCCATTAGCCATTTTGGCATTTTCTTCTCTCTCTAAAAAAAGTAGAAAGTCCAACGCGGACACAGAAAAGGACAAAGTCGTTATAGAAGGAGAAAAAAAACCACCTACTAAAAAGCCCATCCCCACTCACCCTATCTTGAGCCCTTTCCCTTCTAAGTTTCAGGCCTGAGAGCTTATTCGTTATTTGCACAAAGCTGCGCAACGAGCAAATTCCGAAACCCATCCCTGCGACAGGAACTGCAGAGAGCGCGAAGCCGCGAACTTATCTCGAGCAACCAAAAGGTTCTCTTTTCTCTACTATCTCCATGCAACGGCCAACGCGTTAGGGTTTGCTCTTGGTATCATGTAGTTGATTTGAGCTCTCTAATGGAATTATTAGGGTTTTGTTTCTAAAATGCAAAAGGATGAGACTTTCGCCATTCTTTCTACTTTCTCGTAGCCTGAGCTCACCTGGGAACTAATGGGTTCATAGATTAGAAGTTGCCAGTTCGATAATTTGTGATTACTGGTTGAAATTTGCTTAGTTGAGCATTAAACCTAATGGCGGAAGTTCGTCCTCCCTAGATAGCAATTTTATAGGGTGCGATTGTGCGAGAATGTTTACAAGTCTGGGTAACTCTCTGATTCTTGATAAGATTGACTCGGTGGTTTTTGGGGGATGGTGTTTATTTTTGGTTGATAGATGGCACTTCAAGAGAAACTTGAGAAGTTCAAGAAGCAGCAAGAAAATATGCACTCGATGCTAAGCAGCATTACGCAGAAACCAGGGTCCTCTAAACCACTATCAACTTCGAAGTCTGTGCCTTATTCAGCTACACAGCTAGCAGGTGCTAAGGCTCCGGCTCAGCCTGTCAAGTTCTCGAATGATACGGAGAGACTTCAGATTATAAATAGCATTCGAAAGGGGCCTGTGGGATCTCAGATCAAGCGTGTTATAGAGCTTTTGAAAGATGTAGCATCTCAAGCTCTTGATTGCTTTAGATATTTACTTCTTTCAGAATTTGTGTGGTTTTATAGTGTTCGAAAGATCCTTGTTGTTGTGGGCGTGTAAACGGTTTTCTCTGTTCTGCAGACAAGGCAAGCCTTCACTTCGGATCAAATAAATGAAGCCACATATGTGGATGTGAAATCCAATAAGGCTGTCTTTGAGAGTTTGACGAACAATCTGAAAGTGAACTATGATGGGAGGCACTTCTCCTACAAGGTGACTTGGAACTATGCTTGCACTGTTGCACATGTCTTGATAGATTGTTACAGTTTGGGATCACTGAGCTAAAATTATTCTCCTTGATTTAGTTTTATATATCTCCCTTTTCTATGTACAGGATGACATTCTGGGTTTTAATTATTATATCTATAGGCCAAGCATGACTTGAAGGACAAGAATCAACTACTGCACTTGATACGGAAATTTCCCGAGGGAATTGCTGTCATTGATCTCAAGGATGCATACCCTACTGTGATGGACGACCTACAGGTGTGTAAATTATGGTTTCAAAGGCTATTCTGTTTCATTAGACACCTTTGTCCTTAATGCCCAAAAATTCTAGTTAGCAGTTCAATGCTGTTGCGCTGCACATTATCTGGATTGTCTTGCTATTTTGTCTCCTTATTGAGCAAACTTCAGGTGAATCAAACTTGTGATTCTACCTAGTGAGCACATTTATCTAATCACTATTGTTGATAATCTATCGACATGGTGAGATCGCATGCTATTCTGATGGTGCTACGTACGTCTTTACCGATTAAGTTATTCAAGTCCAGGTCTTAAAAATAAACCTGAAATTATGTGTTTTTTGTGTGGGTCTTACTAGGTTCTGAAAGCTGAAGGAAAGATCTGGCTACTGTCGAACTTTGACTCCCAGGAGGACATCGCCTATCCTAATGATCCCAGGGTAGTGATTAAGGTTGATGACGACCTTAAACAGCTCTTTAGAGGGATTGAATTGCCTCGTGACATGCTCGACATTGAGAAGGATCTTCAGAAGAATGGGATGAAGCCTGCAACCAACACTGCAAAGAGACGAGCCGCAGCTGAGTTTCAAGGCATTTCTAGCAAGCCAAAGATCAAGAAGAAGAAGCATGAGATCAGCAAGAGGACTAAGCTCACTAATGCTCATCTTATGCATCTTTTCCTTGGAAAACCAGAAAGTGAAAACCCTAATGCTGGCCAATCCTAGTCTGTAAATTGCAGAATCTCTGCTAAATGATCCTAGATTTATGTGCGTGTTTGGACATAGCTGGTTCTGCATGTAAATAAGACAACCGCCACCCTTGTGGATTGTTAGTGTTTGACTTTGATATAAAAAGTTTCTGTGTTAGTTACTGTGTTTAGCAGGAATAGAAAATCGATTGTAGACTTCTGATTCCCTAGTTACGAACTTAAGACTATCCATAATTTTACATCTATGTAGTGGTTCGTTGAATGTATGTATGTATTCAGAAGGGTGTGAGTGACCAACCTAATCCCAGTTAATTGAGATTTTCTTTAATCCATCTTAATTATGAACTTCTTTGATCATATCCGAGCTACTGTTATCCGAATATGATCTTATTTCATGTTTTTACATGAACTTACTCAATTTCTGTCACCCATGAAAGTATTTTTAACACCGAACATTATGGTGAAATCAGCTCTATTAAATTTTTTACAGGGAATTATAATATATATATATATATATTATTTTCAGGAAAAAGTTCGGATTCTATACTTTATTCAATGTTGCCAGAAACGAATTGGAGTATGAATTGATATAACGAATAATTCACACTTTGGTGGTCCGATCAGTATTAAGCCGTTAAAAACAGTTAATGAAACGATGACTATTATACAAAAAAAAAATATATATATATATAAACAAACACATGTAGTAGCCCATCTTGCATTCTAAATTGACATATTATAAATAAACACATATAAAACGACTCATTTTAAACAATAAATTTAAGAGTGAAAATAAATAGACCAATCATATCCTCAAATCAATTCTTGTTTAATCAACAATTTCTCATTTTAAGCTAGGAAGTTATAGGAATGAAAATATTTTCTGTAAAATTTTCAGGAATTAAAGAAGAAAAAGAGTGAATTAAAATAAACAATTTTTATTCTTTTGGGAAAGGCTTCACTTCTAGCTTCTATAAGTTTCTGTTCGTACTTAGTGCGTGTACCTCAACGCCCAGGTGGCGTTCATCGAAGAAAGGCTTCTTTTTTCTTTCCCTTTTCAGTTATCTGTATTTGTCCGTCGATAGGTCGCCTTTCCTCCATAGAAGTGGGGCAACAAGCAAGCAAAATCATGCGAGTTACTTCTGCCGGTTCCGGAAATCCCTTTGTTCCCAGGTTCGTTAAAGTTTGCGCCTTCATTCCACTTCTCAGTGTTTCCTGATCGCCCCTGCGCATTATTTTGATGCGGGTTTTTGTAGTTATGAAGGATGGCAAAATTTCTTGATAGAAACCAAATCATTTTGATCTGGGAAGTTGGAAGTTTGTCCTGTAAATGCACAAGCGCAAATTTAGTTTATTACTTATTAAGGTGTATGCTCGGTTTTAGATTCTAGGATTAGTTTGATTTGACATGAATCGCTTTCTGTTTGTATCATCAGTTAGTTAGGAAAAGTAACTGCATTGTGGTTCTCGCCTGGTCGATTCGTGCTTGGACTGCATAAAAATGGTCGATAAGACAGACTTCGTTCATTCAATTGCAATGTGGCTTGCTGAAAGTGCTCTTTGCATAACTTACACTCATAGGATTCAAAAACATGAGATGGTGAAAGCCCGAGTTCTGAAATCTGATGTTTTTATGTGATAAATAAAAATAAGAGGTTCTTTGTTCACCAGTTGATCATGATTACTTCTTCTAATTCAACCTGAACATCTGTCCCTTGTTGGCTGAAGCTGTTAATCGTTTGCTGGTGTTTGTGGTGAATTAACATAGTGTTTCATCATTGGGGTTTGCTTTTTTTTAGTTTTATTGTTCTTACAGCCAATCTTTTCCATGTCCTGCCTTGTAATTAGCATGATGCGACTGGTTCGACTATTATTAGTCTTCTGCAAATATGTCTGTGTTACCAGATCTTTATATCTTGATATTGCTGTGATTTTTATGAACTTTAATTTCTAGTTTTTAACCAGTCATGTTCCTAAATTTTGTGTTTTACACAATATCTTGGCATAATTAAGCAAATGAAGTGATTGTAGCTTACCCCCTGATTTGTAGTTGAACAAGTCACCTTAATGCAAGTTCTTAAATCTTACTTTCTTCGTATGTCCACTGAATCCTTATTTTCTCTCCTTTTTCCTTTTGGCATTTGATGCTGAACAACAGACTGTTGATTTAGAAGCCGAGGGAAGAAGAAGAAGAAGAAGCAGCAAGCGGCCATCAGAATGGCTGATGCATATGAGATCAGTGCATTTCCTGATGATATCAACAATAGTGATATGATGGCTGACTCAAGTAAAACAGATTTGTATGTGGAGATATCATCAAATGGAGAGGTGGTTGGGATAACTCCAGGGGATATTCTAACTCGAGTAGAATTAGATTTGGCTTATGCTTCCGAGAAGTCGCTTAATTTGAGTCTGTTCACAATGCAAGTGGCAAACAGGGAAGGTGACTTTGAGGCCCTTGTTTCAGCATCAAATGTAGATTTGTTTTCCGATACAGCAGGGAAAGGTCTGGAGTTTGATCTATTATCTGGGATTTTGGAGTTCTTGGTGTCAGAGCTGGACCAATTCCTAGGGAATTTGCAGGCTGATATAGATGAGGTTAGTGGTATATTATTTTCATATAAAGATGCAGGGGGCATATCTTTCGTGCTGGAAGAAAAGTTGCAAGATTGCAAGGCCTCATTGCAACAGTTGCAAGATCAAGTGTCAGACATTTGTGCCCAATCGTCTGAGTTTAGGAGGACCTTATCATCTGTGCATGGCGAACCAAGTGGTATGCGGTTCTTCAGGTTTACTTAATTTCGGTCTTAGTTTTGTTGGTTGTTTTTTTCTTTCCACTGCTCTGTCTATTCAAAATACGAAAGTTCAGAATGCCATAAAAATGGTTGTGGTTCCGAAAGATTGAATCTAGATAACCTAGGGAAATTAAGGGTCGTTTGGAACCTCTTATGCTGAGTAATTTAGAATGCATGTATGTCAGATAATACATATTTTTTTGACGAAAGAGTTGTTTGAAATCATGGTGTATTATAAGAATTAATATTCAAAAAGTGATGCATTCATAATCTCTTCTAGTTGGCGAGATTCTAAATCCATCATCGTTTAGTATGTTCTTCTTTATCATACATTACATTCCGAACGATGTATCCGTAAAACAATAGGTACTCCTGAAATCTTTATTCTGTAACCCCACAATTTAAGAATCAAATGGTTCCATATGACCCCTTAGCCTTAGCTCACTAATGATGCATTTCTTGCTGATAGGGGGAAATGGAGGGATGTACTCCCCGGAAAATGACCAACCGGCAAACAAAAACTCAATGATTGATATGAAAACAGCAGAACACCAAAGACAGATCTTGAGGATGCTTGAGAAGTCCTTGGCGAGGGAGATCGATCATGAAAAGAAGCTGGCCGAGTCAAATCAACTTGAAGAAGAACTGAGACATAGGCTACAGTCAGCAGAGGAAGATGCATATTTTATGGATGAAGAAGTAATTGATGTTTGGGAAAGGTGTTTTGCAGCAGAAAATACTGCTGAGATTCTGATGGGAACCTCGAAAGAGCTATTGGGTCAACTTCAAGTTCTACAGTTCAACTTGACTTGCACGAGCCAGAGAGAGGCTTATCTGAAATCGAGGCTTAAAGAATCTTCAGACCAATTGGACGCAAAAGAAACTGCTTTGCAGAAGTTCAATAGCAGTAGTTCAAAGCTGAATGACTTCCTTCTAGCTCAAACTGATAGCCTGAAAGCCAAATTGGCCGAAGCTGAGGACAAATTAGTCCTTGCTAATTCAGAAGCCTTCACTTTAAGTGAGAAGGTCTGTTTGCTCGAAAAGCAGCTGAAAGAATCTGAGTGTCAGGAGGATCATAGCATTTTGAATTCTGAAATCACACGACTGGTTAGTGAAAATGAGGATTTGATGGTAAAACTGTCGAAAGCAGAAAGTAAAGCCGAAAGTGAAGAAAGAAAGTGCCAGTTACTGACAGAAACGAATATGGAACTCAATGAAGAAATTGAGATTCTTAAACACAAGTCTGAGAGGGTAGGTGGTTTAGAAAAGCAGTTGAAAGATTATGATATCAGAATCCAACATGCTGAGGCATCTGCTGAAGCTAGTCAAGAGAAGCAAACCATGTTGTACTCTACAATAGGAGACATGGAGAATCTCATTGAGGATCTCAAGTTGAAAGTTTGCAAAGCTGAAAGACATGCAGACAGTGCAGAGGATAAATGCATCATACTGTCAGAATCTAATGCAGAGTTAAATGAGGAACTCGGGTTTTTGAGGGGTAGACTTGAACGTCTGGAAGCTTACTTGAATCGTTGTGAGGAGACAAAATTAGTTGCTGCAAAGGGCATTAGCTTTCAGAGTAAAGTGATGACTGATTTAGTGATGCAATTAGCTATTGAAAGAGAACGTCTAAGGAAGCAGGTTATTAGTTACAATTCCTGGATGCTATCTCTTTTGGGTCTTTACCGACTGGTTAAATTTGTTGAGCCCTAATGAATACTTTGTTGTTGTTCGCAGCTTTCATCTCTAGCATTAGAGAATAGAACCTTGTTAACACAGCGGCAGCAGACAGAAGATGAAAAGCATTTAGCTACTGATAAAAAGGAATCTGATATCCTGGCTGGTGGTTCAAAGGTAAGTTGGAGTGAGTGGCTGTTATGACCTAAATTTGCTTGTATTTGAATGTTTGAAGAGAGAAGACCAGTTCTTACTGCAATTCCCATATTCTCTTGCTGCTGCTAACACAAATCATTTGCGACTTGTGTTCATGGTAACTGAATCAATAATGGCTGTCTTGCTTGCATATGGAAACATGAAATGTGTGGCGAGGGTTGGATGGTACTAAACCTTTTAAATAGTGAGTATAGGATTTGGATCATGGAGTCAGAATCCATGAGGGTGTCAAATCCATGGATTTGAAAAAGTCACCTCTAGATGAGGGTTTGTAAAATCCATATCTAATATTGTCTTTTCTCTTCTACCTTTTTTGGTTACTTAGCTTCCGACTTCCCATCAACCATTCTCTCATCTATGTTGCCGAACGTAACAAGGTCATTTTTTTTATTGTTAGAACACAATTCACTCACAGCAAATCCTGTACTGAAATCATACATCCCACTTAACAAAAATTTGAAATCCAGTTGTCATAATCTTTTACTTTTCAAATTCTTGGATTTGTGCAATCCATCGCTTTCAGAATTCTACATTTCTACTACCCAAATTTGTGTTTATGGAAGTGTTCACTTTTCAATTTTATCAATTATATAGCTTGTTGAAATCGTCTCCATTTTACCCATATAGATAGCTATTAAGTTATTGGCATGCAAAAGTTGATTTTGCAATCCTATTCCCGCTCTTCTTCTGAATTATTTTGCCCAGAATTCATCTTTGGCATCATTTAATCTAATCTCAATGCCGTTTCTGCAGGTGGAGGGTAGTAGGGAAACCATGTTGGATGGTGAGACTAAAGCTGGGGCTGTAGTTGATGTGGGATTGTCCAACCAAAAGCAAGTTTTGATGGCAATGGTGGTTGTATTCATTTCAGCAACTTTCTACCTTTTCCAACCAGAGATTCGCGAATTCTTCTGAAGATATTAGGGATCTAATTTTAACTGCCCCTTAGGGAGGCTGAGGATCAGGTAGCAGCAGCTCCATGCACACAGAGCATCATCAGCGGCTACTGGAAATTTTTGTGTTCTTTCAACTGACAAACTGTGAGTTGCGACGCATAGTTACATTAGTTAACTCCTAGTAGTTTCTGCAAGTTTTTGTGTTCTTGTACTGAGAGAAACCACTAGTTCTTGCTAAGATTTGTCGCATAGTTAATCTGTTAACTCCTTTCTAGCATTCTCATTACTCTCACTTCAGTTCAGTTCCGAGTCTAATGAAGTTATAAGTGGAACTCAAATGACATGTCACCAGTCCACTTCATCTCATCAACCAGCAGGCTGAGATTTTTGTATATGTTGTCACATCTCAGATGGGACTGGTCTCGACTGACAAATCGATGCACTTCATCTCTAATCTCAATCCAGCTGCAACCTGGTTCCTTCTTAAGCCTATTCGCCTTCATCATCCTCCTAGCCTCAGAAACCTTGCCCCACATCCCAGCATCAGCATAAATGTTGCAGAGAAGAATATAAGCAGAAGAGTCATCCGGCTCTAACTGCAAAATACAACTTGCAGCCTTCTCCGCAATTTCCACATTCCCATCTATCTTGCAAATGCTGAGCAGAGTCCTCCATATAACAGCATCAGCTTCAAATGGCATTCCCTCAATAAGCCCCAGAGCTTCTTCAGTTTTCCCTGATCTCCCTAAAAGATCCACCATACATGAATAATGCTCAATTTCAGGTTCCAAACGATGCTCCTTTTGCATAGTGTGAAAATAACACATTCCTGTACCGAGAAGTCCCTTGTGTGCACACGCTCGAAGAACTGAAAGAAAAGTGGCGCCGTTTGGGTTCACTTTCTCAGGTCTCTTCTCCTCAAATACCATCAATGCCTTTTCTCCAAGACCATGCTGTGAATAACCGCATATCAGACTGTTCCATGCCACAAGGTCCTTTTTTGGTGCTTTCTCGTACATAAGTTCTGAATCTTGAAGTTTACCGCACTTTGAATACATGTCCACCAGTGTACTCGATATGTACACATTGGACTGCAGTTGTTGCTTTATGACCTGAGCATGAATCTGCATTCCTAAACCAACCGTAGCTAAGTTAGCACAGGTGTCAAGAATTGCAGCATATGTGAAGTTGTCAGGCTTTACACCGGCTTCTAGCATGTAAAGGAAGAAGCTTTGAGCTTCCTCACTCTGTTGTAGCAATGAGAATCCTGAAATAATCGCATTCCATGAAACCATCGGTTGTGGGTCACTTCTATCGTGGATTTTCTCGGCCTCCTTCACAGCTCCACATTTACAGTACCTGTCAACAACAGCACCCCCATTGAATGGCTCCAAACCCAATCCGAATTTGATGATTCTTCCATGGATTTCCTTGCCGCTGCCTACAGATTGCTGGCCTGCACATGCTTTATGTACACTGCCGTAGGTGAATTCATCAGGGTCCATTCCAAACCGAAGCATCAATGAGAAAAGCGGAAGTGTGTTATCTTCACTGCCATTCTGCTCATTAGCTGCAATGATGGCATTCCAGGACACTGCATCCCTGTATATCATCTCATTGAAGACAGAGGTAGCTTCAAATAAAGCTCCACATTTACCATACATGTCAATCATGGCATTCACCACGCAGACATTTGTGTCAAAAACAGTCTTCATCGTTAGTGCATGCAATTGCAGTCCCAGAAACTTCTCTTTGATTGACGCACAACCACAGAATGCTCCTGATAGAGTTATTTCATCGAAACCTAAGTTGGACTTCAACAGGCATCGAAGTAACAACATAGCTTCTAAGCCTTCACCACATCTTGCATACCCAACAATAATGGCATTGTAGGACTGTAGATTATGCTTTCGCATAGAGTTAAATATCTTATGAGCATCTCCGATGCTTCCAGATTTTGCATACATATCGAGTGTTGCAATTCCCACTATCACGTCTGATCCAAAATCAGTCTTGATAGCATGACAATGGAATTGAGCTCCTAGATCTGAAGCAGATAGGCCTGCACAGGATCTGAAAATGGTGGCATAGATTGACTGACTAACCCCTACTCCTCCAGTGTTTTGCATCTCATTGAACAGCTCTAACCCCATGAACAATCTATCATTTTGAGTGCAAGCAGCAATCATGGCACTCCATGAAACCCAGTTTTTCTCTGGGATCTCTCGGAACACCCTGAGCGAATCATCCACCCGATTACATTTTCCATACATATCAAGCAGCGCACTGCCTGTGAAAACGTCATTAACGAGCCCCGACCTGATTGCTAACCCATGAATCTGAACACCCACATAGCAATCTCCTAAACCAGCAGAAGCTTTTAGAGCAACAGCAAAAGTCGTCCTATCCAACTTCACACCTTATCTACCCATTTCAGAGAAAACAGCCATTGCCTTCCCATGCTCTCCATTCTGCAAGAACCCCGAAATAATCGAGTTCCACGATACGACATCTCTCACCGGCATCTCATCGAAGATCTTCCTCGCGATTCCCATCTCCCCACAGCCAGCGTACCCAAAAATTACCGCATTGTAAGAAACCACATCTCTCTGAGTCATTCCGTCGAACACTTTGTTCGCATCGACCAAGTTCCAACACCTGACATACATTTGCATCAAACAGTTCGAAACAAAAGTCGTCGGCACAAACCCAGAAACAACCATTCGAGCATGGGCTTGTTTGCCCGGGTTTAGGGCTCTCTGCAGCGAGCATTCTTGATAAATGTGGGAAAAAGTTGTGAGCTTGTAGGTCGATTCTGTGGCTCCGTTTGAAGCTGTAGCAGAACTCGAGAAGCACAAGATGGATATGGGTCTGTAGGGGAAACGAATCTGTGAGGGCTGAAACTGCAAGAAGAATGGTGCAAATTGAGAAAGGCGCGAGCTTGGTGATCTGCCATGAACCATCGATGGAAGCAGCAAGTCATGCTCTTTTCTTTTGCTTCGCGGGTTCTATAACTTCTATTCCGCGGTTTGAATTTCAGGTAATTGGAGTAAATGGATGAAAACTAAAAGAGTAGTGGGTAGTTTGTGGAATTTACCAAGAAAAACTAAAATATGAAAGATAGATGATGAAACGAGCATTGCATATATAGATTAATGATCGAGGAAGTAATGTTCCCTCACCCGCTTCTAAAACCCTAACTGTTGCCTTGTAGTTTGCAGCTCCACTGCCCAAAGCCTCTCCACTACACTGATTCTTTCTTCGCTCTCTGTTCATCAGCGATCAAAGCCCAAGCTCCAAAATGAGACACTCATGGCGATTGCTCCTTCTCCGCACTTACACTCGCTCATCGCCCCACGTCTCGTCCACTTCTCCCAATCTTCAGCGCCAGGTAAAGGCCTCTTGCTCGCCGTATCTCTCGTCCCTTCGTACGCTCCCCCATCTTTCTCCGTCTCTAAGCCCTCGTCATTTCTCTTCCGAGCCAATGGCTGAACCAAGCAAGGATTCGGATAATAATCATTTTCACGTGTCAGATGTGTTCACTAAATTCAGCGACGTCAATGATATAGGCAGAGAGTTGGAACAATCTGGGGTGGTTCTTACTCATGATTTGGTGTTGAGAGTGTTGAAGTCTCTGCAGTCTAATGTCGATGCAGCTAGGCGGTTTTTCGGTTGGGTTTTGGAGAAGGATGAACAGAGATTGAGCTCCAAAGGGTATAACTGGATGCTAGGGATTCTAGGCACGAACGGTTGCACGGTGGAGTTTTGGGATTTGGTTGTAATGATGGCGAAAAAGGGTTATGGTATGTCGAGGGTTACACATGATAGAGTGAAGGATAAATTTGAGAAAGAGGGACTTGATAGTGATCTAAGGAAGTTGAGAGCAGTTTTTGCATCAGCATCTGCAGATGATTCGATGGAGAAACTTGGTGTAAGAATTTCTAGGGTCATAAGAAATAATGTTTGGTCGGAAGATGTCGAAACACAGATAAAGGAATTCCATGTCACATATTCAACAGATTTGGTGAAGACCGTGGTGGATAGTTTAGCAATGGAACCAAACAAAGCCTTGATATTCTTCAGGTGGATTGGTGAGAGTGGGTTGTTTGCTCATGATCAGGGGAGTTACAATGCGATAGCCAGAGTACTGGGGAGGGAAGATTGTATAGATAGATTCTGTAAGGTTACAGATGAAATGAAGAGTAAGGGGTATGAAATGGAGGACGAGACTTTTGCTAAGGTGTTGGGACGATTTGCCAAAAGAAAACTGCACAATGAGGTTGTGGACTTGTACGAGTTTGCTATGGCTGGTGCAAACAAGCCTCCATTGTCTTGCTGCGTCTTTATATTGAGAAAAATAGCAGCAGCCAAGCAGCTGGATATGGTTCTATTCTCGAGGGTAATGAAGATCTATACTGGAGCTGGGAATGCAATAACCGACTCTATGCTTGATTCAGTTCTCAAATCTCTAACCAGTGCTGGTAGATATGAAGAGTGCAACAAAGTCTTGAAAGAAATGAAGGAATGTGGATTTACTGCTAGTGGAAATTTGCAGGGTAAGATTGCATTCAAACTTGGTAGTTCTCATAAGAAGAACGAAGCAAATGCTTTTCTAGAAGCTTTTGGAAGCTGTATAGAAAAGAAAGCTTGGGTACCACTAATCAAAGGCCACTGTGCATCTGGCGATCTTGAAACTGCATCTGCTTGTTTCCAACAGATGGCTTCCAAACTAGGTATTTGTAATACTGCTAGTTATGCCTTTGAATTGTTGGCATCTGCTTATTGCAGCAAGGACCAAGCTACAGAAGCATGCAGTCTTCTACATCAATGTGTCAAGGAAAACCAATTGAAGCCCTTTCAAACTACTTACAAGCTTCTGATAAGCAAGTCTTTGGTTCAGGAGGGCGGGTTTAAGGATGCTGTGAGTCTTTTGGATTCTATGAGATCCCACGGATTCCCGCCTTTTGTGGATCCATTTATTAGTTACTTATCCAAGAATGGAACAGCTGATGATGGTGTCATATTTTTGAAGTCGATTACTGCTTCCAAGAAATTTCCATCTACTCCTATGGTGCTCCAAGTGTTTGAAGCAATCTTGAAAAGTGGAAGGTGCAGTGCCGCCCAAGATCTCCTCTCAAAATGTCCAGGATATATTCGGGAACATGCCGATGTCTTGAACCTTTTCTCTCCTACAGTTAAACCTGTTCAAGCTCCTGCTGCAGTTCCTCTGGCTGTGTAGCAGGTTAGGCTGCAAAATGTACTTCTCTCTATCATACCAGATGTAGTTCCCATGTGTTTACAAGTTGGCTTTTGAAATTTTGACAGCTTATTCGAGCTTTTTCTTTAGGGCCACCTTTAAACTTATTTGTTGAGGTTTTCGGAATAACTGTGCAATTGGCCCTCACGTTTGCTTTAAAATCAATGCTTCATTTGTGGTTTTTGTTTGCTTTTTCGTGGTTGATATGATTAGGGTCTTCTTACTCGAAAGACTTGCACTTGTATAGTGAACTTGCAGGATGCAAATTGATATTAAGGATGGTAGCATTGAACGTTTCATCTGTGTGACATTACCAACGGGCTCCCTGCCTGTTGTAATTTACATGAATAATACTAGCCATTGAACTTTTCGGTTAAGGCATTGTTGATTTGTTTGCTCTCTTTAGTCATGACCCATCTCATTCTATTTTGAATTCTTTCTTCCTCTCGTTTCCTTTTTTGAGTGGCCATTTCTTGCACTGGGATGGATGGTGGATGGATAGAATGAAGGAGACGGATCAATGAGGGCAAAACGTGATATGAGTGTGACAAAACAAAAGGACCAGTTTGTCTTTGTCGCAGAAACATAAGCTGAAAAGAGTCATTTTGATGGTGGGGAGTCCTGTTTTTTGTTTTTGCCATCCACTCCCCGAGCTGTGTTTACTTGGCTGGCTGCGGCTTCATCTTCTTAGTTTTCAAGATTAACGACAGCTCACTAATTACTTTTGGCTGAATGTGCAGCTTCCATATTTGTTTCTTCTGTTGAATTTGGGTCTGAGATACTGAGTTTAAGTTAACCCTTGGTTAGGGTTGAAAGTGTGGATGTACCCTAGGGATTAGAATCCTAACCGATGTGAGTTATGGGCCACATGTTAGGAAGGTGTTAGCCCCTAACCACTTTCATAAGTTAAAACCAGTACCATCCAAGTGATTGCTTCATTTCATAATAGGAGGCATTGTTGTCTAAGGTTTTGCATGAACTAGAGCTTATTTTCAAAAAAAATAAAATAATAATAATGTAAAGGGAATACAAATATGAGTACACTCTTTTTTTTATTATATAAAGGTCATATATATTTATATTTATAGTTATGTACTATTTAAAATATTCGAACATGTTTTCATATTCAAGATTAGTAGTAATACAAGTGGGCCAAACCCTCTTTTGCAATAAGATTAGACTATTTGGGATAAGTATAAGAGAGATAATTATAATAAGGGGAAATTTATATCCATTTTACCATTATTATTGATACTGATTCGTAAGATGTAGAATTTGTCAATGATTCAAATTTTAGAGTGAAGAATTTCGAAGCATGAGTCTCGAAGCAGCTTTGTCATGTTATCAAGTTGAGCAACTATACTGATACAACTATGTGAAGCTAATGGACCTTAACAAGTTCGCATTGAAGACAACAATTCAGATTAGTACCGTTCATACCAAGCGAGAGCTAGACGATGAAAAAGAGAGCGATAAAGGTTGGGGTGGGGGTGGGGAGATATTATTATCATTTTTATTTTCAGGTAAGTGACGATTGAGCATTGTTACCATTTGGATCCTGGTCAAATTAGTACTTTTAATCATAATTATTCTAAATCTAATATTTTCACTACCAATAACAAGTCAAATAGATGCTAATTTTTCATTTAAACAAATATATTCCTATTTATCGAGCTTTTTTTTACCAATATATTCATATTTCTCGAGTTTTTTTTTTTTTTTTAATGAAGCTGAGTCCTATTCATTCCTTAACAACAATTAGATTTGAAATAGTCCTCCTACTATGCTAAAGGTATTTTTGGTTCAAATTTATGGTCGGGTTGTGAGCCAAAGGAAGGGAGGGAGTGGATGGAGATAGGGGGTGTACATGGGTCGGGTGGTCCGGGTTTAGGCATTTTAATCACCCGACCCATGCACTACGGTTTGGGAAATATTAAACCCAAACCCACCCAAAAAAATCTAAACCCTACGGTTTGTTTTTAATTGGGTTGGGTCGGGTTGGCGATATTTTTAAGTAAAAATCCAACCCAACACAAAATATGTAATTATTCTACATCATAAAAATATTTTATAACAAATTAAAAATTCAAACGAATAAACCGAGGCGAAAGGTATCAAAATTCACAAATATTGTTTGAATTTTAATAAAACTTGATTTACTTCAACTTATGTCTAACTTTTAAAATTGTACACAAGAAAAAAAATACGTGAATCATAGCTATATTAAATATATGTCTAAACTTTAAGTCGAAGAATGCATTAGATTAGTGAGACTTTAAGATAAAAACATGGCGAAATATCTTAATTTTCTCATAAGTATGACTATATACGACATAAATATTTTTTTGGATACGAACTCATACCCATAATTGGAACACGGGTTGGTTCGGGTTCTACGGGTTGTGTAATCCAAAATCCAAACCCAACCCAAAAGAGGCGGGTTGTACAAAAGAAAACCCTCACCCAACCCAAAACCTTCGATTTAGCGATAAATACTGGTGGGTTGGGTCGGGTTGGACGGGTGGGTCGATTTGCGGGTGTGTTTGTACACCCCTAGATGGAGAGAAAGGGAAGTGGCAGCTTTTGCTTTTGAGAAAAAGGTTTTCTTTCCCTATCCATGACCACGAGACGAGAACCCAGAGAGAGATATTGCAAAATCGTGTTTGTTTGAATTGCTGTCGTCTGCTGTGTCCGGAAATGAGGAAAGAAAGACAAGCTTGCCGCTTTGTGCCCAAATTGCCATGGGAGTGGAATCTTCTTAATATTGATATCATAATCAATCAACCACAAAGTAAAGCAAAGCTTCCAGCACCAAAGTGTAAGTGGACAGCAAGTTACTTATAAGTTTTAGTATTTTGAAATAGGAGAACAAAACGGTTACAAGAGAGACAAGTGCGCGCATCGCAATCTTAAGGTTATCCGAATTGGATTTCGGAGTGAAGTTTTGCTATGTTTTATAGTTTGACTTTGACAGAAAAAAGTAATGGGAAATTATCTCTTTTAAGGTTTAGGGTATGTTTACGTCTTTTGTCATAATGTACGTAATATTTGATTAGTTCATATTGTTAGACCTGTTGTAAAATTCGGATATGTTCAAATTGATCAATGACAAAGGTACTGCATTTTTTGAGATTCCTAGTCTTACGAGTTAAAAGATCAACTCATCCTATAAAACATGAATTTTTATAATATGAATAGCTCTCTAGATTAACGTTCGATTCAGACAACGTAGAAACTTGATCCATTATAATATATATACTAATCATTGCTGGTTCTGAAATAAATTTTGATGGATTATCAGGTATCTAGATATAACAGTGAAATCGTGCATGCATCGTGATAGAAATTACTACAAGTTGATCATACTGCACCATAGATTCACACATATTTTTCTCTTTTCATAAAGTCTGTCTCTCATATGTATGAACTACTAGATTCCTTGGTTCCTCCATACAATTCATTTGTGGGAGGGAAATTTGAATCTTATCCCCAAAACCCTCCTTGCTACTTTCCTACTTTATCGTTTAGGGCTTACGTTACATCAATTCTTCTTTTGGCTGATTAAGATTTTATTAGGACCATTAATTCAAAACAAATCACGCGACCTCTTCACAGTAATTATTACGTATGGTATTGATTCTGTTTGTTACGTCCAACTGGGGGTCCTTTCATACGACAAAAAAACACTGCTGCTTTTCTTTGTTTCAGAATTCTTCCGACACGACTAAACAAACAAACCCCCAATTATTTTCCTTATTTTCTATTCGGAAAAATTGGGATTTCTTTTTCTTTTCTGGCGTGAAAAGCAGCACTGCGTGGGAAGGAAAGCATAAAGAAGGAAAGAAAGAAAAGAAAAGCATCAAGCATGGATGGATGCCTCACTCCACCACCACCAACGAAAAAGTAACACCATGCCCGTTTCAAAGTTGTTCCCTTTTAATATCCAGTTGGAATCAATCTGAGATTGTTAGCAGATATATAGAACAACAGTAAGGCAGTTGGTGTGTCCAAAGTCCATTCCTTTCTTTTCCTCTCTTCAATGACGGCCGCAGCTGGAAGTAGGAGTAGAGGAGGAAGAAGGAGAGAAGAAATGGGTGTTATGGGTTTTGTGGTTTTCTGGTGGGTTTATGCCGCTACCGCCGCAAATGGGTTGCTTTCCCCCAAAGGCGTGAACTTTGAAGGTGGGGGGGAGTTTGTTTCTGTGCCTGGAGGGTGTTCGATGATTTTCCTCTGAAGGAAATATTTTTCGTTTTTTTTCTGATGTGGGTTTGGTTTGTTGCAGTACAAGCTTTGATGGGTATAAAAGCTTCTTTACATGATCCACATGGGGTTCTTGATAACTGGGATGGTGATGCTGTGGATCCTTGTAGCTGGACTATGGTCACTTGTTCGTCAGAGAGCCTCGTCATTGGCTTGTAATTAATGCTTCTGCTAATGTATTGAAAAGTACCAAGTACTTGTAATTTAATGCTTCTGCTAAGATGTGACTTATTCTTAATTTTGGCTTGCAGGGGAACTCCAAGTCAGGACTTATCTGGAACTCTTTCTCCAAGCATTGCCAACTTGACGAATCTTCAGATTGTGTAAGTTCTAACTGTTCCAAAAATGGGTGCCGGCCATTTCTGAGTCCGGCTTCTTTGGTTTCAAGCATGCAAAAGAGGCTAACTCAAATTGCATTTCTTTGCAGGCTGTTGCAGAACAATAATATCACAGGGCCCATTCCAGCAGAGATAGGGAAGCTCTCAAAACTTCACACGCTTGATCTGTCTAACAATTTCTTCACCGGGAGTGTTCCTTCTTCTTTAGGCCACTTGAGGAGTCTTCAATACATGTAAGCATACTTAACCATCTTCTCTTCTGCATGATGCCCAAGGACTTGGGCGCTGTGGATAGTCAATCCCATATACTCTCTTCTGTTTCACCCTGATTTTGGGGGGTTGGTCAATTTTGAACTTCAGGAGGCTAAACAACAACAGTCTCTCCGGCAAAGTCCCCATGTCAATTGGGAACATGACCAAGCTTGTGTTTCTGTAAGTCTAGGCTTACCTTGAATTCTACTGTATCATTTGGGTGAAATGCGCCACTGAAACAAACTTATTTTGGTGAACTTCAGTGACCTGTCCTACAATAATCTGAGTGGCCCCATACCTACATTCCCTGCTAAAACCTTCAGGTCATCTCATTTCCTCGATGCCTTTATCCTTCGACATATCAATTACATGGATGCTAACTTCAGCCCTCCTTTTGCATTGCAGCATTGTTGGCAATCCACTCATCTGCCCAACTGGTTCAGAGCCAGAGTGTTTTGGGACGACTCTAATGCCAATGTCCATGAACTTAAACAACACAGAACGTGAGCAATACCATAATTTCCTTCGTGCTTTGAAGATTTGATGCCTTGATCAGTGTTTGATCTCGATCTCATTTCTGTTATCAGTTGATCCCCCTTCCCAAAGACCAAAGAGTCACAAGGTAGCAGTTGCGTTTGGGTCAAGCGTTGGTGCAATCTCCCTCATCATTATAGTTTTCGGAATGTTCCTGTGGTGGAGGCAAAGGCTTAATCCACCAATGTTTTTCGACATTGATGGTATGGAAGATACTATAATGAGACTTTTACAATGTATATAAACTGGCTGCTTCTTCTGCCTAACCGTGTATAGTTTGTTTCAGGAAAACAAGATAGGCTGCATGAAGAAGTATCTCTCGGAAACTTAAAGATGTTTCAGTTTAGAGAACTCCAAATTGCAACAGGCAACTTCAGCAACAAAAACATACTTGGGAAAGGAGGGTTCGGCCATGTATACAAAGGAACTCTCCACGATGGGACGATCGTAGCCGTGAAAAGATTGAAAGATGGTAGTGCCGTTGGAGGAGAGATTCAGTTCCAGACTGAAGTTGAAATGATCAGCTTAGCAGTGCACCGAAACCTCCTCAAATTATACGGTTTCTGCATCACACCTTCAGAGAGATTACTGGTCTATCCATACATGTCCAATGGCAGCGTTGCTTCTCGTCTCAAAGGTAAAACTGATATGCAGCTTGCTTTGAACATCCCAGATAGTTAAATATATTAACCAGACTGATCATCTCCTACTCTCATTTCCAGGGAAACCAGTCTTGGATTGGAGCACAAGGAAGAGAATATCCTTAGGAGCAGCAAGGGGACTGCTATACCTCCACGAACAATGTGATCCGAAGATAATCCACAGGGATGTTAAGGCCGCAAACATATTGCTTGATGACTACTATGAAGCCGTGGTTGGTGATTTCGGGTTGGCAAAGTTGCTTGATCACCAAGATTCACATGTGACTACTGCTGTTCGAGGAACTGTTGGCCATATTGCACCAGAATATCTCTCCACAGGCCAATCTTCAGACAAAACGGATGTGTTTGGATTCGGAATCTTGCTCCTCGAGCTAATCACGGGCCAAAGAGCATTGGAGTTTGGAAAGGCAGCAAACCAGAAAGGAGCCATGCTCGATTGGGTCAGCCCTCGATTCTCTTTAAAATGGGGAAAAACTAAGGAAAACTTTGTGGCTCAATCTGTTCATTTGGTTTACATTATGGCAGGTAAAGAAGATTCATCATGAGAAGCAGCTAGAAATGATGGTGGACAAGGATTTGAAAGGGAATTATGACAGAATCGAGCTGGAAGAGATGGTTCAAGTTGCTCTCCTTAGCACACAATACCTTCCTAGTCAAAGACCGAAAATGTCTGAAGTAGTCCGAATGCTGGAAGGAGATGGACTTGCAGAGAGATGGGAAGCTTCTCAAAGGGCAGAAGCTACCAAGTCAAAGAATAATGATTTCTCGTCGTCGGATCGGTATTCTGATCTCACTGATGATTCTTCATTGTTGGTACAAGCAATGGAACTCTCTGGCCCCAGGTGACAGTTCCCATATTAACAGAGTTTTTCACATAGTTTCTTAAGTTGCCTTTTTCCCATTTTGTTTTCTACTTTATCCTTCCACATAGAGACATAGGAAAAGGGATAGGTGGATCAGCTAATAGTTTGGAAAAGTGCCGTGTAATTCAGTTTAGATGCTAGAAGATTGTTGTAATGTCTTCTTTTGACTGGTTTGAGCTGTATCATAGAATACAAGTGGTTTTAGGGCATTATAGAATCATTTAACTTATGAGTTTTATTTTTAATTGGACAAATATAATTTGTTTCTCCTACATGTATCATAGAGGTATCTTTGTCAACCAAAATAAATACGGTATGAATCTAATGGAAGACACAGATTACTTAAACGATTGTTCAGCAATCGTGTCAATTTCAAAAAGACCCTTATGCAGTTATACTAATAATTTTATTTTATTTTCGAAGGATATCAAAAGAAAACAATAGTTATATAAACAAAACTACCCATGAACCCCCTACAAATGACACCCTAGTGAATTCATCCAACAAAGTCGAAAGACCCTTACTCTCGAAGTTGGAATCAAGTTGGAATTTGTTGGATTTATAGATTCTCGTTAGACTAGTTGTCCAAGGAGATCAGTCACGGGGTATTACATCCTCTTAGGAGGATGCTTGTAATTGACTTGGAAGTCGAAGAAACAAACCAAAATTTCGAGATCATCATTTAATGCAGAGTATAGAACTTTGGTTTAGTTGGTTTTTGAGTCACATAGTGGCGGGCCCAGAAATTTCACCAAGGGTATTTATCCAAAAACAATTCAAATTTTAAATAAATAAAATAAAGTGTCAATTTACAAAAAATTTATTCAAAAAGTATTCTGATTCATCGTTTTTCGCAGCGAACCACAACGTACTTTCATATTTTGAAAAAGTTCTATAAACATTCATCGCTTATATTACGACTCACACATTTTTCAATGAACGTAACCAAACAATTATTTATAAATTGATCTCATTGGATGCTAATAGCAACACCAAAGAGGATTTCTAGGAGTCAAACTAAAAGGCAGAGGGTTTTTATTCTCCTTTACTTATGGAAAGAGTTTTATTCTCCGAAGAGAGAAGAAGAATAACTCATTAATAATTCTTAGACTTGAAATCCGCAAGATTAATAGGCTTAGGAATAAATTTGAGTGCTTTATATGTCTGCTTTCTATTCTTTAAACAACAACTGGGTTACGGTCTAACATAAATTCTAAGGTTTGTCAAATTGGCGAGGGTTTAATTATCATCAACAACAATATTAATTTTAGTATACTAATTTGGACCAACTTGTTAATTAAGGTTTGTCAGTTGACAAACCTCAACAATGTGTTGGTCCGCCCCTGGAGCCACGATATGGTTAAGAGGTCTGTTAGCAGAGATGAGAGTCAATGGTCCTTAATTACCAATCGAAGTCCTATGTGATAATATGATATTCACATAGCAGAGAATCTTATTTTTCATAAAAGAACAAAATACATTGAAATAGATTGTCATGTTACAAAGGAAAAGCTCAAATAAGAGATGATTAAGTTGAAGCATGTAAGGAATGATGATCAATTGATTGATCTATTAATTGAGGGGTTAACTCAATACAAATTTAGTTATTTGTTGGATAAACCGGGAGTTATAGATATGTACTCACCAATTTGTAGGGAGTACCGGAGAAGACAAATTGAGATATGGAGCGAATATGCAGAAGAATGTGGATGGTGTTATTGAAGATCACCTTTATGATGCTATGGAGGATCAGTACTTGGGAGATAAAATTGCCTGGAGCGATTCGCGATGCAACTCTAGTGTACCTCTTTCTCTTTGTTCTCAATATTATGAATTAGCATGATCGTATAGAGTTACTAGGAAGAAATATCAATCATTGTATTCATCCATGAAACATGGCTTATATTCACGTTTATAGGCGGTACATTTTGGAACATAAAATTCATGAACCAAACTATACTTCCCCCTGTACATAATCCAGTGTCGTCAGAACAAACTACAATATATATTCCAGCTCCTCCATTGTCGTTGGAAAGTCTGATCATCATCATCATCATCTTCTGCCGCCGTAGGAAGAGGTACTAGACCGGCTTCTGGAGCTATCATAACCAGACTGAAGATCACTGAACACATCCTGACTACTCTGACTATTCAAAGGCGAGCTCCCTGTGCTCCCAGTACCATAGCTGAACCCGCCAGCAGCAGCAGGAGACACATTCTCATCGGCCAACATTCTCAACCTGTTGAGCTCCGGCAACACCTCGTTCCCCAAATCCGGCCTGTCTTTCCTTCTCAATTCGGCACACTGAAGGGCCAGCCTGGCAAACCTCAACGCCTCCTCCACGGGCCAGTCTGGCACGGTAGGGTCGAGCATGTCTTCAAACGTTCCCTTGTCGATCGCCCTTTGGACGTGGTGGGTTAGCCCCATCGGCGGCTTGGCAGTGATGATCTGGAGCAGCATCACGCCTAGCGAATAGATATCCGATTTCACCCCCAGCATTCCCGTCTGCTGGTACTCCGGGTCGATGTAGCAGAACGTTCCGGCCGTGGATGTCATCCGGTATTGGGTCACCGAGTCAGCGACCGACGGAGGGACGAGCCTCGCCAGACCTACGTCACTGATCTTGCTGACGAAGTTCCTGTCCAGCAAGATGTTGCCGGGCTTGAGATCACGATGGACCAGCGGTTCGGGCTTGGTCTGGTGGAGGAACAGTAGGCCCGTGGCGATTTCTGCTGCGATTCGGAACCTTAGTTGCCACGAAAGAGGCGGGGTGTTCCCTCTTCTGAAAAGCCTGTCTTCCAAGCTACCGTTGGCCATGTACTCATAGACCAAGCAGCCGTATTCGGGGCACGCTCCGAGGAGGAGCACCATGTTTGGATGGCGAATGCAGCACAAGACTTCCACCTCCTGTTGGAACTGAGACCTTCCCTGAGCTGCGTCGGGCCGGAGGACTTTGATGGCGACGGGTGTGTGATCGAGATGAGCTCTGTACACGGGGCCGTACCCGCCTTCTCCGATTTTCAAATTGTTTGCGAAGTCCTTGGTTGCAGACTCGATCTCTTCGATTTCGTATCTCCTGTACCGAATATCAGCAGCGCATCCGCCGCCATGGGACAGTCCATTGCCGGCTCTCTTTCTCTCCTCGGCGTCTTGTATGGCTCTCAATTCTGCGGCTCGTCTCTTCTGTGCTTCGAATTGGGCGATCTTCTCGGCGGCTTCGGCTGCCTCGAGTGCTGCTTTGCATTTGGCCTTTTCCTTCTCGACGAGAGCCAGTGCCTGTTCTTCGCTGATTCTCGCCTCTTCGAGTCTCTGCTCTTCCTCCATTCTCCACCGATGAAGCTCCCTGGCTTGTTGTTTCGCTGAGAGAGCTTCCTTGCAAGCTGAGCTGTACATCTCCATCGTTTGCTTCAGCTCTTGTCTCAGCCTTCTCATCTCGGCTTCCATGTCTTCCTGCAAGATTAATTGGCACGAGTAAGCTGCAAGTGGTTCGAAAAGCAAGCAAGGTACTGTTACCAAATTTTGACAAGGAAATTAATGGAAGTCTGCAACTTTCCTGGAATGAAAGGTCGAGGGACCGATTTCCTGAGTAGGAGGATCCGGTGCTTCTGGTGTCGAAATCCGAGCCGGTCGAGAGCCTTGGCGCATCCCCGTCGCTCATGGATGCAAAGTGGTAGTCGAGGCTCGGCCTTCCACTGCTGACGAAAGAGATGTCGGAATCCGGCATTGGCGATTCGGCTAGTTTTGCTATTGAAGCTCTTCCTCTTGCAAACGGCGACCTAATGAAATCATCTTCATTCTGATAGCCTGGCGGGTAAAGTGATCTTTCTGCTGTCAAAATTAAAGCATCACGTAATCAGCTCCTGGAAAAAAATTGGAGATTCCATCCACGCCACAAGAAAGCAGATGAAACATCATAAGCAAACCTCTTTGGTAACCCCTGGAAGCAGGATCAGGAATTGAGAAACCTGGGCCTGGAGAGGCTGCAGCAGCAGCAGCAATAGGTCTAGGCGGTGCAGGGACAGGTGCGGTAGCGGCTTTCACTGATGAGATCTTTCCTTTGCCAATAACATAAACGGTACAGAAATCTGGTGCCAATTTCGAGACATTGCTTGGAACATCTGTCACCCTGAACTTTCTGTGGATATCCAAGAGAAAAGCAAGAAAGGAGAAGGGGGAAAAAAAACAATAATAAGGAACAGAGATTAGCACATTGCAGGAGATATCTGAAACCGCCCATCTGCCCCTTCCGAACCCAGAATTTCCAGACGATTTATCTACCTAACGAGGCCGCCTCGTGAAGGGCTGCCGAGCACCACGACATCAACGGAATTCGCATTCACGTAGTCGACGATTGCTTTGGCTATGTCATAATCCTCCACAACAACTTCGTTGCATTTTAGCTGGAAGAAAGAAAAAGAAAAACCAACCCAGAAACAATGATACATGATGTCAATGGATGAACAAATGAGAGAAAAAGGGTTCGAATGATTGAGATAATCTTACATCTTTACGGGTGCAGAAGCAGCGGAAAGGAAGCAAAAGCTCTCTGGCTTGGCCATCAATCGGGACTCTATTATCGTCGTCGAGAGCAGCAGGACCAGAAGAAGAGGCAGAAGAGGAAGACGATGAAGAAGAAGAAGAAGACGGTCGGTGTTTGACGTGAAGGAGAACAATGGTATGGCCTTTGCTGAGGAGATGATCGGTTGCCCATTTCAGAGCATGCTGGCTTCCTTTATCTTTGTCCACGGCCACAACCACTTGTTGGTACTCCTTCTCCGCCACCTTCCTCGACATTTTCTTCTTCTTCTTCTTCTTCTCCTCTAGCTTTCCCCTCTTCTGCTTTTCTTCCCCTGGTTTCCTCTTTCCTTCGCAATGGAGGGATGATTGATGTTTGTTGGTGTTTGGGAAGCTAGCGTATTTAAATAAGACAAATATCCCAAACGGGAGCTTGGGGAAGAAAAAAAACTGAACGAACAGAATATTGGCCTGGTCCTCAATCAAACTAACTCACAAACTGCCACCTCTTTTTTTTCTGCTCCTCTAGTTTTGTTTTGTTTTTAACAGCCCTCACCCTTTATTTTTTGGCCTTCTCTTGTTCAGAAACAGGGGAAAAATAAAGGAAAACAACCCTGCAAGTAATTCGCTACAAAATTAATTCACATGAATTTCCATGCAATATATGCGTAAGTTGTTGGTTTGCACATCTGAATCGACAGGTATGAGAATTTTGACATAACTATTTTTGGATAAGAATAACACTACAACTTTGGTATTTAATTCAAATTAACACAACTCAAAAATATTATAATCAACTAACAGGTTTTCTGGACAAAGGAATTGAGTAGTGGAATTTTGTTTAATTCCTTCGAGCTAAGGAATTCAGCGAATTCCAGATTTTGGATGGACCGTATTCAAACTTTAAATTGATGGAACTTCCAATCCTCCACTTCTCAATTCTCTTCCAGTTAGGTGAAATTTGCCAATAACATCGTTGGAAAGCAAAGCTAAAACAATTCATTCTTTATATGGCTAATTATCATAAATGATGACAAAACTATTCACTTTGTACAAAACGGTAACAAATCTTTAATTTTGCACGTTTCAGTAACATATGTATGAACTAATAACAAAAAGGTAATTCCATCAATCTCCATCCAAAAATCCGTTAGTTTACTCCAGTCAGCACGCCATGTCATCAACAAATAATAAATAAAAAATCAATAAACCAAACCAAACTCAACACACTCTAAAATTATACCCAATAAAAATACAAACCCAATGCGAGCGAGACCGTGAGCAGCCACGATGGCAACTATCTCCAAAACAAGCCCCACTACTTTCCCATGGTTACTCTTCTTACCAGAACTAGCACACGATTTCAATGACAAGGCTAGAATTCAACCCCGTGTATTGGCATCGAGTGGACCAAGTCGCTGACCATAGCAATAGCATACAAACAAGTGAAGTAGAAACATTTGGAATTAGCATTAGCCTGGACATTGGTGTGCTGGGAATTTACCTCAAGCCGGCGTCCAAGCAAAAGCTGCAGAGGGCGAGGCAAGTGGAGTCGAACGGGGTGACAGGGGTGACCCGCTGGATCCAATCGGCGGTGGAGATGACTCCGATGTAGCTGGAAGCGTTGGAGGCTGTAATAGTCGGGGTCAAATGGTAAATGTTAGGAAATGAGTGATGAAAGGGTAATTGTGTAGAGAGTGTATAAAAGGGACGCGCCAAGACCGTTGTAACCAATTTTGCAGATCAATAAACTTTACTCTTTCCCTCTCTCTCTCTCTCTCTCTCTCTCTCTCTCTCTCTCTCTCTCTCTCTCTCTCTCTCTTCCGATCTTATCTCTTTCTCTGTTCTTCTCTTCTCAATCCTCCATTGCCAAGCTGAATCAGAGCTCCTAGGGGTTACAAGTTGGTATCAGAGCCTTCGCTTGGCACTCTTCTCCATGGCGGCGACTAGAGGTTCCATTGATGAGCGCCTCAACAGCTTGTTGACATCCACGAATCAGGCGCAAGGTGCTCTCGACGACAAACTCGACCACGTCCAGACTATGGTAGACTCACAAGCGACTCAGTTACAGGAGATTCGGACTCGCTCCGAAGGCCATTCTCAGCAATTCGTCACTTTGACGACTCAATTGGACAACTTGGAAGCTCGGATCGACGATCGTTTTGGTCAATTCTCGCAAGAAATCCGCCAGTTGCTGCAAGGTGTGGTCAATCAGAGACCAGCGGGGCCAATGGCCGGCGCGGTTGTTCCGCCGGGTGATCGTAACGGTGGACGCGGTATACTGCCTTTACCTACCGCGGTTCTCAGGGGAGCTGAGCCGGTGTTGTTACCGGTGCCTAGGGTGCATGCTCAGGTCAATCCAGTCAAGGAGCGGGAACAAATTCAGGTAAATCTAGTTCCAAACCCAGGCAATCATCATCCGTTTCATCAGCTGTCCCGTCTCGATTTTCCGTTCTTTAATGGCGATGATCCTCGTGAGTGGACAAGGAAATGCGAGAAGCTGTTCGACATTTATGGGATTCCGGATGAACAGAAGGTGAATTTGACCGTGATCTATTTTCAACGACGTGCAGACCTATGGTTCGAAGGATGGAAGATAGGTAGGCGTGAACTGGTGTGGGAAGAGCTAGTAGCCGCTCTGTGTCAAAGGTTCGGCAATCGTACCTACGGGGGTGTGGTGGCTGAGTTCAACAAGCTTAGACAGCAAGGCTCATTGGCAGATTACCAGGAAAAGTTCGAGGAATTACGTTCACTCATGGCTCGCTTTAATCCAGCTCTGGATGAGATCTATTTCATCAGTAGCTTCATAAGCGGTTTGGATGAAGAATTGCGCCCTGTTCTACAGATGTGGAAGCCTCAGTCTCTGGCTGATGCTTTCCAACTGGCTCAATTACAGGAGGCGTCTAATGCTGCTCACCAGAAGAAATGGAGGGGTTCCCACGGGGTCCCTGGTCGTACTTTGATGACTTCCAATAGTGCTTCTTCTTCTCAGCCTCGTCGTTGGGAAGGGTCGGGTTCGCGGCCTACAGGCGGGGCTAAACCTCCCATGATGGATTCGAAGAGCAATGGGGCAAGAGGTGTTTGTCATAAATGTGGTGATAGGTATTTTTTCGGTCATGTATGTGGCACGAAGAAGCAGTTGAATGTATTACAGGCTGATGGTGAGGAGTCCTCCAGGGAGGAATGGATGGCACCAGAGGAAGAAGATGTGTTGGAGCATAGCGTGGAGTCTGCTCAACCTGAGTTAGAGGAGGTTTCTATGCAGGCAATTAATAGTGGTGGGGTGGCAGACTCTCTGATTGTACAAGGCAAGGTTAAGCAGGAGAAGATTTTTATTCTCGTGGACACAGGTAGCACTCACACTTTCCTAAGTGAGAGGAAAGCATTAGCTCTCCAGTGTCAACTGGTTCCAGCCAGACATCCCTTGCGAGTGAAGCTAGATGATGGTACTGTGCTGATTAGTAAGCTGGTGTGCAAGGGGTTCTGTTGGGAGATGCAGGGTAGGAAGTTCAAGTTCGATATGAGGATTTTAAGTTTGGGGTCTAATGATGTGGTGCTAGGGTTGGATTGGCTCAAAACAATCAGCCCTGTGAAGTTCGATTTCATTGAATCAAGGTTGTTCTTTGAATGGGAAGATCAAGAAGTGATGCTGCAGGGGTTACAGGACTTGGCTCAGTGCAAGGTGATTTCAGGCAAGCGTTTGCAGAAGTGGTGGGACAACTCTGAAGTGGCATTTGTAGGACAGCTGTGTAGATTGGAGGCAGTAGATCAGCTATGTGATGTAGATGGCGTTTCGAACCTGGCAAGCCATAATACTCCTGAGTTTTTGCTCCCTGTCCTACAGGACTACAATGACGTGTTTGGGAAGCCTCAATCCTTACCCCCTTCTAGAGAATGTGATCATACCATTCCCTTGTTGCCTAATGCACAACCAGTGAATCTCAGGCCCTAAAGGTACTCCATTCCCCAGAAGAACGAGATGGACAGGTTGGTCAAGGAAATGCTGGAATCACAATACATTCAGCACAGTAAGAGCCCTTATGCTTCTCCAGTGTTATTGGTGCTCAAGAAAGATGGATCGTGGCATTTCTGTGTGGACTATAGGAAGCTTAATGACTTGACAATCAAGGATAAGTTCCCAATACCAGTGATTGATGATTTGTTGGATGAACTTAGGGGGTCCAAATACTTTACTAAGTTGGATTTGCTGTCAGGGTATCATCAGATTAGAATGAACCCCTCTGATCAACATAAAACGGCTTTCAGGACTCACCAAGGGCTGTATGAATTCACTGTGATGCCATTCGGGCTGACTAATGCCCCAGCAACGTTCCAAGCATTGATGAATCGCATCTTCAATCCCTACCTCAGGAAGTTTGTGTTAGTTTTCTTCGATGACATACTGATTTACAGCCCAGATCAGAACAGTCATAAAGAACATTTGGCTACAGTCCTGTCTGTTCTTCGAGAAAATTCTCTCTTTGCCAAACCATCCAAATGTGCATTTGGCCAAACACAAATCGACTACTTGGGCTACATAATTAACCAGGAGGGGGTGACTACTGACCCTGCCAAGATTGAAGCTATAGTGAAATGGCCGAGGCCTCGAAATGTGAAGGAGCTGCGTGGATTTTTGGGATTAACAGGCTACTACAGGAAGTTCGTGAAGAATTATGGGGTTATTGGTAAGGCACTTACTAATTTACTGAAGAAAGATAGTTTCCAGTGGACTGAAGCAGCACAAGCAGCCTTTGTTGCTCTAAAATCAGCCATGGTTACAGCCCCTGTTTTGGCTCTCCCTGATTTTTCTAAGCCTTTTGTATTGGAGACAGATGCCAGTGAGATGGGAATTGGATCAGTCTTGTCTCAATATGGGAGGACTATTGCTTATCACAGTCAGGCACTTGGTCCTAGGAAACAGGGACTATCGACTTATGAGAAAGAGTACCTAGCTGTTTTGCTTGCTGTATCCAAATGGCGCCATTGCCTGGAAGGAAGACCTTTCAAAATAGTGACTGATCATGAGAGTCTGAAACACCTCTTAGGGCAGAAGATCCATACCCAGATTCAGAAGAAGGGATTGGTCAAACTCCTTGGTCTGGATTTCGAGATTCAGTACAGGCAGGGGAAGTTTAACCAAGTGGCTGGCGCTCTGTCCAGACATCCTCATTTTGCTGCACCAATGGTGAAACAGGGGGTGTGTTCTTCCATTACTGCTGTGCTTCCAACGTGGCTAGCTGAGCTTGAAGCTACTTATGAAGGTGACCAGGCAGTTCAGGAGGTTCTAGTTGAAGCAGCAGTGCCATTTATTGGTCCTAAACTCTTCTGGATTCAGCATGGATTACTCTATTACAAGTCCACAATTTATGTTGGAGCTACAGGTACCATGAGGGAGCAGTTGTGCCAATTGTTCCATGATTCACCAGTAGGTGGGCATTCAGGGTTACAGGCTTGCTATCAGAGGATCAAGAAGTACTTTTGGTGGCCAGGTCTTAAGGCTGTGTTGCGTGATTATATACAAGGGTGCTCTGTGTGTCAACGTTGCAAGACAGAGAACATTCCCTATCCTGGTCTGTTACAGCCACTCCCTATACCTGACCAAGCCTGGAAACACATTTCCATGGACTTTGTAGAAGGCCTGCCTAATTCCAAAGGTAAAGATGCTGTCTTAATGGTGATCGATCGATTCTCAAAGTATGGGCATTTTTTTGGATTAACCAAGCCATACACAGCTGCAACGTGGCTCAGACCTTCTTTGATGGTGTTTTCAAGTTACATGGCATGCCTACTACTATTGTCTCAGACAGGGATTCTATCTTTACAAGCACATTCTGGACTACATTGTTTGAATTACAAGGGGTCAAGCTGCACTACTCTACTGCTTACCACCCACAAACAGATGGCCAAACAGAGAGGCTGAATAGATGCTTGGAGGAGTATCTTCGAGGAATGGTTCATCTATGTCCCCAGCAGTGGGCATCCTGGCTAACACTGGCGGAATGGTGGTATAACACCAATTTTCACCACAGTTTACAACTGTCCCCGTTTGAAGCGTTGTATGGGTATTCACCGTCGCAATTCTCCATCCAGAACCCTCTGTCGACCCCTGTGGCAGCAGTTACAGAACGCCTACAGCAGCAACATAAGTTGATCGACATCCTTCGTACTAATTTGGCTCGTGCTCAGAACAAGCAGAAGCAAATGGCAGATGCTCATCGCACAGAGCGGCGTCTGAAAGAGGGCGATATGGTGTATCTGAAGCTTCGTCCCTATCGACAAACTTCAGTGGCTTCCAGAGCTAATCAGAAGCTGGCACCCCGTTTTTTTGGTCCTTTCCCTGTGGTGAAGAAGATTGGTACCGTTGCTTATAAGTTGCAGCTACCCCCTGACTCAGCAATTCACCCTGTTTTCCATGTGTCTCTGCTTAAAAAGGCCAGGGGGAATTCCAGTGTGGTAGTTCAGCCACTCTTGCCTGAAGCTTGAGGAGGTTTCCAGATTTTGGAGTTTAGAAGCTTGAGGACAAGCTTCGACTGAAAGAAGGGGGAGTTGTAACAGTCGGGGTCAAATGGTAAATGTTAGGAAATGAGTGATGAAAGGGTAATTGTGTAGAGAGTGTATAAAAGGGACGCGCCAAGACCGTTGTAACCAATTTTACAGATCAATAAACTTTACTCTTTCTCTCTCTCTCTCTCTTTTCTTCCGATCTTGTCTCTTTCTATGTTCTTCTCTTCTCAATCCTCCATTGCCAAGCTGAATCAGAGCTCCCAGGGGTTACAGAGACTAACTAATTGGAGTCGTTGAAACAGAGAGGGACAAAAGATAGGTCGATTGATATGGCGGCGAGGTGTGTTCGGATGTCGGGGAGGCAAGCGGCAGAGACGTTGGCGTCGGGGAGCTGGAAGAGGGAGGTCTCACCCCTGAAATTATGCCTCCCCCTCTTCCCACCTGCATTCCCTCGATAATCACCCGTCGCTACGACGATGACGACCCACTGCTGGCACCCGAAGCGCCGGACTTGGGAGAACCTAGGCCCATGTCGAATTCAGGGGAATTGGGGTCGGAGCCCCGAGCTGGGGATCATGATTTATCCTCTTCTTCGAGCTTTAGGGGCAGGGGAAGCAGTGCCCTTGAATCTCCCTCACGCGCTTGAATCCCTCACGGTCTCGCTCAGCGATGGGAGGCGGAGGAGATAGTAGCCATTACGGCTGCTTCCGCAATCTGCCGGAGTTTTTTTGCTCACGGTCTCGCTCGGATTAGGGTTGTATTTTCATTGGGTATAATTTTCGGGTCGGATTGAGTTTGGTTTGATTGGGTATAATTTGATTTCATTTATTAATTTTATTATTATAATTTGTTGATGATATGGCGTGCTGACCCAAGCAAACTAATGGATTTTTGGATGGAGATAGACGGAATTACCTTTTTGTTATTAGTCTAAACAAATGTTACTGAAACGTATAAAATTAAAAGTTTATGACCGTTTTGTACAAAGTGAATAGTTTTGTGACCATTTATGATAATTACCCTTCTTTATATTTATCTATCCAGCTGATTTCATCGATTTAAAATTCCACTATGTTCTGGAGGTCTCAGGTTCAAATTCTTTCAATAACACCTAACTATAAACATCAACCAATGTCACCATTAGGGAGAAAAAATCCACTCGTTTCAATAGTACTATATTTCAAAATTCTTTCACCAAAACCTGCCTAAAAGCCAATCTCTCTGGCCACGGAAGGCACAAGGAAAGAGAACTACGACTATGTTAACTATTAGTCAAGCTGATAACTAAATAATAGAAAAAATTGGATAATATTTGCGTGACTAATTAACCAAACAGCTAAACAGGGTTCTAACTAAAAATGATTTGCCGTGATTGGCTCATCAAATTCCTAACAGCAATTGAAATAAGGTTTAACGAAACAATTATATTCCAGCAATAAACTGGAACATGATATTTATTCATGTCGAAAAAAACAACATTCCAGGAAAGGAGAAACTTGTAAAACATAGTAAATAAGAGCCGTAAGAGAATATTCATCGAGAAGAAAATGACAAGTAACCTACTTATTTTTTTATTCCCGTTTTCCAGAAACATACTATGAAGTCTCTCATCTTCAATGAGACTAGCTCCTAGCCTACTAGACTATTTTGACGCAGTAACACATTGCAGTTCTAATTTTGAAAGTGAGACCTGTTAGAGAGCGGGTATAAGATTCAGTATAATCTTCTCTCAACAACTCGACTTATTGGGATCAACTCGTTAGTTTTCTTGACCTAATTTTTTGATAAGTGTAGCTTTGTTTCTTTGTTTTGGTTGGTGGAATAAAAGATTGAAATTACTGTAAAAACAAACCAAAAAACTTGACCGGGACTACACATCATAACTCAAGTGTCGGTAATAATATACTGAAAAAAATTGCCTTGTACATTTACAATCTTTCTTATATCTACTCGACATTTTGCTACCAATATTAATTATCAACTCTCTTTTTGCTTTATTTTTTTTTTTGGTAGAACTCTCTTTTTGCTTTAGACAGAACATCGGTGAGATACAAATTATGGTCGATCCATTGATCAGAGAAGTATCCAAGCTTTCCCTCCGTCCATGTTGAACTTCTTGAGCCTTCCAAACAACATGACCAGAATGAGAACGATTTTGCCCTCATCACTCCATTTCCCAGAGAAGCCGTAGTACTTGTCCTGGCAATCCCCACTGGGATTTATCTGCCTTTTGCACCCGTATCCCATCGAGAACCCGACATTCCCATATGCACTGTGCACAATCATAAGTATTAAAAACAGTAGTAAATTAGTGCTGTGAAAACGGTACGGTTCTTCACCGGTTCGACATGACATATAACCATAAACGGTCCATATATCGCGAGGAGATAGTTGTAGATCAGAAGGAAAACTGTAACAAACCTGATGACTTCGAAGATGATGTTGAAAACGTTGTAGTTGAGGGGATCTTTTACTATACTCTGCCGCTCGGTGATGCATATCAAAATAATGAATATCGATAAGAAGGAGAGCTGCGAGACTATAAAATTCTCGATAAACTTGTTGTTATTGTGACCATGATGAACTCCTCCTTTTATTCTCGGCCTTGTGATTTCACCAGTAGTGTTATCATTATGACCGTCTTGAATCATGTACTTAACGCTTTCTCCTTGATTGTTGGTCTTTGCCACTTCACGCCCTGCCTTCATGGGAAGGAAGAACGTATAGGGCGGAAGGTACCTATACAAAGGGGAAAGACACAATTAGTATTGTCATTAGTGATATTGTCATTAGTCTTATTTAATTGCCATTGCATGTAAATTACATTGGTATTTGTTAAATAAAATTTATATATTTTATTTATAAAAATTTATTGAGGTTACAATCGAATTTATATATAAAATTTCTAATGAATTGCATAGATAAACCTAACCAAACTAAACTATCTAATCGTTCTCCATGTAAAAACAAATAGATGATGTAACCAAGAATTTTAAAGAAGTACGAGAGGTTGTACCGGAAAAATCAGTGATAGGATATTTTATGATGCAATTCTGGTTTAAGCATAATTCAATCAATTTTTCTCTAAAAAAATCGCTTACCAATTTATACTTCGTTAAAAAGAAATTCGATCGGCCTACCGATACGGTAGGGTTTTTTCAATGTAAATATAGTTTGTGTGAATTATTAGATAACCGCTATGTAAGAACAAACTTTTCTCGTAGCGGTCAACGGACTCAAGATGCCGACTCAGCAAAAGCAACACAAGAAGAAGACATATATAGAGAAAAGGAGAGCGATAGAGAGTACTCACATCATAACGACGAACACCACAAGAGACGCCGCGGAAATGGTGTTGAGATCCACAATGGTCTCGCCGGAATGCCTAGCGTTCACCGTCAGGAACAGAGCCCCGACCAGCTTCTCCACCGTGTTCAGCCCGATCAGACCCTCCGACCACCAGTCCGTCCCCAAGAACAGAGCGAATTGAACCGCCAGGAATATCACCACCGTGCCCGTCAGCCACACCGATTCCCGCCCGGGAAGGAGGTGGTAGAATCCGATCCTCTTGCTGTTCCGCAACAGGTACTCGGTGCAGTCCGATTTCGCCTTCCACAATTTCCCGGCGAGCCAGACGCAGAGGCGGAGGCAGGGCGGGAACATGGTGTTCCCCATCAGAACCTGGGGGATCAGAATCAGCTGCATCACGGTGTTATGCCTGAACACGATCATGTTCTCGTTTGTGGGGATGAATCCGCAGCTCCCGAAAGTGGAGACCGCGGTGAAGAGGGCGAAAGTGAACCTTTTTATCCCTTTCTCCTCCAGGACTCTGCTCGCGCTGGGAGACAGAGTGACGTACGCGGAAAGCAGAGCAACCCCAAAAATGTGGATTACGATCAGGTAGCACAGACAGATGAAGCTTAGAAATTGGACCGATTTGGACTCCAAAATTCGTTCTTGATCGTCGATTGACGACGGGGATGGAGCTCTCTCATCCTTTCCAACGCTCAATTCCAGCTCGTGACGATGATCACCGGGTGGACTCGAGGTTGGGGTGGCCCTGCTTTTCTCCTCCTCCTCTGCCGCCATCCGTGACTTGGTCCTCACCCGAAAGGCTTTCAGCGTGAGCACGACCACGGAGACGAAGACCTCGCCGCCGACGAACATGAGGAAGGTCATGAAAAGGAGCTGGGAGTTGGAGAAGGCCTCCATCTCGATGACGGACATGCTGGAGTCGGTGGCGGTGGAGACGGCGGTGAAGACGTAGTCGATGGTCCGTGGGACGTCGGCGCCCGGCCGGGTCCCGAGGTAGATGAGGATCCAGTAGCCGGCGAAGGAGAGGAAGAGGAAATAGAAAAGGTTGAGGGAGAACGAGTTGACCCGGAAGACGAAAAATCTGTTGAAGGGATTCATGGTTGATCAGCCGGATTCGGCGAGAGGAATTGGGGATTGGCGGTGGCGATGAATCAAATTCCTCACTTGTTCTAACCTCCGCGCGCAGCGATGGAAAAACAGAGGGGGGGATTAGTGGAGATTGGACCTCGACGACGGCGACTAAGGGCGATGCGACCTCCTCTTCTCGACGACGATTCGATGATGATGGCAAGCGAAATTCAACCGCCTCTTCTCCTGCGAATCAGAGGCAGTGATCGGTTTCTCCATCGAGATTTTACGCCATTCCTCTTCTTTCGTCTTCAGGGGCGAGGCACGCGACACATTGCCGGATCCAAGCCGAAGAGGGCCAGCCGGGGATCCGCCGTCGGCACTCTAGCAGGACGAACGAGAGAAAATGATACTTTTTTTCTTGTTTTTGGCGGAAGAAGAAGTTGGGATTTAGCCTCTGTTTTGTAGGAGGGAAATAGATTTTCCTTGTTTCTGAAAAAAAAAAAATGCTTACAAGAATAGGCAGGGGAGAATGGGAGGGAAATGGTGATAGGCGCGATCTTGGTCTTTGTTCATGTTTTCCATTTGTGGTGGAAGAACGAGATATTTAACGATAAATACATTCAATTTAGACATAGAAAAAATATTTAACAACATTGTAAGTTGTAACTAGGATATATGGAAATCGGGGAAATCGGGAAATAAATCAACTATAGAAGTGCTACTTTTTAATTTTGAGTAAATTTGAAGATTTGAATGGAAAAGACCTTATCTGAACCGCGTCAGAGATTTTGTTAGAAATCCGGTTAACAAAAAGAATTTTATCCCAAATTTGTATATCGGAGTCCAAGCCGATAGTAGGTTTTTGAGCTATGAAATTATTTAGCCACGATTTCAGAGGAAAATACTCTATCGCTCAGTTTTCTCATACGACCTCTCATACTCTTCGATGCCTTCTTGATATGTTTTTTAATGGTTTTCAAGGTACAAAACAACCTAGGAGAATTTGGATCAAGCATGAGATGATTCTAGAGGACTAAAGGAGCTAAAGAGAGAAGTTCAAGGAGCTTTCACGTTAAAGACAAGGTCTAATGATGGAGAAGCCTACCAGTAACCACAAGTAAAGCCCAATGGAGGAATACTCGGCCCTAACTGAAGCATGAACGAACAGACCTAACTTAGCATCGGGTCCAAACACCGCCCAAGTATACGTGGATAAATTGCGACAAAATCTTTAGAAGAGGTTGCTTGTGAGTTGTGAGCTAAGGAGTCCATCCCACGAAGAAATTGTGTTTGGGTAAGTCGCCCTAATTTTCTCTACTAGCCTATTTAAGCTTCTACGTTGGGTATGGAGTTTTAGATTTTGACGGGTATGCGTCATCAAGTAAATTGAGGTTAGATGTATGAATAGGATCCTATGGGGGTCGAGGCGACCGAACCCCTGCCATAGGAATGCCTTCCTAGATAGAACCCGAGATGAAAACTCGATGTGGACGGTGGGTAGTACCCATTGAAAGGAGCTACGAGCTTAATGCCCCAGATACGATAGCCTAGATCGAGGTGACTTTATATGGGTTTAGTAGAGACGTACTCGGAGGCGTGTGGATAACCACGAAAGCCCACAGAAAAAAGCTCACTCACCACATTCGACAAACCCTAAGTATCTAGACATTGCATAGTAGTCCTAAACTAGGGTGAGGGATAGTTCCCCGAAATACATGCTTTTATCTTTATTTGCCCTCTTAACTAGTAGCTTGCTCATATCCTCCAAAACAATCCCTTAAACGGATTGGCTAGATAACAACAATGTGGGAATAGGCTAGGGTACCAGGACCCGAGTGAATACGACCTTGTTCGCCACTATACGGTAACGCCATTTTAGCTAAACTTGGCCTAGGTTGGGGTAGTCGTTGACACGTGCTAACCATTGAAAATAATCTACACGGGTGAAATTGATCACATTCTCATATAATAAATTTCGAACTAACTATACATTAGCTGCACCCTCTTTAGATGCACCCTCTCCTACAAATGCTAAGCTTTCATTATACCATAGTGTCTACAGAAGTTTTGAATGAAATTATGTAGTCTACAGAACTAATTAGTCTAGCTCTCTATTTATGGTGGTATAACTCAACCAAAACCTTACTAACCCTACCAGAACACAGTTTCTTTGACTTGGGGTCGAAGCATGGCCTAAAGATCTCTTTTTATCCCTTTGGGCGGCGGTAGGAACCTTCACTGGTTTTCTTCGGGGGATTGCTATTCGTCGCCCTAAAAATGCTATTCATCGCCCTAACTCTTAATTAATTTACCCTAATGTCCCTAGTTTATTTTTTGTTTCACAAACACAAACCTTCAGACAAATACACATAACCCACACCAAAACACCCTTTACTCGTCATCTCTTTATTGAATTTGATGAAAAAAGGGATGCTGAGGATGCTATTCATGAGCTAGATGGTAAAATTATTGTTTACTGAAGTGGTTGTTTTCACTTTTTGCTTCATGTGGTTGTATTTGGATGTTTCTGGTTCTATGCTGGCTCTTAACATATTAATTATATTATGTAAAATGTTATCCAGGTCGTTTTGCACGCGAATGCCGCTCACGTGGTGGTTCAGAAAGAAGACGAACTTAGTTCGAGATACAGAAGGAGTCTCGTTTATGGCCTAAGGTTATGTTTGGAATATATTTCTGCATCTTCTCGTAACTTCTGTCGACCTATATGAGTTGTTAGTTTGACTTGGGCTCCTCTATGGCAGGAGGTACAGTCCTCGTGGTGGAAGATCTCCCAGACGTCGGAAACAGAGCATCAATGGTTGTGGGAGTGGCAGTAGCGGCAACCGGAATTCTGTTGGTGGGTGGTTGCACAACCAGCAGCAGCAACAGATGAGGGTGGGGGATCGGGTTGAGATGGGATGAATGTGGCGGTGGCGGTGAGCAGAATTCACCGGAAGCTGCTACGGGCAGTGGGGTCGGCGGCAGAATTTTTTCTCCCATGCAGTGGGGTTTGCAGTGGGTAGGGACGAGCGATTGTTTGTTTAGTATTTAGGTTAGAAATGGAGGTTAGGAATAAATGTGTCAATTTAGTGTGATTTAAGGCGATAAAATTTAAATTTTAGGACGATGAATAACAATTCAAAAAATAAAATAGCATGCAAATCAACTAAATAAACACATTCAAAACAATAAAATCTTATGCCCTCAACCTCCCCTAAAATGTGAGCCTAACTTCCACGATCACAAATCACAATCCCATCATCCAAATAATCGAACTTTCGAGCCTACTAGGACCTAGGTACTGAATAAAAAAACTAAGGTTAATAATCTGAAAATTATTCAACGAATAAAATATTTAAAAATCTTCTAAATACCAGAATCGAGAAGACTTCTATAAAAAGAAGTCTTGTAAATACCAGGACTAATTTGTACAATTTGGATTTTGATAGAAGCTTTAATTTTTAGTAACACAAGTTTAAGGCCTAACACGAACACTGCCATAACTATATAGTCTGCGTAGTAATAATCGAGTGCGGGAGAGAAAGCCCTTTCTTGTTTTTGTATTTCCTTAGATTAGGGTTTAAGGGCGCAATGCCACGCTCATGAATTCTGTTCACATCGGGAAATTACTCCCCAGATATCAGCGTATTGCAAGATTCTGTGGAACCACAATGGCTAAAGAGCAGAGACAATCGGACAACAAGGTCTATTTCCATTACAACCACACCGATCCCTGCAAATTCGCGAGATGGACAACAAGGTGTGTAATAAGATGATTAGGTGCCCTTCTTCATTTAGTACATTTTTTTTATCTGTTATTCCTTTTCACTCTTATGGAATTCGATCCGAAGTTATGAGCTTTCTACTGACAATGCATTTTTCCCCGTGCAGGGAAAGCTTTGAGTTCATGCACGGTCGGCCCTGGCAAGAAGTTGCCGACTTCTATTCCAATGTGGTGAATGGGAACTTGTCACTGTTGCAACTGTTTGATGAAGTTCAGGTGGGTGCTTGGTGTTTTGTTCTGTTTCTTGCGAGTTTTCGGTTGAAGTTCACTTCGTACTAATTAGTTGTGGTGGTTAGATTTTCATCAAGTTCATTTGTTTTAACATATTGATTAATGCGGGTCTCTGAAGCATGTTCATGTTGCAATTGGATATGAACCATGCTTCTCTTTCGTGGTCAACAATGCAATTTAACTGTGGCTAGTGAATCTACTACCATCCCCGGGTACCGGGTGTGAACATTAGATTAGGTGCTGGCGTGCTGCAGTTTCTTGACCTTTAAGTCCTTACCTCAACTGGTAGGTGGAATAAACTGCTGCTTATTCCAAAATTTACAAGACTGCCTTGTGTGAGGTTATAAATTTCATTTGATCCTAATACTATGCCGTAATACTATAATTCTAGGATTCATATGTTTTTTTCTTATCCTCTTGGTTTCTTACATTTCATTGTAGACAAATCTCCTATGCAGACACATAATAATCTTGATGCTGCTAAACTATCTGAAGTTTGCAATAGAACCGACTTTGAGGGCACTTTGAAGGAAGATAGATCTGGGAGGTTGGAAAGAGTGACATTCAAGATAGTTCTTTCTTATCATGGGTGTTCATTTGACGGTTGGCAGAAGCAACCTGGTTTGAACACGGTTCAGGGGTAAGGCTTTTCCCTGTTAATATATGTACCTTAGTATGCTTTTTTGTTGATAGATGTATTCCTGTGTTGGGGTTTACTGTCCTGTCTCTTATGATAGAAAATCTGCTTAACTTTGTGCACACTTCTTTGTAGCATTGATGAAACTCATCGAGGGTACCAGGAAACAGTTATTGCCTTCATATGTATTTACTCTTTTCCATCAAGAGACTGCTGTGAAGTTACTTTTAAACAATTTAGGGACATACCCTTCGTTTTATGATTAAATGCTTGCAATTCAAAGAATATACACGTAGTTTTGTACTCTCCCCCTGCTAATGGTCTTGTCCTTAATGTTACTCTGCTTCCCTTAAATCAATCAAAAGTTATAATTGTTTAATTGATCTGGATCGACTGTGAGGGTTCTGCTTGCTTTTTCATTATTAGTAACAGCCAATGCCTATTCAATTCTAATTTTCCATTTGTGCAGTTAAGGTCTAACAGAACTTGGGTTATCACTTTTCTTGAACAGATTAGTAGAACAGTGTTTGGGTAGATTTGTCGATGAGAGGAAAGCTCAACTACTTAAAGAAAAATCCAAGCCATTAGAAGGGTGTGCTGCTGTTGCTGGCCGCACGGACAAAGGAGTCTCCGCTCTTCAGCAAGTTTGTTCTTTCTGTATGTTATTAAATATCCCCTTTACGTGTTAACTGCTTCTCAACATCTGTTGCTAATAGTTGCTGGGGAAAGAACTTCTACCTGTTCTATTAAGGTTGAATCATATTTACCGATCATTAGTGTACTGGATAAAATGATACCGAAGGACCTAGTCGAGCCTTGCCAGTTAAATCATTCTCATTTATACATATTGATGATTTGTAGGAGGGTGGTAGTTTGAAGTGGTTCAGTTCTAGACAATTAAGACTTTCGACTTCGACTTCTAGACAGTTAGTTTAAGTTTAGTTGTTTGGCTTAGGCTATCATATTTTCTCTTAAGTTTAAGGCAGAGATCTGTGTTATGACTAGTGTCTGTCTGATTTGCAGTTATTTGAGATGCCGTAGCATTGTAGGGTTCCCTCCCATCTCTCGGGTTTCACAAAGCCATGCCCCACAATTATAATTGGTGTCTTGCTCATTATCTAAGTAACTTGGTAAAAGCTATCTGTTGGTAAAACTCAAAGTCTACCAATTAGCTCCTCAGTTCAGTGATTGGAGGAAATGAGAGTAGTTTTTACATTGTTTGTCCCATTATTTAAAGAAAGAGAAATTGATGAATGTTCTACTTCACTATGCATCGACTTTTTCACAGTTTCTTCAGAATTCTTTCCATCATGTTCAAATTTTTGTAGAAGCTGTTTTCTCATTGTCATGATTCTTTTCACATCTGTTGTAAGATACATGGAGGAAGGATATTAGGATTCAGGACATTGAAGATGTTATCAACAGCACAGCACCGGGGAAACTCAGGGCTGTATCAATCTCTGAGGTATCATGACTTATCAATATTAAGAAGAAGAAAAAAAGTAGAAAATTTATGTTGGATACCGGTCCAGTAAAATGCGTCACCCCAATTCCTTTTCACATCCTTTTGTTAACCTGCCACAGGTTTCACGTTCATTCCATCCCAATTTTTCAGCCAAATGGAGGCGGTACTTGTATATTTTTCCTTTCAATGGCGGTGAAAACAGAGAGCCCAGCTTGCGATGCGGAGAGGAGGAGAACATTTTGACTGAGAATGGACACTATGGAGGGCAAAGAGATGTCTCTGATGAGCTCAGATGGGAGGGGGATGATAACAACTTGATAGTCAGGGATGACGGTGAGCTCCAAGGTCCAAAGAAATCTAGTACATTTACTGTGTGCAAGGTTAACAGACTTCTGCAGCAACTAGAGGGGAAGTTATTGTCCTACAGAATCTTTGCTCGTGACACAAAGGCTTCCAGAAGCATGTAAGCCATGTTGAAAGTTCCCTTTGCTTTTGTAAATTACGAATGAAATGATTGTTTTGCATTTATTTTATCTACCAGTCCATGACTAGTATTTTGATAGATTCTGTAATTAGAGCTCCAGGTCAACCTTTTTGTTACCCTTTCTTTCTTTCTTTCTTTTTTTTGGCTCAGAGCATTTCTTGTTTGGTTATAAGAGCATGTTTGAGGATTTAACTTTGGGCTACTAGCTTCACTGGGTAGTTAGTTGCAGGAAGAGCTAAAAAAAGGTCGATGTTACCTTCATGAAAGAAGAAAGAAAGTCATTTTTACCTGTACTAGAATTGTTGCCTCAATTATAAATGGTGAAATGTGCAGTTAGCTATACTTTATTACTAACATATCCATATTCATGTTGCAGAGGTCCTCCAACAGAGTGTTTTATGTATCACGCTCGAGCTGCAGAAGCCACTATACCGCAACCTGTATATGTTTCTTAACCAGATTTTCTCTCAAATTTTACTTTTACCAACCATTCTGAAACTTATCTTTGAGAAATGGGACGATTTGGCGAAACACATTCCTGACTTTCTGATGTTAATTTGCAATGGAATGTCCACTTTTGCAGCATCCTGGAGCTGGAAGAACAGTTATGTGTGTAGAACTGGTTGCGAATCGCTTCCTGCGCAGGGTATGCATCAAACTTAGCACCACATTTGGTTATGGCACCCCATGTTGACCTCATATTACTACGTCCATGACACGGGTCATTCCCAGTAAGCTAGTTTCGATACGATTTTATAGAATCGCCATGTTCCATCCTAGGGATGTGGACGAAATCGGATCCCATGCTCATTTAACCTCCTCGCACCTCGTAGCTTCTCAAGCCACTACCATGATTCGCCTAACCATTCTTATTCCTTCAACAAGTAATTTACTTTTGCTTTCAAACCTGAACTGCTGCCACGTGACCTTTTGGTGGTGGGGTGAAACAGATGGTTCGAGTTCTTGTTGCGACATCGATAAGGGAGGCAGCTGCTGGCGCAGAAGATGATGCTCTGCTAAAGCTAATGGATGCTACCTGTCGAAGGGCCACTGCTCCGCCTGCTCCTCCAGAAGGTTTGTGTATGGTTAATGTAGGGTATGCTGAATTCGACCCCCGTAACTGCATCATTCCATGATGTTATTATCTCTTTCACAGAGAGTCAGAGCTTTTCTTGTAGGGTATACTGTGAAACTTATGCTCGTATAGGGCTTTCTTTTGACAACTTACAAGCTACACTTGTCATTTCCCCCCTTCTATTAAAGAGGTTACAACTTACTTACGAGTTGCAATCTTAAATATCCTTGTGTTTTAACGACAATGTTTGCTTCTATCTACAATATATATAAAGGCAAAATATGGATTGGATTTTCAGCTTCTGAGGAAATTTCGGAAGACCCTTATTGTCATTTCACATCTATATTAATGAACCTGTGTGTTTCTTGCTCAGCTGGGCCGGCAAAACCTGATGATGGTTCATCATCTTCCGTAGGTATTCCTGTCTTTGACAACATAAAATTAGTGGTAGTTAAAGAATTTAAACGTTGCAGACATAAGTCCTAAACGTGGCTAGACAAAGAAAAAGGGAAAAATAAATTAACAATACGTAATAAACTAATTTATTATGATTAAGACTCATTAGACATTTTTAAATAACTAGATGATATTCATAGAAAAAATACGTGATAGATAGTGTTTAGAATATTAACAGTTGTACTAACCAAAAACATACTAGAGCTCATAATTGGAACTAGGCCCTTTAACCCCCTCATTTGTTCATTAATTAATTACAAACCATGTCATGTTTTTATTCGACCATTAGAACTAAGTTTTATACACTATCTAATCTATTTGAAATATTACACACAAAAAAAAAAAAAATGAATTACATGGAACACTTGCTATCTAGATTAGTGTATTTTGGGAGGCTTTGGTATGGTTGGAATTTAAAATTTGGATTTTTATTTCCTTTTTGGAAAAGAATTCCCATGCATGCACTTATATGGAATTTCTATATCATACTGTAAAACTTATAATCCGCAATTATTTTCACAGTTTTGGTTGGCGAAGTTCACCATACACAAACATCCTTTCAACTTTTCTATATGCCCTTTCCATGAAATGTTAAAAAATGTACACCTAAAACTATTAGATTGAGTCCTTTGACTATTATTGTCATTTGTAGTCTATTTATTTGTTTTAGATATTCTATCCATCTCATATTATCACCTCATGTGTATTAGGGGGCCTTGATCAAAATAGTACTGAAAGACTCCTTGATTTCTAAATTTGAAGTTGTAATACTCAATCAACCTCAATCAATTGTGGTCTATGTACTTACTTCAGTACAACATAATTCAACTACTAAGTTGTTTTTATTATCGTTGCTAGGGAAGTATTACTTTACTGCATCTCCAACATCCAATTTATATTTCAACTTGAATTATCTTTCATTGCACCATTTGTTAAACCTGTAAGTAAATGATCTTATGAATATTATAAATATATTCATGCTCAATTAAAGTTAATGGGTCGTTTGGAGGTTGGGATTTCAAGTAATGTATTTAGCTAATGCATGTAATGTCAAGATTAAGTCTTTTTTTGGTTAAATTTGTGACATAATACATGTATTACCTTTTTCTGGGCTCACCTATAGCACTCAAAATGAGTGATTGTCAATCTCTACCAAAATGTGAGATTGTGCCCAAAGGATTGTTTACCCTCTACTTTTTTTATTTATAACAAAGCATAATCTAACCTCCAAACAATGTATTTTTCAAATTCATACATTTCACCAATATATCAAATTATAATACACAAATTGATTAAATACATCAATTTGGAGAATCTCAACCTCCAAACAACCCAACTTTGGTATTTGTTATTGCTTATGGCAAACTTAGGGGAATGAAAATATTATTAAAGAGGACTCATACGAAGTTGCCAAATAACGTCCCAACATTTGTTCAATTGTAGACATAACTTCATTTTGATTATCTCTTAAACCATGGTAAAATGTTTGCAAATCGTCATTTTCCACATGGACCTATCTTCACTGTAATCTTATATATTCATAAATCTTTATTATTTTTATTTCATCAATAAATACATATTTTTTGTAGGAAAATTACTACATCAATGATGGTTATATTTGCAACCTAAGAGTCATTTGGGCAATCACCCGTGCACAATACATTGTCTAACTAACTATTAGTCACAACTTTGTATAATTTCATATATATTTCAAATCCTGCAACTTCACATCCATCAACCGCACTATGAGCACCACAGATACTCTCTATTGGGGAAAACACTTCATGAGAATATTGAATTATATCAAAGACCAATACTTTTCTTTCCTTTTTAAGGTTGATTACGTATGTATTATGGAAAGAACCTCTGATATTCAACTTTATCGTCTACTCAAGGATTAAGAGAAAAATAGTTATATGTATTTCTTCCCTCATTGAATAATTATACCAATTTTTTATATCTTATTTTTTCTCTTTTTATTATATTCTAAGCACAAGATGCATAGCCAAACATTACATGTATGTATTTACGAACACCTATCCTATTCATATTATATACCATATTCCCGATCTAATCTCTACCAGCCAAAGGGTCGGGCCCGGTGCTAGTTTTTAAGAAGACGAGTATATCCAGTTACAATCACAGCGTAAAAACATTTGAAAGGAGAGCCGTAACTTCCTCCCACAAAAAACAACTAAACAGAGAGATTTGGGTGAACCGCATTTCTCAACACAATAGATTCACCCCCTCTTTTCTCCCTTGTTTTCTGTTTTCCACCCTTGTTTCTCTCTCTCTTTTTTCTCTTCTCATTTCTCCTGCTATTCTTATTCTCCCATGCCATTACATTCAAAAGACAAACCCCTCATTCCATCCCAACCTTTTCCTCTCTTCCCCAACCTCCCTTCTCCCCCCTCCATTTCCCTCACCGTCACCCCCTCAACACGAAAATCCCTTCTCCGGTGGTACCTCGCCACGTTGAAGGCTCCTCATGCCAGTAAAGGGCGAACACGCCGCCCCTTTACAGCGTGTTCCGCCCTTCATAATCGACGACTCAACCTCGTCCTCCGACGAGGAAGACGATACTATGGCTCCTCGCCATAGACGTACTAACAAGAACAACCACGATATCGTCGAGAAATCGTTGTTCTTCCTGCTCATCATCTCCCTTCACCTCGTCCCCTCGTGGGGGCTCACCGACTCCGAGAGCCTCCTCAAGTTCAAGGCCTCCCTGGCCAACGCCAAGGCCCTCGCCGATTGGGCCGACAACAGCGTGGTGTGCGATGGGGACAATGCCAATTGGATCGGCGTGATCTGCGACGAAGGCCTGGTCTTGGGCCTGCAGCTGGAGAAGATGGGGCTCGGAGGGAAGATCGACGTGGACAGCCTGGCGGAACTCGAGGAGCTGAAAACTGTGAGCCTCATGGACAATGCGTTTGATGGCCCCCTGCCGGATTTCAAGAAACTTGGCGGGTTGAGGGCGTTGTACCTGTCGAACAACCAATTCTCCGGCGAGATTCCTGCGGATGCTTTTCAAGGAATGACCAAGCTGAAGAAATTGTACCTGTCTGGTAACAAGTTTACAGGGGAAATCCCTTCGTCGCTAGCTGGGTTGTCCAAGCTTACCAATTTGAGGCTCGAACAGAACGAATTCACGGGGCGGTTGCCTGAATTCACTGCCAAGTTCGAGGCTTTCAACGCGTCCGATAATAAGCTGGAAGGACCCATCCCTGCTAGCCTTGCCAACCTTGATCCGTCTGCATTTTCTGGTAAAATTTCCTCTGTTTTCTTGAACATGCTGAATGTTTCTTTTCCATGAATGATAAATGTCGGAGCCAATGCATCAGGTTCTGGGACCCACTTTGTCTCGAAAGAGAAATGAATAACCATGGACAATATAGTTAGCGGACGGTGAAATTGCACCCTAATCTCATTAATACTAGCCAATATTTTAACAATTAAACTATAGTGAACTTAGTTTTATCATTATTTACATATAATATATTCTAGTTTTTCCATAAATCAAATAGATTCCATCTTTCAAGTCTTAGAATTTTAATTTTACATATTACTCTTCTTCCACCGAATCTGTTATCTTTCTTTTAACCTAATAATGAGTTCTTTGATAATCATTTTTAGATTTTGAACGTAAATTATACATATGATTTGAGAAGACTACAAGAAGTTTCTAAAACTAAACAAAAACTCCTAGACCTTTAGGATCATGAACATCAAAAGAAGCAACTTAGTGTTATCGCTACCTGCCTTCTCCACAAGTTTTGAAATAAAGATTTACAATGATCAGTTACATAAAAACACTCTTCTCGCTCATTTAGTTTGATGAACTAATAAAATCATAGAATACTCTCTGATAGAATTAATAAGATTGCTATTATATGAATGTGTCTTTTTTTTAAGTTTTTCATAATATGAAAAATACTCTGTTGAACATGGTAAAACTGTTAAAAGTTATCTAAAACGAAATCTTGATTGCGCCACTGAATGCTGATGAACACGTGAGAGCGCAGGGAACAAAGGCTTATGTGGAAAACCATTAGGCGAATGCACCGCCGCTCCCGCCCCATCCGACGCCGCCGCCCCAACGGCGGCAAAGGCTGCCGCCGCCGCCTCAAACTCTAAGTCAAGCCTCCTCCAAACCGACGGCGCCGCAAACCCGACCGACCCGGACGACCCGACCGGTCACGCCGCTGCCACCACCGGCTACTGGAAGCCGTCGACGGCGAGCATCGTCTTCGTGGCCATCGTCGGCGGGTTCGCCGTATGCGGGATCCTCGCTGCCGCATTCATCCTGATGCGGCGCCGCCACCAGCCCCCGGAGTCGATCGAGGCCGGCACCCCGGGGGTGCCGGACATCCAGCCAGACGACCCGAACCCACGGGCGCCGAAGAAGCAGGAGAGCCGCGTGGCGGCCGGAGGAGGGAAGAAGTCGGCGGCGGCGGCGGAGGCGGTGAAGCTTTCGTTCGTTCGTGAGGACAGGGGGAAGTTCGAGCTCACCGACCTGCTGAAGGCGTCGGCGGAGATACTGGGAGCCGGGTGCTTCGGTTCGTCGTACAAGGCGGCGCTGACTTCCGGGCAGGTGATGGTGGTGAAGAGGTTCAAGCAGATGAATAATGTTGGGAGGGAGGAGTTCCACGAGCACATGCGGCGCGTAGGGAGGCTGAAGCATACCAACTTGTTGCCGCTTGTTGCTTACTATTACAGGAAGGAGGAGAAGCTGCTGGTTCATGACTTCGTTCCCTATGGTAGTTTGGCTGTCCATCTCCATAGTAAGTTTCTGATTTTCTTTCTACCTTTGTCCCGTCTTGGTTTCGTATTTTCTTTTTCCGCTAACTTGAAGATTCGTTAGCAGATATTAACTGATATTCAAAATACATGAACTAGTATCCAAATACTAAGTATCTAGAGAGCACAGACTAGTATTCAAGGTTTGCAAATTGATATCCGCCATGAATAAACTATTATCCCAAATTCACACACTAATATATAGACAACACATAATAGTATCCATACGGCACATAATTAGTATCCAGATAACACATAAGAGTTTCCATATTGAATACTAGTTGGTTAATTGTGGATATTAGTTGGTATTTGCTATCTGAATATTAGTTTGTGATGTTTTGAATACTAGTTTGTGCTATCTAGATACTTTGGAAATCAACAGATTTGAATACTAATTCGTACATTTTGGATATTAGTTAGTATATACTAACAACTTATACCGTTAGCAGAATAATTAGGCTGCATAAAACTTGCTCACAACCCTTTTTGGTTTTGTTATTTTGAAACTAGTACATGTTATTTCTTGGAATAGTTTGTGGAAAAAAACCCTAGTTTATATGTTTTTTTTCCCGTCCAACAAGATCAATATCGATACTTTATGTACATGTTTTTCCTGAATATTCATTGGAAAGAATACTGATATTCATGTCATAGAATATCCCTATCAAATTGTCTGAATACTTGGAACTATAGTATACGAATACTATCAAACTTTTATCTTGAACAACTTGTAAAAAAAATGCCAGATATTATTATTATTATATTATTAATAGCACAAGTTACGTTTACATATTTTTACTGTTTCATTCGAAAAAATAGCAAAAGCCACATTGTCGCGAAAAATTAAGTTTAGTTACTGTTCACTTAGGAATTAATCACCTAACCGCTGCTCCATGATATTCCCTTCCGTAATTAAGGTTTCCCCATGACTGAACAGGCAAAGCCCATTTAATGCCAACCTACTACGTTTTACCTGTTCTCTGAACAATTTGCTTTGTTCTTCGAGTTCACAAATCTTGGCGGGTATTAGCAGAGAAGGGAAGAAGACATATACTTTTAGCTTTTTTTTATAAAAAGTAAACCAAAAACACAAATAAATATATATCAATAAACTATGTAACCGAATAAATATAAATTTCCTACGTAGCAACTTGATTTTATTATTAGACCAAATATTACGGAAGATTTATATAGCACTATTCTATAACAGTTACGCAAATTAAAATTTCATGAATGTAATATATTACAGAAGATTTATATAACACCATTCTATAACAGTTACGTAAATTAAAACTTCATGAATGTAATTTACTATAACGTGATTTTATTATTAGACCATACATTATGAAAAATTTATGTAATAACTATCTATAAATGTTACATGAGATTTTTTTCTCAACGGGTATTGCTGACAATGGAGTTTTATCACATATGCCCAATTTTACCATAATCCTCATTTTTTCCTTTTTAGCAATACTATTCACATGAGTTTTATTCCCTATACAACCAATTCTACGATAATTCTGAAACTCATATTAAATTCTATGATAAATTATTAACTGAAACTCCTTTACTTTCAATGTTTATTACTAAACAATATGTTACTTTCTAAAATTTGATTTTATCATTAGACCACACATTATTAAAGATTTATGTAATAATGTTCTATCATATTTCTTTATCACATACATCTAATTTTACCATAAGCTCTTGATTATTTAATTTTGACATAACAATTTAATCATATGTTACTTTCTATGACAACACCTTATGAAATATTTACGTAACAACATTATATGACAGTTACATAAATTAAAACTTCATGAATGTTACTTATTATAATGTGATTTTATTATTAGACCACACATTATGAAAAATTTATGTAATAACTATCTATAATTGTTACATGAATTTTTCTTAATGATTAAGACACTATACAAAGTTTATGAACAAATAATCATTTTATATGTATCAATTAAAAAAATGTAAGGTTTCTATAATGACTAAACACTATGTAAATTTTATGTTGAAATAGTTATTTACGATGTATCGCTTAAACAAAAGGATGATTATGTTATTCTTAATGATTAAGACATCACGTGAAACTTGCATATGTATCTTATCTAAATAATTTTATGAATTATTTGATTTAAACTAAATCATTAGTTCTTACCGCGGCGGAGCGCGGGCCAAAAAACTAGTCTTTCTTAAACGGGTTAGCTCACATAACTATTCCGGGAAAAAAAACGTCGACTAGCCTTAGAATCACCAAAGATAGAAAAGAATGGATGTTAGCACACCATAGAACAACAAAAAGTACAATCACCGTAGCTACAAATTCATCCAGCGAGTCGTACAGATCCGGCAATGATGAAAACAAAATGTGTATCTAAAAAAGAAATGCATGTAGCTAAGCAAAACCCTAGACACCAACATCCTTAATTTATAGCTGTACTCACTAGACGGTTAAAGAATGATATAAGATCCAACATAACTTTCTCTCAATAACTCGAGTTATTGAGATCAATTGGTTCTTGACATAGTATCAGAGCCTAGAACCGAAAGGTCATGTGTTCGAATCTCCACGACCCCCCAATATTAACTGTTATCTTTCAAGCACATAGTATATGGTGGGCCTGTGCAAACTTCAAGTCTGTGGGTTGGCTTTCGTTTGAGGGGGGCGTGTTAGAGAATGGTATAAGATCCAGCATAACCTTCTCCCAATAACTCGAGTTATTGAAATCAATTGGTTCTTGACATAGACATCCTATACTAATCACACAAACATGAACTAACTAATAACTTTGTTCTATCATGGTGGGATCATTCACTCACAGGCCACCAAGCCCTAGGGCAGCCAAGCCTGGAGTGGGAGAACCGGGTGAAGATCATCAAGGGAGTCGCCAGGGGACTGTCCTATCTCTACAAGGAGCTCCCCAGCCTCATCTCCGCACACGGCCACCTGAAATCCAACAACGTCCTCCTCGACGAGAACTTCGAGCCTTACCTCACCGACTACGCCCTCATCCCCGTCATCAACCAGGAGAACGCCCAGGAGCTCATGGTCGCCTACAAGTCCCCGGAGTACCTCCACCACGGCCGCGTCACCAAAAAAACCGACGTCTGGGCCCTAGGGATGCTCATCCTCGAGATCCTCACCGGCCGCATCCCCTCCACCGTCCTCAAGCAAGCCACGAGTAGTGGTGGTGGTGGAGGGGACAGTAAGGAGGAGGATCTGGCGGCGTGGGTGAGGTCGGTGCCGGAGGAGGAGTGGCCGCGGGCGGTGGTGGACAAGGAGCTCGCGGAGGAGATTGTGAATGAGCGTAATGAAGGCGAGGTGGTGAAGCTGGTGAGGATCGGGTTGGGATGTTGCGAGGCGGATGTGGAGAGGAGGTTTGATTTGAAGGAGGCGGTGGAGAGGATCGAGGAGGTGAAGGTGAACGACGATAGGCCGGAGGATGCCGCCGCCTTCGACGACGATTTCTATTCTTCGTATAGTGAGAGCACTACTGCGACCGGTGGTGGCGGTGGCGGGGAGCGGAGGAAGCCGTCGAGAGAATTGTCTGCTGATTTTGGTGGCATCTCTTAATTTTTTTTCTTTTCTTTCTTTTTTGTGTGTTTTGAGAATTGTATCGTGTTTCTTATCCCCCATTGGTTTTGAAGAAGAGAATTTGTGTATATGGGGAAATGTACGAAATTGAATCGAATCGAAGAAGATGTTTGTGTCGTTTGGAAATTATGTGCCTTAGTCATGTGTAATTAAGTTATATCTCAGAGAGATTATGGTTGTGTTGTTTGGTTGTGGTATAGTATTAATATGTTACTCTAGCATTTTGGGTGGTGATTTTAGGAAAAGTTTGATTGTGAAGACGGTAATCTCATGAATGAAGAGAAGCAACAGTGCAACACTGATGTGTGTTGATTAGAGGTGGCACCGTGGTAATTAGGATCGATATCTATGAATTCAATTCAATCCTTCCACCAAATTATTCATCTAAACCAATTCATTTAAATATAATCCATTTGAACCAAATTCAATTGGAATGGTGGAACCGTGGATTGATCCACGAATCCAAATGACAAATTATGATTTAGTACTTATATTTTTATATTTTGGTACCTAAAATTTACTGTTTATACGAAAAATATTGTTGAAAAATTACATTTTGGTAACTAATTTTCATTGTGACCTTTTAGTACCTAAATTTTTCAAAATTTACATATGGATCCAAGAATTGGATGTCATTTGGATTCATAGATCAAACCACCAAGTCATTTGATCCAATTCATGAATCCACCAATCCCCTGGATCCAATCCATATGATCCATGGATCCACCAATCAATAAATCCAATCCATTTATCACATCAAATGTTGATCTTGATTTCTGCGAAATGATATGGACAATAATTAAGAATATGCTCGTGGTTCAAGCAAATTAGTATATCCTTCTTTTTCTTGCATGCTTTTTGTGCTGAGGAACATAATTGCCTGCTTTTTTTTACTCAACCTGTGTTTTAGTGGTTTGTTTTTAAGTGCCAGAGGTTTAATAACTCGATATTTATACACGTCTTCCTCAAACATTTTAATGTCTTATGCATGTAATTTAAGCTACGTTTAATGAGATCATCGAATTTTATACTTGATGTGTTATTTTCGGGTTGTTTTCAATCTTCTAAGCGTTGAGGATCGAACGATTTTATTTTGGATTGAATAGATGCGATGAATTCATCTACATGATCACCAGTGTCATTGTCGGGCGTGTGATGCTTGCATTGCATCCTCTATAACACCAAACTGAGAAAGGCCGTCGTTTGAGCACCAAATATAAGTACCAAAATACTCGCCTTTCCCTCTAGACTGTAGTTCATAATTTATTTAACTTTTTTTTTTAAATGGGGACTAATCACTTCTGAAGGATGGAAAACCTCTAAAACGAACGACCATGTTTCTTTTATAGGTTGATCAATCAAAATTTGAGGTAAATGCGGGAACTCGGCTTGTGAGGTATATTTCCGCAATACGCATAATCTATCTTGCCCTCATTCCCATTTCTCCGTCTCCTAAACTGAACCATTTCAAAATACAATCATGGGGCCGATCTTCATCTCTCAATCACATTTGGTCTCCGATTGGATTCACCCGCCATTGGCATTTCCTCCGATCCCAAAAACCCACATTCTTCATCCCCCCAAAAACACAAACACACATCATCATACCCTGTTCCGATCATCCCCTGTTTCTCAATCTGGTAAATACCAATCCAACAATCAATGGAGAGAAGCTCGGAAATGGGCGGGAGGGAGAGGGTGGTGGCGGTGGCCGTGGACAGGGATAAGAGCAGCATCTATGCTTTGAAATGGGCCATTACTCATATCGTCACCAGGCACGAGACCCTCCGCCTTCTCCATGTCAAAGACCGATTCCTCACTGGTACCGACCTGCTTGTTCATTCATCATTCTCTTGTTACTCATTTGTGTTTGTTCTCCTCATTCTTTTCATTTGCTTGCGTGGATGCGATATACGATCCTGGTACGCGTATATATGGACGTACGTTAGGTCAGCAATGGGGAATGGATCAAGAACAGAGTCCAGATGCTTTGATCGCCGAGATGATGCTTCCCCTCAAATGTTACTGTATGCGCAAAGAAGTAAGTCATTCTGCCGACGCAATGATGAGGAATTTTTATCGTCGTAACATAGAACAGCATGTTACGACGATAAATATGCTTTCGGTAATTGATTCTCAAGGGTGGCATTGATTGAACCCTCTCATCATGCTGCTCAAATCAGGTTAATTGCGAGACCGTTGTACTGGAGGCTAGCGATGTAGCCAAAGCAATAGTAGAGTACATTGGCCATTTTGGTGTCAAGATTCTCTTACTCGGCACACCCAGCAAAACCGGTATTTCCAGGTAATTGTTTGATAATAAGAAACAAGGAAACTGTTTCTTTTAACTGCCTCTGAAGATTGTGCTGTCATGATCATTTCATTCCATTACGACGAAATCTGCAGGCTGTTTCGGAGTACAGATATTCCGAGCACAGTGATGAAATGGGCACCCGATTTCTGCACAGTCTACGTTATAGCTAAAGGAAAGATCAGCTCTGCACGGAATTCTTCGCGTTCCATTCCATCACCACACCTTCCTCCACTTTCTTCCTCCCCCAGTACTGCAAAATATCCCAGTTTAACCCCTTCTGATACCTCGTAAGTTTCATCTCGTAATGTTACTTACGTTTTAACGATCTCCGTGGCTGTGGTCTTACGTGAATATATATACGTAATAACAAAAAAAATGTATAGGTCAATTAAGAGAGTGAATGGAAGATCGTACGACAACCTGGACTATGAACTCCTCCTTGGTGGAATGTCAGACGCTCGGTTGAGCGTTGATCAGGGCAACTCCCTCAAGTTCTACGATACCGTCCAGGATTCTTCAAGGCCTTCAAGGGCTACCAGAGCTGATGTGCCGCCGAACTGGGAACCTTCTAGAAATTCCTCCTATGTAGATTGCAGAGAGGACTTTGAGCCATCCATAACATCAGGTTTTCGAATGTCTAATGGCCATACCTCGACCTCGACCGACGATCGAAGCTCTTGGGAACAGGTTAGGCGTCATGTCATGACATAGAAAAACAAACATAAACTTTGTTCTCGCCTAATTACTATAGTTAATGCGTTACATGGGATGTTGTTGCAGGAAGATTATGAGCGCCAGATGAAAAGACTGGAGACAGAGCTAAAGCAGACGATGGATATGTACCATGCAGCTTGCAAAGAAGCACTTGCAGCAAAGCGGAAAGTATGTATCCACATTGACCTTTCTGCAAAAAGGTTCTGAAAAGTTACCTGGAGTTTTTAGGTTCTTGCTGTTCTAGCATTTGCTATTCTTTGATACAGGCTATGGAAGTTGAGAAGTGGAAGGTGAGGGAGGAGAAGAGGATAGAAGAGGCACGGGAGTTAGAGCAGAAGGTAGGACTGATTGTGGAGAAGGAAAAAGAAAGGATCAAAATAGAGGCAAATGAAGCAGCTCAGAGGTTTGTAGAAGCTGAAGTGGAGAAAAGGGTTAACGCAGAGATAGATGCCATAAGAGGATTTGAAGAGATGCAGGCCGATCTTTATGGTTTAGATAGCCTAGGACAGTCCCTATTAGTTCTCAAATATAAAAGCTTATATCACATTGTTTCAGTTTTGTTCCTCTTTTATTTTTACTTCTCTGTCTCCAGTTGGTGACACGAAAATGTATTACGAAACAGTTTGTGATCCAGATATCCCAAAAACATCATACAAGAGAGCCATTTTCTTAAGTTCAGAGCTATTGCAAGCCTAAATACTCCCAAGAACTAAAACAAATACTGCTTTCAAGTCATACATGACCCTAATGATAAAAGTAGTTGATGACATGAGAAGCAGATGAGATAGCAAGAACACAAACAGATACCAAGGTGCACAAATGTTCCCATGTTCATAACCTTGAACAGCAGGCCACTTTTAGACGCCAATCACAGCATTAGGTAAATAAACGTCAAATGAGTTCTGTACAAGGAAAAGTCCAAAACCCAAACCTGCATACTGTTTGCTCCTTCCTCAATAACTAGCCTTCTCCTGTGCATTGCTTTACACCTGAATCTCCAAGCAATAAGAGAAGCAAGATTGTTTAAGAGAACAAGCTCCACACATGTCGCTGCAGGAAGCCAATTAGCAGGTGCCATCCGCCTAAAATTAGGCCTGATGGCAATCCTACAACAGCAAGATGGACATCAATTTTTTTACATATGGCAAATACAAGTTTCAAGGTCAACTTGACTGCTGCAACTCCCACAAGACTTGTTCATCAATCTTGGTAAACAATCCTTTGTCGTCTAGACGCTTCCAGGTTCTGATTCTTTCAACTCCTCTCCATGACATTTCACCTTTTCCCAGTTCAGCTGATATAACTCTGACCCTGCGTGGCCACCCGGGTTTTCCATAACCATGGTATCCAGATCCACCACCATAACAAAACCAGATGCCATTTAAAGTCCCGCAGAAATCATTGGTATGATCATGCCCCATAAAAACAGCCTTCACATCCCCCATTGATACAAAGGTCTTCAAGACTCCTGGGTTCACCAACGAACAAGCAACACCTTCCTGAAACTGGCCGATGATCTTCTGATAGTACAGCTGTGGAATTTCAGGAATTGGGATGTGGAAGAAAGCCAGTGCAGGATTTATAGGCATCCGTGAAACCTCTGCCATGTGATTGAGATTCTCAATCTGCTCCTGTTAGGTTGTGACCTGCAACATGTTAATTGAGTCTAAATCTAAACATCCCACTTTGGGAATTGAAGAACAATGGTAGAAACAAAAGAAAAAAAAGTCCCATATTGCTATATACCTTATTTCGCTTTGAAACGCCACCAAGCCAATGAAGTTGAGATTCTTTAATCCACCCATAAGTACGTCTTCCTTGGACTACTTCTCTGTCTCCACTGTCAAGGAAGTAAAGATTCATGACGCTGTCATTTGCCAAAACAGAACCAGGCGGACCATATACGTGGAGATCGTAGTTTCCAAAGCCATCAATTTTCCTCCTTTTGGGTAACTCCACATAATTGGCCGGTACATCCGCCCATGGATTGACTTGTGACACTGAGTAATCCATAAGCGATATAAAAGACATCAATTCTTCTCGAGTCATTGTAGATTCTTGGTCATGGTTACCTAACACTGCTGCCCATGGAATTTCAGAGTCCATGGCTGGACCAAATGCACGAAGTAAGGATTCAGCAGCATCAGTTGTACTACTTCCAAAGATATTGTCTCCTGGTCATAGGAACTGCATACAAGTTAGTAACAGGGACAGTGTTCTTTGAGAGCTTCAATCTCTTATCACTCCATTTTAATGCAATAAACGGAAAAATTGTAAATCGCTACAGCTTCCCAAATGGGTAAAGCCAATGCCATAGCAGACTCAGTAAAAAGGTTCAATTCCATTCAAAAGGACAGTGCTTTCCATTTCTCATGAATCAAAGACAGTATATGAGGAACCATCCCCTTCATTTCAGCGAACTGGGTAACTCTAGAAGTTCAGGCTGAACCAAAAGTAAGTGGAAATCAGAAAAGGAGGGAACCTGTAAAAGCGATGAAATCGGGCTTCTCAAGCTCGATCATTCGCCGGACAAAGCGAGTGGTGTTGAGATCGGAGCAGTAGTCGAACTCGGAAGGCAGCACATCTCTGCAACGGGTGACCACCCCGGTCCCGAAATGCATGTCGGCGACCTGGAGGATTTTGAAGGTGCCATCGTCCCGAAATCGGAGAGGGAGATCCGGGGAACGCTTCAGGCGCAGCGGGTGGTGGCCGACGAGCAAATTGGTGGCGATTTGGGAGTGAAGGAGGAAGACGGTGGAGAGTATCAAAGTCAAATAAAGGAGGGAATTTGTCCATTTCGAAGCAGCTAGGGATTCCATCTTTTTCTTCAACGCAACGGGAGAATTGAGACAACTCGCGGAATCGGAAGTCGAGCGGGCGGGCGGGCGGGCGGGCAATTTGGGTGTCTGAGTCGCCGCTCTCCGATATGGCCAGCGGAGGAAGCTAATAGGTTGAAGACTCGGAAGACGACGAGCGGTGCTGCCTGAGGAAGCGACGTCGTGAGGACTTACTGTACGGCGTTTTAGCTTATCCTTTCATTCTTCGTAAATCGTAAACAATCTCTAGCTTGTCCTTTCATTCTTCGTAATCAATCTCGGCCACTTTTTTGGCTAATTTAAATATGATAAATAATAGAAATCAGGAAAATCATTTAAATTTTTTTAATAATTTTTATGCTGACGTGGCAATGACAAGGAGTGTTGACTAACGATCAACGTTGTTAACCGTCTAAATTAATGGTCAAACCATGTGTCGGGTCAATTAAGTCCGTATGTTGCATAGTTGAGGCCAGAATGTTAGTTTCTAAAACCACGGATCAAAGTTGATTATATGGTCATAATTCGAGCCAAAATAAGGTAATAATAATAAAAAATAATAATAATATAGCTGCATGAACTGCGGTAATATACTAATAATATCCTCGTTTTCAGTCCTACCTTTTCATGTCCCCCTGAAACCCCACAGCGACATGGGCTCTGGTGGTGGGGAAGAAGGAAAGAGAGAAGGAGAAGAAGAAGAAGCACAACTCTGATAGCAAACAAAAAGAAACCCCAAAAGAGAGAGACCTACCTTCTCTCTCCTCCAGCCATTCCTTCTTCTCCTTCCGTCGGGAGAATCCCTTTTCTGGTTTTCCATTCTTCCTTCACTCTCACTTCTGCTTCCCTGATCTCTGTATATTCCTTTCTATGGCGTCTCAACTTGAATCTACTCTAAACCCCTCCTTCAATCTCCCTTCTTCTATAATTCCCTAACCCCCTCCCACTCCCCCCCAGTTTCTCCTCTCCAATTCAGCTCCGCCTTTTTTTCCCCCAACTGAAACCGGTTCCGTCAATTTCCACTTTTCCGGGGATGGAGAAAAAGTCGACCAGAAGCTTCGTCGACGGTGGAGTTGGGTTGGGAATTGTGGCCGCGATGACCGATTCGAGCGATCGTCGTCACCGCGCTCGGGATTGGACCAAATTCTCCCACCCGCCTGTTTCGCTGAGATCCAGTCCCATCTTGATTGTGTCCCTGGCGCGGCCGGCGGCCGCCAATTTCAATTGCGCTGTGGGCTTGTCGCGGCATCCGCTCGAAAAGGAGGACAGCGATGAAGACGGCGGCTCTGACTCTGTGGTGGATGAAAACGACGAGGTCTATACTTGTGTGATTTCTCATGTTGGTAATGACGTGGTCAGAAAGTTTGTTTACTACGGTGACAAGGTTTCTGGGCTTCGGGACGACGCTGTGACCGTCTTGGACGTGAATCCTGCTGCTGCTGCTGCTGGAATGTTTTATGCGTCTTCTTCGCCCCTGATGATGACCGCTGGTTTTGGTGGCGCTGCTCAAGGGTGGAGGAACGACTTCTGTAACCAAGATTTCTTGGCTTCTTGCTTTCTCTGCAAGAAGCTGCTCTATGGGCTGGACATTTTCATGTACAGGTAAAATTCTGATTTTCCTGTTTCTGAATTGAGATTTCGATTGGTTTTGTTTATGGAGTGGGATGATTGGTGTGGGTTCCATTGGTTGATTTAGAGGTCATATCATGTTTGTGTTTTACTAAAACTTTGGGAAGCTAAAATGGATGTTGCTGGTAGAAATCATAGCCAATTCATGAAGCAGTTAACCCTCTTGAAGGGAGGACTAGGAACTAAGAAAGCCTGTGTGATCAAGAAACATTTTTTTCCTGGGATTTTGCTCTCGGATTCGGGTTGTGTTCGAGCTTAGTAAGATATCATGTCTGTATGATTGCGTCCTGCTGATGATAGCTAGGTCTTGGTTTGATGTTCTTCTATGGTTTGGATCTAGAAAGATGTTGTTTTAGCTACCTGTTTACTTGTTTAAATTAAAGTTCCCAACTGAAAATCTGCGAACTTTTGTCGAATGCGAAGGTGTAAAAGGATTTAGATCTCGAAACCGCATCATTAAGCTTGAATTGCTTCAATGCTTAGACCTTATTGCCTTGTGCAGAACTTTCCCTTGGTGTTATGTGCTTTGGTTTTGTATGGATATCTGCCATTAGGCTGATGCTTGAATTGCATCTTTTCACAAGACCAAATGGGTTTTTAGTTTTTACTATTAGATAAGTCTTTCATAATATGTTTCTTGGTCCTTTATAAATCCAAATAGTGTTCCCGGTAATAATTTAGCATTATTTAGGCCTGGATAGTTATTGTGAAAGCCAACTCTCTGCCTGCAATACCGGCCTAAAGGTGCCTGTCTCTGTGGAAATGTATGTTGTGCTCTTCGTCATTTTGAGATATTATAACATAGCAGTAGTGCAGTACAGCTAATTGGGCACATGCAATAATTGCATCATCATAAGATGACAAGAAGCAAGCTGGATCCAATGACATACGGTAGTTAAGTAAGTAACAAGTTGACAAATGATATGGGAGCAATCACTATACAAATGAACCAGAAGAAAAATCGGGAATGTGAGACATGTGGTGCATGCCTATGCCTTTAGAATTGCAGAGTTTTAGGTTTCAGATCAGTCCAAGGAACCAGAAGCCTGTTCCCATATCAACATCCATCTGCTTTTCATTTTCCTTCTTACAATGGTTAAACATCGGGTTGTGTACATTGCTTTCTTGATAAGATCATATGTCCTTGGATTAGAGGCTAGACAACCGGGATTGCTCCATCTGATGTGTTGTGAAGAAGCTATCCTTACTTGCTGCTGGTAGTTTTGGTTCCTCCACCCTATAGATCTTAAAATGTGCACAGTTTGGTTTTGGTTCACTTGTTGCCTTGTGCCACGCTCAATTATTTGACCAATTCTCTAATGGAACAAACCAGATATTTGAATGGAGGGGAGCAGTTGAGAATATCACTTGGTCATATTATAAACTATACTATTCCTTCCATAAAGAAGGCATCTTTCTCTTTCATTGGAAGTTATAATATGTGATCGTGATGGTGATGGTGAAGTGAGGAATAATTCTTGTTTGCTTTCAGCAAGTGGACTAGATTTCTTGTCCTGGGAAGTCAGGCAGGCATATATTAGTTTAGTTTGGGGGGCCATTGAGTTTCTGAACTGCTACAGATATTTTGTATACGTCAATATCTCTGAAGTGGGTAAACTACTTGTTGCTTTGCAGGGGAGAGAAGGCATTTTGCAGCCCGGAATGCCGGGAGAAGCATATCAGGGACGAAGATTACCGAGAGAAGAATCATCGTTATGGCGAAATCAGGAAACGACCACACGAATGCTCCTTGTCTCCCTGCTCTTCGCCTCAGGTCTATCTTGCTGAGGTTGCTGCTGCATGAATAATACCCCTTTTCCCTCCTATATCTTGGTTCTGCACAATATATACCAAGTAAATAACAGGAGCAAAGTTACAAACTTACGATCGGTCCACAGCGCGCACCCGGGGTAAATAACTGTGCCATGAGGATGATGTATGGTATAGCACTGGGGGTGGAATTTTGAGAGGGTGGGTTAACTCAGGGAGGCAGGCAGTGTTCATCTGGGAAATGGGTTTAACAGCAAGGAGAATTCATTTTCTGTGATGGAAGGATCTTTGTCTAGAGAGAAGCTTGGAGGGAGGGACTTGAATTTTGACTTTTTGTTACTAATATGTGCTCAATGTTATTGTATGAAGTATGAAGTTACCACACAATGATGCAGTAACCAGCAATGAAAATCATGTTTATATATCCATCGCCGCTGCTCTTTTGTTTTTTCTTCTTCTTCCTTCTCGGTAGGCAGGTCGGCAACGAACCAAGCTGTCTACTGAACCAATAGTCTACATCGTTGCGTAGAAAAAGGATTGTGGATTTACTCAATTTGGTCACTTGCCTAGCTGCAATAATTAAGTTTATGAAATCCCTATACCGATCCGATCAATCAAATTGTTTAATCAACTTAAATTCTCCAAATCACTAAAGAGAGTATACATATATAGTACTATACACGAATAAGATATAATAATCTTTGCTCTATGTCTTGCTTTTTTTGTTTATTTTTTTAATTGTTGTTTATTTTATAGTTTGTTTTGTGTATTTTGAATGTGAATTCTAACAGCTATAAAACAACATTTCAAATTTTATCAGAATGTTAGTCTAGATTTATCATATGAAAAAATATGTAAAAATTAAATTCTAAAACATAAGTTGAAGTGTTGATAAGTTGAATTTATTAAACAATAAAAAATAGAGGACTTATTAAAATAAAAATTGCAGCTATTCGCATTTTCGAGTAGGTTAAACAATTATACTTTTTTTATATCCTCCGAACCATGATTAATCATAGCAAACACCGATACTAGTTCTTCAAAGAGAAGAAAATTGAAAAAAGATATTGTATTATTCTCGTATCTAACCGTTCCTTATTTTAGAATACTTTGCCAAAAAAAAAAAGGAACAAGACTGGACCGATACAGCGCCATCATGGGCTTGGGCCCGCCAAAGCCTTCTTCTAAAAAGGCTACTATCGTAACTAGACTCAACAATTATGTAAACCCTAGCCGCCTCTCTTCCTCCTCTCCAGCTTATTTAGCTCTGTTTACTGCTTCTCCTTCACCGAATAGCAATCGTTCAGCTTCTTCTCCTCTTCCCTTTTTTACTATGGCGTAGCTCTCTAGATCTTTCTCTCTTGCTCGGTTTAGATTATGAAAAGGTTTGGGTTTTTGCTTGTTTCTATGGTCTGCGCAAAGATTGTGTGTATCGGCGTTGTGCCCTGAGTGCACTCTGAAACCGAAAGATTTCTTTGCAACACCCAAAAACCAGGGGAAGATGGGCAGTTGAGTTTCACAGTGCGTTTTCCGCCATTGAAATCCCTCAACAATCATCTTCCCCACATTCCTTTTTGCCCCCTTGTTTCAGCAATCCTTCGACAACTCCGCAGATACTCTGTGTATCGGCGTTGTGCCTGTTTTTAATAATAAAAATGCATTTTGACAAGAAGAAAAAAAAATCCGAAAGATTTCTCTGCAACACCTGGGGGGAGATGGGCAGTTGTGCTTCACTACTCTCAAAGTTGGAATCTTTCAACAACCATCTTCCCTAAATCCGTCCTTGTAAAAGCTTTCTTCTTTGTTGTTTGCAAAGTTTTGGAAATGTCATTAGGTTGTTGTGCGGAATTTGTGAGTGTGCTCCGTGAAGAAATATGGACGATCTTTAATCTTGTGCACAGAGGTTATGGCTCTGATTCTTATAATGTACACCTGTAACTAGAACTAAACTGCTGATAACGTGATGGACCTTGTGTTCTTCTCCATTTAAGTTCAGGTCGAACCCAACTGTGATAGATGGAACTTCATTTGCAGAAAATGTATGAATCAACAACTGTCATACCTTTAACAAACACAAACTCCTTTTTTGCTCATCTGTGATCAAATGGACACTTGGTGAACGTATTTCTTCATTTCATAGTTAAGCCATTTTCTTCGAGACCTTTGGCTGAATGAACTAAAAATCTGTTTAATTGATGATGATTTGATTATCAGTCTTCCAGAGTTCTCAATGATATCTGGTGCACAATGAAGGATTAGAAGCCTGAACCAACTCAACTTTTTTATAATCTAATTAGGGGGAAATCGAAGAATTTAAAGATTCAACCTCTATTCCAAGTAGGGGTATTCAAACGGATTGGTTACCGTGGTAACCGTTTTAACCGGTACTATTTGGATAATTTGGTTTGGTTAATTTGGATAATTGGTTTGGTTTGGTTAAAGTTTTTAGCTTGTTTGGTTTAGGTGGTTTGGTTTGGTTTCAGACACTCCTAACCAGTCAAACCAAATTAACCAGTTAAGTAATTAGTCATATATCTAACATATATTAAATACAGATAATACTTTGCATAACCACTCAAGAGTTAACATTCATCCCTTTTAGACTCAAAATATAAAGCTCAATATTGCTCATATAGTGTATATTTGTATATGTAAAGTCTAGACCACAACATATTGACGCCTAATTTAGATAAATTTCATACATTATGATGAATGAAAACTTGAAAGGAAGGTCATTTCCAGCCTATGATAATTGCTAAGAGACTAAGTCAATTTACACAAACACAACAATTCATTAACCTATACCATTGTCATAATTTTTTGTTAGGTGAATACTTCTATACTAATCGTAATATAATTGTCTTAGTTGCATATATTTTTGTTAAGAGTCAACTATAACTACGTGTTGATTCTTATGTTTTATTCATTATATAAATTGCGAATTGTTGCATTATCCGGAAAATTTTCATCGTCAATGATAATGTGATTTTATATTGGTTAATCTGGTTAACCAATTAACCAAACCGATTAAACTTTAGTTTGGTTAATTTGGTTGTTGTATTAGTTTGGACGGTTTGGTTATGATATTGTATTCCATGGTTAATGAAATTTAGCCTTATTTGGTTTGGTTATAACCGTGGCAACCATTTGAACACCCCTAATTCCAAGGATATTAATTCACACAATTTCTGAATTGCAATTGATTATTCATCCCCATTGTAGTCATTACAACTAAGGAAACAATGTTTTATTATTTATTGCAACAAAGATTCTCAACGAACTTAAAGGACGCGAGGAAATCCTTACAAACAAACACCCCTCCCAACATTTTTTTCTCTTGATTATCTCATTCTCATCGTTTCCATGGCTTGAGGCAGCAAAGCTTCAAACCTACCTTTGCCGTCAGCAGCCAGTCAGCCACTACCTTCTTTCTACGTTCAACCAGTTTCACCGGAGAGTTCGTATAAACAAACAGTAACCAAACTCAAAGCCACCTAGGAACAAAGATCTCAAGACTACAGTCTAAACACATACCAATACGTTACAACATCAAATATTCCCTCAACTGGAAATCTGAAGAAACGCGCCTAAGCATCGTCCAAGTTCTTCTAGAACAATGTATCCGAAGAGATCAATAGGTAAGTTAAAGCTGCTTAAACAACTCCTTCCTTGAAAACCATTGCCTTCCACTCTCGACGAATCACATCTATGCAGTTGCGCTGGCCAGTCCCTTTACTGGCACAATCTGTTGAGGCTGCAAGGGGGAGAAGACGAGAGTAGAACATATAAACTATTTCACATGGGATAAGTGGTGTAACATATATGCTCAGCCAGGACCAGAGGGGTTGGAAAAAAGTAACGTACTGCTTGTAACTCGTCTTCATGCTTAGGAATGAATGCTGTGTCGACGTTTCCATTTTTGAAGTCCTGTTGTGGTGAAGGGAGCTCATTAGTTCTCGATTTCGGACATTTCAGGTTTCAACCAGAATGGAAATAAAAATTAAAGCATACCTCAATTTCAAGGATCAATTTATGATAATCGATTGTTGTTGGAACTCCTGCATCCAGGGAAAGAAGGAATTAATCAACCTTGTTCAAAGCCTAGTTCTAATAAGGAGTGATAAGAAACCTTGATTTTTTCGGCCTCAAAACATCTCATGAACCACTGAAATCCTACTGATTTGGTGGTAATGTCTGCTATTCTAAATATTTCTGCCTTTGACACAAAGCAAATAGTTCAACATTCTTTCCACTCAGCATTCCAATTACACAACCCATTTATCCTAACAAGAATGAAACAAATCTAATATGGCAGCAGACAGCAAATATATAACAGACTGAAATCAAGGAAAGGGTTTGGATAAATACCTGTAATTATAGTATCATTGAGAGCTCTCTTCATACGTTCAATTGCCTTTTCTCTTGTTGGGGCCCAAACAATAAGCTGCAATAAGAAACCATTTTTAGTGCCAGTTTGTAAGCAAGCCTTCTCCACTTAGCGACATAATCATGACAGCTTCAAATGCTGTGAATACAGGATCTCATTCAGTCATTGTTGCCAAGGATAAGTAAGAACACATAAGAATGAGAGGAAATTCGGTCTTGTAGCACTTTGGTATTTCAACTCAAAGCTTTTGGGTACCAAACATAAGTCCTCTTTGGAAGCATAGGGACTGGGGTCTGCAAAGAGAGTTGGGAAATGATATAGACTAGTAGGGTTTTTCTACAAAGGGATGCAATAAGGATTGGGAACTAAGTACCTAACAATCTTATAAAGATACTAACTCAGCATCATGATAACTTGAGGGGTAATAAAAGAGGACATCCCATATTAGAACATGCCTTCCATTTTCCTTCCCCAGCTGGCTATCTCAGTGAATTGCTTTTATGGAAAATATGTGTATGAAACACTTTTTCACTTGTAAAACTAGTTTTTCCAGAAATGCTGAACCCCAACCCACAAAATCGTCAATACAAACAACCATACCTATTATTCCAAAATCACAATTTCAAAGGTCCCAAAACCAATTAGACAAACAATCAAAAGATTCTAGTCATACAACAATCAGAGTTGCAGAAATGCAGATGTTGACAAGTTTCACACTTCTAAGTTCTAGAACGTCTATGTGTGGCCATTGCCACAAGTGCAGCAGTGGATGCTGCTATAAATAGCTAACTTGAGTTGTTGCAAATAGAACCAAAAGATTAAGAAAACATACCTTTCCAAGCAGGGAATCATAGCTAGGAGGAACAACATAATCCGGATAGATATGACTGTCCATTCTAACAAAAGGCCCTCCAGATGGCAAATACGCAGTTATTCTTCCTGATGAACAAGAGAACGGCGAGAGATATTAAGAAAAGTTCTCCATTTCTTTAATTTTTAGTTTTCTATAGGGATAGTCAAAGCAATGAAGAAAAGAAAGAAGCACACACATTTCCACCACAAACACAGCCGGAGGTATATGCTGTGCATTACACACTGAATAGAGAAAAATGAAATTTAAGAGAATCCACGAACTAAACGCCTTCCAGAAATCAGGAAGTAGACTGCCCCAGTGAGATTAAAAGATGTGAATAGAAATAACCTAGAACACATCAGCTAACACAACAAACTGAAATGTAGAGAACACCCAAAAAGTATAATGACTCAGAAATCAGCAGTTTTTTCTACTTGGCAGTGAAATTTTAGAAGTTAAGATTTTAAATAACAATAATTCATCTAGAAATAACTATTTAAACAATGAAAGATGATAGTGTAAAAGACAGTCCAAGATACCTGGTCCTGGCCTGAATCCCTTAAATGCATCCTCTGCATTAATCCGGCACTCAATCGAATGTCCTCTGAGCACAATATCTTCCTGTAGGACAGAAACAGCAAGAAATGCACCACATTGTTATTATATAGTCCACTAAAAGTTTGTTGAGACAACTGATGTTTGTTTTAATACCTGTTTGTAACGAAGTTTCTCTCCCATAGCTACCCTGATTTGTTCTTCAATCAAGTCCACAGATGAAATCATTTCAGTTACAGGATGCTCAACCTGCATTTTTCCCAGAAGAAATTATGTTGGGCACATTCGGCAGTTCAACTGAATAGGAGTAGATACAGAAGACCTTAGCTGCTTGTCATATTAATGAGCTATTCTGACCTGGATCCGAGTGTTCATTTCCATGAAGTAAAAGGAACCCCTCTCATCCAAAAGGAACTCAACTGTTCCTACACCAATGTATCCTATGGATGCTGCAGCTGCAACTGCTGCGTCACCCATGGCTTTCCTTAACTCTGGGGTCAGTGCAGGCGAGGGGGCTTCTTCAAGTAGCTTCTGGTTACGTCTCTGCAGGAGAAAGCACATGCAAGAGAATTTGTCACATGTATACTTTTGGTGCCAAGAGCATCACCCAGGGACATAAAGGGACAAGAAAATCAACATTGAGACCTGGAAGATTTTGAATAGTGTAAATTTACATTTGCCAATAAGTTATTCAGAAACTAATATAGTTGATACTAGATGTTTGTGTAACAACCACAATTGATCTAACAGATCAATCTTTTAAAATATCTACGTGTAGAAGAAGTAGTAGAGCTGAAAAGGTGGCGCCTTCAGATTCTAATTTTCAGATGACACGGTCTACACAAGCCAACCTTTGAACTAGGCAACTAGCCACCTGCAGGAAGGACTACCATGCGATTGCAAGAGATCATCAAGGGAGCACTAGCTTAGAAAATTAAGCCCATACAATACTTGCAACAAATTGCCAAGGATGACTACTGCTAGAAGGGTGCATTTTCACAGAAACTGAACAAGACAGAATTGGAATTAGTTTGACTATAGAAGTTCGAAGAAGATAATTGACCAGGGGTTGTACTATTTTTATAGCCCCTTTTGTCCATAATACTTGCATATAGGTACTTGAAGTGGAACAAGAAGGGAGAGTTCACCATGGTTAAATTCATCAGAGTAACTAAACTGATTAGGATTGTAATATGATTAAACAATTACTTGTCCAAGAAGAATAAAGTAAAATTTACCTGGATACTACAGTCTCGCTCCCCGAAGTGGACAACATTTCCATACTTATCTGCAAGGACCTGAGGATACAAACCAAATGCTTAGAAGAGCAAAGCATGGTCTTTCCATAACCAAATATGAGGATCAGTAAAGTTAGCATTCTGGTTTGGGTTCTAATGATCATAAACAGATACATGATATTTTAGCAAGCTTGATTAAGTGGGTAGTGGATAAATGGATTCCAATGTTCATTGCACTGTTTTATCATTGGCTATTCCTACACGCATGCATTTTTCTTTAATGGATACTGGTTACAGTCTACATTCAAGGCAAGTGTAGACAGTAAACCAAGGTTTTCATGTTCGATTTAGCAGGTATGATGTATCCATGATAGTATCGCAAAACCAGCACTGAAAGCCGAAAGGTTTCCTGTAATAGCAACAAATACCTGGAACTCTATGTGCCTTGGATTTTGAATGTATTTTTCCAAATAAACTCCATCATTTCCAAATGCAGCAGCAGCTTCACTCTTGGCTTGCTGTTTTGAGAAAAGAAATAGAACCAAATACCATTAGCACAACTTATGAGACCCTATCTAAATTAGGGAAGAAAAGTTTATGAAACCCTAACTAAGTTTGCATGTTACAAGGACAAGTTTTGCTTCTGGGGAGAACAGTACAGGAGAAAATCTATCTTGCCATATTCTCATTGAAACTGTTGTCTCCTTGCCACTGTCCCAATAGTTCTTAGTTTAGCCGGAAAACATACGATTTCCAGATTTTGTGCATCTTACAGTTTATGAGTTAACAGAGTAGAAATGAATAAGAAACAGTGAAGGCTAGATGGGACATTCCCAAACTTAAAATACCTGTAGCAACTTCACAAATTCTTCAGGTTCTTTAGCAAGACGCATTCCACGCCCACCACCACCTGCCGTTGCCTAAAGAGTAGATGAATGCAATGTCAGACAAAAATTACTTCTGAAGCGAACCAAACTGTTCTAGTTACTAACTGGATGAAAGTCACGAAATTTACTAGATTCTAAAGCAGCAAATAATGACTACTGTCAAGCGGATTAGTGGAAATCACAGGGAAATCTAAGCAGATATTGAGATGAAAAGAATAAAGTTGATAATTTTTTTGTTCCGAAAGAAACATCAAATTCATGTAGAAAGACAGATTAGAAACCAAAATAGAAGCTGAATTACCAAAAAAAACTAACAAAAGTCTTTGCCTAAGTATTTAGGCAAGAAGCAAGATGCCATATTTTCACATACTACAGGTCCCATATTCTAACCATTTTTGGATGTATTGAATTATGATAATTGAACAAATGAGCGACGAGGGAAACTTATCTAACCTTGATCATCACAGGATAACCAATCTCTCCAGCCAGCCGAATTGCTTCCTCTGTAGTCTGCAGTAGAAGGCAATTGCGGAAAGTTAAAGAAGCGCAACTGATTATACCATGCACTAGCTTCTCAGGTATTGAATTTGCCAAAAGGGTCGAAGAAGTTACCTGCAACAACCCATCACTTCCTGGGACAGTTGGAACACCTGCATTCTTCATTGTTTCTCTGGCCGTTGATTTGTCACCCATAGTTTTGATGCTATCAGGCTGTTAAGCAAAAGGGGAAAAGGTTACAATTTGTGAAGAAGAGTGCATATGAATGTGTCTCCACTTAAAATTCTAAAACCACTATATTTATAGACATTTAAATGAAAATTCCAGCAGGGTTACCCCAATCACATTTCAGAGCCCACAATGAAAGAGATTCTTGGTAGCTGACAAGAGAAAATTGCTTCATAACAGACATATATGCATGTATTATATCCTAACAAACTTAGTGGATTAATCTGCCAACTTAGCATGCATCAATTCCTCCAGAACTTGTGTCAATGTCAGACACAACAAATCACTTGCAGACCCAACTCCCTTTAAGAATTCAAGCAGACAAATGTAGATTGGCATAGTGATATCAGTACCAATTCAAAGTCTACAAAATGAGTATTTCATAATATAGAAAACCAACGACTAGGAAGATGCCCAGAGTGAAACCAAAATTACGCAAAAATATGCAAATTCTGAAGCACATTCAGTTTTCTGAACATCATTTTCTTTTAGCTTAATTTCAAGCCATTGTAAACAGTTCAAGTGAAATCCAAATTTAGTTATTTAACAGATCTATAAGGAGCAGGTCAAGAGGACACACAGGAATCAGGTACATAATAAAGGGACAGAAAAAACTCAAGTTTATGTTTGTGGTCATCCACTAACATTTGGTCCAATAAAATTTATTCCATGTTCTCTACACATTTCAACAAATGTGGCATTCTCAGCAAGGAACCCATATCCAGGATGAAGCATGGTGCATCCACGGCTTATTGCAGCAGACAAGACATTTGGTATCACCAAGTACCTGTTGAAAAAGAAATTTGCTCTTCAATTCTTCTATCACATAAATGTTCAAGGCATTGATCCTGTTAAATGACTATCTTTTACAATTAAGTGTCACTTCTCAATCCTGGTATTGGGAAGAACTCACTGTTCGGATCTTCAACAATGAACTTTAAGTTGTAAAAAGTCATGTGACAGACTGTACAGCTGACATTAATAGTAGATCATGACCTGGGATGATAAGGTTTAAAGCCTAACTGAGAACATCTGTTGAATAAATTCAAAAGGAGTAACTGGCCACTAGGTACCACGCACATGTTCTGCACTGCTTTCATATGTAGTTTTCTAGCACCAATTATAACTGATGCTAAAAGACTACAAACAACACATGACTAAAAACCATAGTGAAAATGAGAATCAAAACAAAGGAAATTGTGACGCTTACGACTGATTGCTAGGTGCTTCACCAATGCAAACGGATTCGTCAGCCAATTTCACATGAAGGGCATCCTTGTCAATGGTTGAGTAAACAGCAACACATGGAATTCCTAATTCATGAGCAGTCCGAATCACACGAACAGCAATTTCTCCTCTGTTTGCAATCAGAATCTTTTCAGCACGGCAAGTAGCACCAAGAGCTCCACCACTCTTCTTAGTTTTATGACCAACCTGAGCAGCACAAGCTCTTTGCCTAGGGAAGTTAACCTTAGTCCCCGCCAAAAAGCTACATTGTGAACTTCTTATTCCTGGGTTTGATCTTGCGAATAAACCCTGGCATCAACCAACGCATTTCAGAACTTTGTGTTCGGAGTGTCAATTATGCATCGGCAAACAGAAACTAATAACAGATGTCGCTAGATTCTTAATTTTGAAGTTTGGACTCATGAATCAACTATTTCCATCATAAAGGAAAGGATCAATGAAAATTCCTGACGTTTCAAAGAGGAGATGACTTATGCATTCAGAGTGAAATTGGCGTATACAAAAGTAGTCTTTTTTGCCCTAAAACATTTACGAGTACAGGTTGAGAGCGTTAACTTCATAACATAAAGTCAATATTTAAAAAAAGATGACTATGTTCTGTAGCAACAAAACAGATAAACAAACATCAAAAGCAGCGCTCATTAAAGGAACATATAAACAACAAGGAAATTGAGCACTCATTTCATCCAGCATCTTCCAGTGAAATGCTAAAGTTCAAGGCAGGCAGTGACACTTAGATAATCCAAAAGAGGCGACACGCCAAGTCATTCCAAGCTCAAGAGAAGTCTTAGAAAGCAGTTTTTAGCTCAATTCAGAACTACCGTCCAAATTAATAGGAGGAACAACAGATTGCAATGCCTACAATTAAAAAAAAAAGCCCATCGAACTTACAGGAACGGAGATAACAGAAGTAACAGATTTGCAGGCAGGCAATGTGGCCTCCATCTCCGAACAGTAAGCGGAGAAACTGAACACAACCCAAATCCACATTTCAAAAACCCAGTTGGGTAGGGAGCTAAACGGAAACAGTTCAAACGGAGAAACAGATCGCAAAGTTAGTTACCCGAGGATGGAGACGACTCAGCTGGAATGCGAACTTCTGTTCCAAAGAACAGACAACGCTTATGTGAGGAGTCAAAGAGAAAGATGAAGCGGAATGGGGGGAAGGAGCTTGTGGGTGGTTTAATAATGGCGATAACGAAGCTGAAGAAGAGAAGTAGGGGGTCGATAGAAACGAGGAAGGGGGAGAGTTGGGAGATTGAATACTCCGCCTGATTTACTAGTTGGCAACCCAAACAAAACCCAACTCACTTCTTCTCCGTTGAGAATAACAAGATTTTTCCGAAAAACTTGATCTTATATGATTACACATATAACGGATTGGTCCCTCTATCTTTTACATTGTACAGTATCATCCATGGATGACAATCTTTTTATACAAAAATATTTAGGGATTATAATTGTAGGCCAATAAAAGTGTATCCGATTCCGATCATTCATGATCCAGACAATGAGGAGAATACAGTCATTGACCATGTATAATGTAGATATATGAGGAATATTCAGAAGGATAATAGTAGACATGTGTGAGGAACCGAGGATTTAGATGCTTTCGAGAGTAAGAAGGGTTAGTGAAAATGCGTCGAGACAACCTTTGCGAATACTATGTGCGACCGATGGCGTTGAAGTAACTCATGCTTTCGGTAGTATTCGTATATATCGTGAATTTGATGCATATATGATAAACAACATACACTTGATTATATTTATCTAATTTGTTGCTCCGTCCTCCATTGAAATTACAAAATAAAACAATTTAAGTTCCATAACTTCACCTTTGGGATTATAGTAACTCATATATATCACCTTTTAACTCTAATTTCTCTCACACCAAGCAATTTTTATGCTTTAAGTACTTTTTTACAGCTGTTTATTTTATATGATGATCGTTAAATGTTTTATCTCTACAATTGTATATGTTTCCAACTTATTACTTTTAACTTTGGTTACATTGAAATTTGATAATTTGTGCGAGGAGAGAAAACATACTTGTATGATAAAACCTGAAGATATAGATCGGGAAGGAAACCTCCACTGATATGAGAATGAGGAGGGCATATCTCAATTGAATGTTTGTCGTTTGTTGAAAGGAAAACACCGTCATATGCTTTATGTTGCTTGTTCGATTCAGCTGGAGCTGAACCAGGTGAAGTCATCACATCACAAACTTCTCACTCGGTCAAATCGAAATGTTCAATATAGACCAATTTATAATTCAGTTCAATCGGTATTGTTCAGTTGAAAGTCAATCGAGTTCAATGAAGATTGATTTGTGATTCGAATTTGATCAGGTTAAATTCGATTTTGATTGAATCGACTTGATGCCCATTCCCAATCTACTAACATAACTATGGAATTGACAATAATCGTTATCACATACTGACATCACAATGCAAAATTAAAAAGCGACATAAACACCCACTACAATTTGAGTAGTTTGTATGAACTATGAAGTGACATTCATCATTATCTCATTGGACCACTAAAATAACAACCATGAAATTTTTTTATAACTCAAGAACATTTCCACGCACACACCGCCTTTGTGATGGCGGAGCGAAATCAAATTTGAGGGTTCACCTGCTTGAGTCTTTCAGATCCTCCACGAGGATCTTCATTAAATTTTTTCGGGAACACCATAACGGGCCTCGATGGAAGTAGAATACGAGATCTGCCACTTCCCAAAATGCGCACCCACTAAAGATTACACTGCTAGATTATATGAAATTTGACAACAACAATGAAAATTTTGACATAAAAAGTTGTTTGTGTCATTGCGTGTGGCCATGTCTTTTATGGGAGCAAGCTAGCATGCGGCCGTTTTCAAGGGCACAACGATGATAGTTAAAATAAGGCTGCTCATTTCCTTATTTCCAAGGTATTCCATTTCTCTGATTGTGTCACGTAAGTTCCGAGGAATCCCATATTCCTAATTATGCTGACATATATATAACTTATGGGAATTAAAATTTATTATCTTTTACTATATAAAAATTGTGATCAAATGAAAGATATTTTAGAATGGAACTCGAGACATATTTGATATTTTATGCTTTATTGTATTTGAATTTAGTGATGTCTTATAGAATGAAATTAATCCTGAAATTGAAACTCAAGTCACTCTGATTTGATTATTAAATATTGAATTGTGCGTGTAGTTTTGTCAAAATACACATGCATAACAAAAAAAAAACAATCTTTGTTACAAAAATTGTTTATTTTTTACTACAAATATATTCATTCCATCATGAAATATGTTAAACTTAACAACACCGACGTATCTATGCTGACAATATTAACAGAATACCCTGACATTGTATTTTTGTGTTAACTTGACAACTTGAATGTTTTGATATTTTATCCTAATCAACTTAAATAAAAAAGAAAAGACAAAAAGAAGGAAAAATATTCATTAACAAAAAAGAAAAATTAAGCAGGGCAAATGAATGGTTACGTGACCTCTCCTTCCAACCCCTTTTCTGACTTTCTTTTCCGCTTCTTCTCCATCTCCCATCATCAATCAAAATTCAAACCAATGTTGGCTCTCATCTAGTAGCACATTGGATTTCAATAAAACATATGATGGAGTTCATTCAGTTGAGTAATGACAATGCAGAATAACTTGCTCCAACGGCGAAATTGACGGCGACAAAATAAAAAACATGAAACAAGTTGTATGAGCACCATTCAATCCATATTAGCTCCTTACTAAATGATGCATAAACACCCTTTGCAAGGATTTTTGTATCTCAAATTCATTAGCTTTTAGAGGTTGAGATCCGTACCCTGTGTTATTTCATATGAGAATAGATGTGAGAATCTCAGTACAACTTCGAGCTAATTGAAGGAAGTGATAGAGAGAGATGAAGGCCGTAACAGAGAAGTAGCAAATGAACCCCGTGTTATTTCATCCGACCAATGGGTCGGGTAAAAGCTAGCATGACCAAACAAACCAAATGCAATTTTCGATCATGTTCCTAATTTTTATTCTACCGTTCGCTTTGCTAAAGCAGTACTACCAGGATAAGGGCAGGTGGCATAACGCAGCCCTCACCGATGTGAGTGACTGTTCTTTCATGCAATGCATAACGGGCGGGCCTCCAACTCAATGAATGAAGGGAGTAGTATGAGGAAGGCCGGCTTTCTATATGAATCAAAAAAGAAAAAGAAAAAGGAGGAAAGCGGTTATTTTGACTTGATTCTATTCTATCAATGATCCATATCCAAATTGAAATCAATTTGAACCATGTTACTAAGAGTTGCGAAGGAGGCAAATTGAGCTGAGTTTTGACCTAACTCAGGCTTTATCTGTTATAAAACGAGTTGAAGTCAATCTCGTTTCAGAATCGGCTCATTAATGAGATCACAAATTCCACTTGAGGTTGGCCCATCATTCAGTTCACGAGTTTGCTTCAAGCTCTGACTCATTGATGAATTTATATGGTGGAATTTTCTAACCAAATTCTAAAATAATTTTATAGATTACATACCCTCTAGATTTTGTATGCCATATATAGATGATACATGTGACTAATATCACGATGAAAAAAGAACAATAGTCAGTTTTCTTCATTTACTGGTCTCTTGTTTATGTGTTATGTTGCTCTTAAACCATAATATGCTTTGAAATACATAATTTAACAACTCTATGAGCTATCACTAAGTCAGCTCATAACTATACGTAGATATGATATTAAGTCGATAACTAGTCAAACTGACTCACTAGACACATTATCGAGCCACTCGTGAGCTCGAAATGAATAAAGCTCAACTAGTCAAGTTAGCTCGCAAGCACCAAGAACTGAACAAAACTTAACAAAAACTTAACTTGTCTATTCTTACTTGCTGTTTCATTATGAACAACGTGGTACGTGGAGAACCAAATTTGGCTAAAATTTTATAGAAAGATTTTTTTTTTACACCACGTTATAGAAAGATTGAAGACACCACTTTTCACTTTTTGAAGATTGTTGCCATTTCATACGCTCTTCTTTCTTTCCTTCCCCTCTGCCTGCCTGCCTACTACCAACTGTTTTGACTTCATCAATAGAGCACTTAAAACCATTCTAAATCTCTCCTACCCAGAATTAAACACGTTCATGTCCTTCCCCCTTGGATTAAAAAATATGCCAACCAAACATTAACTATACATTTTCATAAATTTAAGAAGATGTGGAACTAAGCTTTGGAGATGATAATTTCATGATTCAAAACGAAACTATACCAACTACTTTGGTGGAGCCACATTGGAGGACCTAACTCTGAAAATGAAAATTTTGAAAATTGAATGGATTATTTGTTTCATAATCTAGTATTTTGGGTTTCGAACCCCATATAATTTTATATATACTCACCTGAAATTTTTTTTACGGACAATCTCAACTCGATTCTTGTAGATTTTAGATCTGAAATATAATGAATGTTACAACTTATTCGTATGATTCATGTACAACTAAACTTTGATTAATCAATTGCAACTACTCATTCTTGAAAAAAATACAGAGTTAACTTAAACGTAATTATTGTGTGCTCATAAGAGCAACTTGATTTGCTTTTGGACCTTACCTCGACGAATTTTTTTTGCTACAATTTTAATCCAATCCACCTAGCTACATTATATAAACATAAACAGGGTTTCTAGCCTAATTGATATCCTAATTCTCAATAGTAAGCCAACCTCAATGTACTATGTTATAATCTCAAAAAGACTTCCTACTTCTTTACTTATAGTAATCTTTAAAAAAATTCGATCATTGCCCAACTCCATTCTGTTGGTAATGACAATGGGCGACTTATTGAGTAATTTGACTTAATCATCATTATCATATGTGCATTGGGTCACTGACATGCGCACTCTTAATGATTTTGAGCTTGAGTTGCAGTGGTTGAGCCATGAATCCGAATGAGTGGGGAGAGGGCTGACTTGAAGCGTGATAATTAGGAGGGGGCTAACGTCTTACTTACTAGTCTATTTCTTAAAATTATTACAAATTTTACAAGTAAATTTACTTATATTTTCAATTTCAAGTGGTGCTATAGCTCCTCCTGGCTCCAACCTAGCTCCTCCACTAAGTTGGATTTGAATAGAGTCCGATTTTGGTCTCACTCAAAATCCGATTTTGGTCTCACTCAAAATCGATCCATTTGTATCCAAACAATTGTAAAAAAAACTATATTGACAAGAACCACAATAAAACTGAATATAATTTTTTTTATTATCAATATAATGAATCTAATTTAGACCCAAACTTCCTAATTCCCACCTCATTATTAGTCAAACTCCTAGGCTGAGGTAGAATCTTTCAAGCAAACGAAACAACCATACTCAAAAGCCTAGCCCATAGACATGTTACCAAAAACCATTTGCCATCCACACCTACCCCAAAACCCTCTTTCCATTTCCACCATCTCCTCTCTTATATATAAACTTCCCTCCATTTTCCCCTTACCAAAACTCAATACAAACTCTCACCTTCCACTTCTCAAAAACAACATGAAGAAATCCACCAAACCAATCCTCCTCCTCTTCCTTCTACTCCCCATAGCAATCCTCTTCCTTCCCACCATTCCTTCCCTTCTCCTCACCATCCTAATCACCACCACAATCTTGATCTTCCACCACAATTCCAACAACAACAACAAGAACAACAAAAACCTCCCTCCCGGCCCTCCATCCATCCCAATCTTCGGCAACTGGCTCCGCCTCGGCAACGACATCAACCACCGCCTCCTCGCCTCCCTCTCCCTCACCCACGGCCCCGTCTTCCTCCTCAAGCTCGGCTCCAAGAACCTCGTCGCCGTCTCGGACCCGAAGCTCGCCCACCAGGTCCTCCACGCCCAAGGGGTCGAGTTCGGGTCCCGACCCCGCAACGTGGTGTTCGACATCTTCACGGGGAACGGCCAGGACATGGTGTTCACCGTCTACGGCGACCACTGGCGGAAGATGCGGCGGATCATGGCCCTGCCCTTCTTCACCAACAGGGTCGTGCAGAGCTACGGCGGGATGTGGGAGGAGGAGATGGATTCCGTCGTCCGCGATTTGGGGAAGCAGGGGAAGGGAGAAGGGATTGTGGTGAGGAGGAGGCTGCAGCTGATGCTGTACAACATAATGTACAGGATGATGTTTGGTGTTGGGTTCGAGTCGGTGGATGATCCTCTGTTCGTGGAGGCGACGAGGTTTAATTCGGAGAGGAGTCGGCTGGCGCAGAGCTTCGAGTATAACTATGGCGATTTCATTCCCCTGTTGAGGCCGTTTTTGAGGGGGTATTTGAATAAGTGCAGGGATTTGCAGCGGCGGAGGCTGGCTTTCTTCAACAACCACTACGTGGAACAGAGAAGGTAAAGTAGCTAACTTTACATTTTGATTCAATAACCAACTCCTGAATTAGGAAATTTTCCCTAAGCTAACTATGTTATTCTGTTCGTTAACAGGAAAATATTGGCGGGAAATAATGGGGAGAAAACCCACAAACTCACCTGCGCCATGGACCACATAATCGACGCAGAGAAGAAGGGCGAGATCAGCGAAGCCAACGTGCTCTACATCGTGGAGAACATCAACGTCGCCGCCATCGAAACCACCCTCTGGTCCATGGAGTGGGCGATCGCCGAGCTAGTGAACCACCCACAAGTCCAGCACAAAATCCGGCAAGAAATCTCCGACGTACTGAACAACAACTCCGTAACCGAATCCAACCTCCGGGACCTCCCTTACCTGCAAGCAGTGGTGAAGGAGACGCTCCGGCTGCACACTCCGATCCCCCTGCTGGTCCCGCACATGAACCTCGAGGAGGCCCAGCTCGGTGGCTACACGATCCCCAAGGAGTCGAAGGTGGTGGTGAACGCTTGGTGGCTGGCCAACAACCCGGCGTGGTGGAAGAACCCGGAGGAGTTCCGGCCAGAGAGGTTCTTGGAGGAGGAAGGGGAGACGGATGCAGCGGTGGCCGGAGGGAGGGTGGATTTCCGGTTCGTGCCGTTTGGGATGGGGAGGAGGAGCTGCCCTGGGATCATACTGGCAATGCCGATCCTGGGGATGGTGATCGGGAAGCTGGTGAGTGAGTTCGAGATGAAGGCTCCGCCGGGAGTGGAGAAGATCGATGTGACAGAGAAAGGTGGGCAGTTCAGTCTGCACATTGCCAAACATTCCACCGTAGTTTTCGATCCGATCGAGGTTTGAATGTGTCGTCTGGAGAAGGGAACCTTGAACAGATTTGGATCAAGAATCATTGCTTTATGCTTTGTAGTTTCTTGTTTTTTTTTCTCGTCCCAGTAAAAGTGTCCCAAGTACTTACAACATACAGAGGATGGTAGTAAACTTCACATGGAAATCCCTATCTTGCTTTCCCTTTTGATCTTTCAATCTGTGTCGAGTAAGTGTCACCTGCAAAACAACGATTAGCAGCTTACAGATACAGAGAGTTTGCAAACATGATTCCCCGTTGAAGGCTTTTACAAGCTGCTTCGAATTTCTCCTCCAAGCTGGTTTCTCCAACGGCCTGAGCAGCTGCACGTAACTGGATTGTCGAGTTGCAGAGCGAACAAATCAGAAACTCGGCCAAAGTTGATGACGACGTAAATCTAGAATTTTTAGTTAAAACAGTGTTAAAAAAGATATGGTCGTGGTTTTACCTGGTTCAAGAATTCGTCCAATCGCCTGGCGCTCCTAATGATACTGCCCTCGAAGATATCGGTCATCTGTATAACTTCTGCAAAACTAGCACCCTGAAAGAGAGACAAAAATAACATTGAGAGAAAAGGAGACCAATTACCATAATTTTGCTGGACAATCAGGGGATAACACAAAGGTAAGAAAGCGTGAAAATGGAGAATTACCTTCGACCAACAGTAAATCACGTCCATCAAGAATGGCCGCACAGTTGACTCAACGTACTCTTCTACATTTATTTCCAATTTGCACTCATATTGTATCTGCAATCATGTTGTGATCTCTTATGTCATCTTAGTCTTGGTCTGGTAAAGCTGAACAATATTAGGAGAGGCATATAAGAGTGAAAAAAGAAATTTGCTGAAGATGAAACCTCGGCTATTTTTCTTGCGCTTTCTTGGAGCTGCTGTAATGGTTTAGCAAGCTCGGTTCTCAAGTGTATTTGCTCGTTTGATTTGTCCACTGGAATGAAACAACTTGCTAGAGCTGCAACTTGGTGATGATCAAGGTCATTGAAGGTACCTGACAAATAAAGAAACAAATCTTATATCCACATGCAACTTTTCTAGATTAAAGTTTACGGAGCTCGCTGACAAGAATGATAGTCATAGGTTTCATGACCAATCTGATGGGCAAAAATCTCAGAGAGCTCATCGCCCAATCAACCGCAACATAGTACATGCATAAAACATCATCACTGAGTGTCAGTTGAAGCCGTTTCTAACTAACTATATACTGTTAGTGTCTTTAAATTAGCGAAGCAAATCTTTATGAGATCATAAGCTAGACACTTCAGTTAGCAAACCTATATTTGCACATAACGTAGAACCAAAAAATTGTGCACAATTTCAGCCATATGCATACAACATTTTCTAGGGAAAAGCTGTACATACACTTTTATTTTGATGAAAAGCTGTACACACAGGATGGAAACACAGAGGGCTTGCTAGGAGGGAGCAGTAATTAGGTTACCGTTAAACATAAGTTCAGTTACAAGAAGTTCATCTCCTGTGTCTATCAAACAGGCTGCTCGACCCTTTAGCTGAACGACACTGTCACCGTCTATATGACCAAGTCTTTTCAAGACTCGTGAACGGTTCTTGAGTTCATCACGAAATTTTTGCAGCTGCAATTATCAAGGATGAAATTTTTTAGTAGCAGAGATGAGAATACAGAATAAAATTGACTACCATAGAGCTAAGGTAAAAAGAACCTTAAAGAGGGAGGGAAAATATAAGAATAAGAACAAAATAAATTGTGGTGATTGTCGCACCAGCAAGGACTCTTATGGAGGCTCTAAAAACAAGAGAGCAATGGTGCCTCAATAAAATGCATAGGGTACTGGGAGAACAAGAACTAAGTCCAGAGTGGATAGAGATAAAATGAGCAATAGTGATATCTATGCTGCAACATAAGATATTATCACAGATAGAACTTCTCCACCATACTTGTTCAGCCTCAAAGACCATATCATACAAAACACAGATGAAAGTTGCTACTTCTATAAGAGGATCAACAAAACTTTTCCAATTTTGGTCTGAATATATAGAAATAAGAGGTAGACACTGAAACAACCTCAATCAAACTGGCTCTTCTGCAAGAGACTTGGATCATATTTCTTAATTTCAATCACAGGGATGACCTTCAATAGGAAACACAGATTCTACATGTTCACTCTGCAAACACCAAGGTAAATACCTGTGAGTCTCGCATTTTTAACTTGAGCTGTTGAATTTCATGATCCACCTCAGCCTTCCTTTGGAAACTTTTAATCTGATTCACATCTTGCGACTGAAAGCAAGATATCACATGACTAACCCAGTGAGACAACTTTTTCATCCATGCACTATCATAACAAAGGCACAAATTTGATCCACAGGGCAAGATTACCTTATGCATAGGATGTGCATGTAACTTCCTTTCCAGTTCTTCTATTTGCTTGACCAAATCAACAATTTCGGGATCTTCAATTTTCATATCCTGGAAGTACATTCGATGAAAGAACCCTTAGAATGGCAGTGGTAATTTACAACCACAAAAATGCAGGTAACCTCAAGAGAAAACTTCATAATTTCTACTATTAGAAAGATCGAATGTCAGCCACTTCTACATAATTTATACTGGGAAAATTTAAAAATGCTCGTCTGAAAGGACTAAAAATGGTCTTTCCATCTCTCTAGTGACTACGTCTTTAGTACTGCTACTTATTCTTTAACGAGAAACCTTAACATACATCTTTAATCTCCAGGGGCGAGGCATACCAACATATATATATGATGATTGCAGAACTAGGTCCAAACCAATATGATATTTTTGGAGCAGTTACATATTACTAACACCATTTCTTTCTGTTTCATCCTTATAGATAAGATGCACTTTCTAACATTCAACTCACAGTCAAGCAGTTACCTTTACTGGATTAAGTTTTGGAAGACCTTCAGGAAACCGAGATCCTAGTTCTTCAAGTGCTATAAGTATACTTTGCCTTGCTTCCAATGGTCGGAGATCAGACGGAATGGTAATTCTCACTTTACTGAGAGCAGAAACCAGGGGCAGCTCAACAGGGACCTGAAGTAAGTACAGACTTGAGTCAGGATTGCGCCAACTCATGTCAGCATCTTTAAGAGTTACAGTGCAAGAAGAGAAAAACTAGAAGACATCTAAGAGAAGTGCCACAAATTTTATGGGGCGCATAGGCCGATATATCATATACTCTAGAGCAACAATAATACATTGCTTGGAAGGTGAAGGAGTTCACATCCAACTTCAAAAGTTACCACATGCATCTCTCCCTTCTCTCCAGGACGAGGAGGACAAGGTTTGGGCCTTGAGCCACCCTCACTTGATCCAGGTGTGCAGTGAAGTAAAGTATCCACTATGTAGCCACTACCACGAGAGGGTAGTGCACCCATCCCTGAAGAGGGCTTCTTCACAACATTTACTACAACTCCCCAGCCCCAGTCAGTTCCACCTTCTCTGATTCTGACCTGCAGAAAAGACAAACACACGTGAGGAGGATGTTGTTAATGATCTACATGGTAGCTTGTGAACACAGACACACATACTACCGAACGACAGACTAGAATATGAGTAATTTTCAAAAGAGCTTTTAACACAGACATAATACGCCTATGCTACAGACAAAAGATTCAAAACATAATCAAGGTGACATTTTGAAATGAGACAGACACCTAGTATTAATAGCAAAAATGATAAACCTCAAAGAAGACGACTTCCAAAATATATAGTTTCAGAAATCAGCCTTGTAGCTTCGTTCCGACACCAGTTATATGCTTATGTCCAGAACGTACCAGTCGGCCAGGGCATAAATAATAAAGTACTCTTTCAGGCCTTGTGATTTCAGTCATCATCTTTTTCTCAAGTTGCACGATCTCTAGCTTCAGCTTATGATATTCAGCAACTTTGCCCTAGCCAAAGTATCAGAAAGCTTTCCAAAGTTAGTAGTGCATGAAACCAAGTGATAACAGGAGAGGAAATGTAAACATGTGGAACATATTCGTTACATCTCCCGATGAAGCCAAGTTAGCAGCTTCTTGTTCAAGTTTTGAAACCTTGTTGCCGATATCAGGTAAAGCCTGAAAGGGGGGGTAATCAACAGTTTTAGTCACCAGACTAACTAATCACGTGTACAAAGAGATAGGGGCAAAACCAAACCTTTTCATATTGAAATTGGTGGAATGAATTCCTAATCACATGCTCGGCAGTGAACTGGCCTTCCGCACGGCTCATTAAGTTTAAAATGGAATAATAACTCAGCCTAAAAGTACTAACTAGAGGAGCTGGTTTACCCAGAACCATGTCCTTGAGAGTCTCCATCTCCATCTGCAATAGTTGCACAGGATCAGTAAATTGAGCAAGACAGTGACTTATCATCTTTCCTTCCCCAAAAGGGTAGCCATACAACAACTGTTGCTTAAACTTAATTTCACAAGTATTGCTGCATTATAAGTTAATGTTGACTAGGTTTAAAATATCTAGCATCCAACTCTATGCTTACCTGTTCGTCAATCATTATGATACAAATACCTCGGTCATCTTTGCCACGCCGTCCAGCTCTTCCACTCATCTAAATTGACAACAATGATATCGTATAATGGTTAGAACACTGACTCACTCAAACACTTATGCATGAGCATTGCCCTTGAAGTATCACTGCTCACCTGGATATATTCACCAGATCCTATGTGACGGTGACTATCACCATCAAACTTCTTAACAGCAGTAAAAACAACGGTCTTGGCAGGCATGTTTAAACCCATTGCAAACTGTCAAAAAGAAGAAAAAGAATGTTGCTTAAGCAGTTATTCAACACCTGCACTCAATTTAGCATTTACCTAGTCTGCCCCTCGAGCAGAGGAGTAAAAAGGAGACCACAACAATACAAGCCTCTTGACCAGCAAAAGGAGGATTACAGGGTAAAAAACAGAAGCAAATCCGAAAAACTCCTAAACGACATGATTGATCTCGGCTCATAATTCAAATGCCATGTATTTAGCTATTGAGCTTCAAAGTTTCGTGGATGTAAACTTACTGTTTCTGTAGCAAATAATGCCTTCACAAGGCCTTCTTGGAAAAGAAGCTCAACCAATTCCTTAATGACAGGAAGCAGGCCAGAATGATGTACAGCGATACCTCGCTGAAGTAGTGGCAACATCAATTCAATGGCAGGTAAACTTCTATCTTCTTCGTTCAGGCATTGTATTGCATTATTGAAGACTTGGTCCACCATTTCCTTCTCCTCCGGTGTATTAAAGTCCAACTTAGACATGGACATTGCATGTTGTTCACACTCTCTTCGACTAAAGCTAAAAACGATAACAGGTTGAAACTTCCGCTCCATAATCATCTGAAACAAAATTGACATATCTAAGGGCAGGGGGTAACTAAATTCAATCTTGGCCAGCTTAAAAAGAGAATAATTTGTCGAATATAATTTAGTAGACCATGCAGTTCTCAGAAAAGGGCTACCGACGTAAACAATTTGAAGTAAAAATACCAAATTTGAAGCTAGGGAAATGACAGCAAGAATATGTGGATGCTATTTTACAGAGATGAATTAAGAATAAGGGTCAATAATGAGCATATACTAATGTTCCATTGCAATCAACGATTGCCATTTCTGTACGATTTGCAGGAAACGTTTGGAAACTTTTGGATAGAGAGGTAGAGCACGAACACAACCATTACAATGTATTTCCTTCCTTACAGTCTTTTTTTTTTTTTTATGAATCAAATAAGTACCAATCTCGTCAACTCCCAAAAGCTTTTACTTGTTTACGTTATGCAGAGCAGACAGAAAAATGTATCCAAAAAGCTCTTCTTTTTAACAGAGGGCATAGTGAAGGCAATATGCCATCTAAAAATAACAATTTGAAGCCTGCATACCGTATATCAAGTTATACCTGGCACTTATATTGAAAAGTGAACAGACACTTGTAATGCCTTACAAGTCCATCTAAAACTCACCGAATAACACAATAATAGAAGAACTTTAACAGAAGACAAACCAAATAACAATGTTAATGAAATAGCTAAGCTACAGACCTTTACAATTTTGTATATGTCTGACCCTCCAGAAGCATTGCCAGGTTTTGCTATCCTACCGCCTGCTTTACCATTAGCACTCTTGTTCCCATCACCAGTTTTCTGTTTTGAGAAGGAATTCTGCAGCTTCATAAAATTCTCCTCTCTGAACTGTTCATTCTCATCCACAACAAGGTAAAGGCCAGATCCACCAACAGGGAAGACGTAATGCTGCAAAGGAGTTGGCCGAAAATCAGTGTACACCACATGACAAGGCTGCTTGTGCACACGACAAATCCACTCTGCAAACTCTGTAGCATTCGACATTGTGGCAGAAAGGAAAACCATTTTAATCTCTGGTGGCAAAAAGATGATACTCTCCTCCCAAACAACCCCTCTCTCACGATCTTTCATGTAATGGATTTCATCAAAGATAACCCATGCAACTTCCTTCAAAATCTGTGATCCCCGGTAAAGCATTCCCCTAAGAATCTCCGTTGTCATCACCAGAACACTAGCATTGGGTGAGAGCGTCACATCACCAGTCATCAAACCAACATCTTCAAACTCATGCTGCAACTCCCTATATTTTTGGTTGCTCAAAGCTTTTAGCGGGGAAGTATATATAACCCTCTGCTTATCTCTAAATGCCATTGCAATAGCATACTCAGCCACTGCTGTCTTCCCAGCAGAAGTATGCGCAGAGACGAGAACAGACTCCTTTCTCTCCAAACAGGCAACCGATACCTTCTGAAACGGATCGAGCACAAACTCGTAGGTTTTGGCCATCTCACCGTTGTAAACTGGATTAGACAGAGTTCCGTGAGTAGTTCCATCTTTAGGCGAAGTATAGTCACTAGGCACTGCAACCTCATGCACGCAACTGCGAGTCACACTTTGACGCTTCTGGGCAGGGGTATCCGCAACTTCGCCTTCCTCAGGTGTCTTCCTCTTCGAAGAAGGGGTTACTGATTGCTCCTCCATCATTGCTCGAGTAAACAAAAGATCAAATACCACCACCCTAGTTGCCCTAGCTAAATTTGTGGTGAATACACAGGCTTACTCCAACTTCAACTCGTCCCTAATTGAATTCAACCCAAAAAGCGAAGCGAAGTAAACACCCAACGGTAAGGAGATGAAAAACGAACATGAACAAAACCAAATCCCCTAGCTTCGGACCCAAATTGAACCTCACGTTCACTGATACTGCATCAAATGCTAACCAAAAAGACAGAGGCAAAATGTCTAACGAACCAAAGAGGACGGCGGGGAGCAGCGTTCTTCAAAGATTAATGCAGGGAGAGAGAGCAGAGTGAAGTACCGGATTCGCTCAACGAAGGTTGGTAGACAGGGGAGAGAAGAGTAGGCAAAGGGAGCTTGCTCGCCTCGCTTCGGTTTTCCGAGGAAACAAACGGCAACCAGAAAAGAAAAACTACAGAGCCAAAAAAATTGTAAGGCTTACCAAAGTACAAACAGGCGCGGAAACAAGTTCGGCAGATGGACCTTCGTAAAAATGCCCTAGCCCAAGCTTCGAGAGGCCGGAGATCTTCTCTGTGTTTTATTTTTCAGCTTGGAAAGGGCCCAATTACGGCGCCGGTTTTTCCCCCGGCAGGCCGCAGGGGTATCTCACGAGAGAAAGGACAAGATACCACAAAATACACGGAACTTTGTAGGTCGAATTACAAAAAATAATTATGAAAAAGGCCATGGTCGACCAACTAACAATCCAAGGACAAAATACCTTTTTTTCATTTTTACCACTTAACCATTTCATATTCTAAAACTATGTTATCACTAATCAACCTCTCTTTAATAAAAGCTTGTTGATTAGTACTAATAACATAGGCATCACTTCTATTTGAGCTACAACTAGCAATTTGATTGTGCTACCTTCACCCTTTCATGAATGTCTGAGCAATAAGTCTTGTTTAACTTTCTCAATCTCATATTAATTTGCTTCAGTTTCTAGCATAAATAATACATTGTTGAGCCTTCTAATGCATGTTGCCACTTGCCAACCCTATGTCACTAGTCTAACATAGTTAGGATGAAGTCTCCAAAAATTGAAGTACATGAAGGGCATGAGAAGTGTCATAATTGCTGAGTATGTGTGAATAAGGATCCCATAACGATCTAATAAATTTGGTGGCAAGATTGAGACTATACCGTTTCGAAAAACTTCAATTCATAAGCTATTAACGAAAGATTGATCCAATCTTTTTACTATTGGATTCCTCTCTTAACTTTTCTTGTCCATGCAAGCCATGGACCTACTATATCATATGATCCTCCGACTACATTTTATTTATCCATGTACAAACGTTATGTGTACTCTCACCCAGTTCCACCGAGTTGGAAGCCTCAGTAACTTTTATTATTGCATTAAAATCCCCTGCCAATAAGCATGATTTGATTTTGTCTATCTTTGACTTCAACTTATGATACATTCTTTATATGTGGGCCACTTCATTGGAGCCATGCACAAAAGTTAGTTGTGCTTCCTTTCACACTTCAATTTGAGAAATGGTTCGTTGTTTTCTATAATTATAAAATTTAAATCTTTTCTCCATAACACCCAAATCCTCCCCACTTGTGTTTAGGGTTATGTGTCACAAAACTTCCATTATGAGAAGTGATCTTCTAGACAACCTAATTACTAGAGGTGGTAAATGGATTGGATCCATGGAGCAAGTGGATTGAATTGGTATTTTTATAAATTTGATCGTATGGATTTGTGGATTGATCCATGGATCCAAATGACATCCAAGTCTTGGATCAAAATGTAAAATTTGAAAAGTTTTGGTACTAAAATTTCACAAGAAAAAATTTTAGACAACAAAATATAATTTCCCAGTGATATTTTTTGTATAAAAGATAAATTTTAGGTACCAAAATATAAAATATAAAAAGTATAGATATTAAATTATAATTTGTCATTTGAATTCATGAATCAATCCATAAATCCATCAATCTAATTGGATTTGGATCAAATAAATTGAATATTTAAATAGAGCACAGTGCATCTCATTGTTCAAGTGCCAGGGACCAACAAAATCCTAATTTGACAATCTCTACTACTACTCCATAGCTGGTTGGCGCAAGCTTGCACCTGGCAGATATGAGGTGTAGAAAATCGAAGAGATGAACAAACACAAACACACACGACTGGAAATTTCACACAGCATTTAGCAAACAGCCGCTAGAGTCTAGACGACATTAATTCTTCCGATCACTATCGTGCATCATATACATGTGAGTGCAAAATGGCGGAATAACTGAAACCAAAGGACTGGGTAAGCAGGAAAAAAGAACCTGACAAGGTGACCTGCAGTTAGCAACTCAGCTCAGATGAACACTCGCGGATTAGTACACAAAAAAACCGCCGCAACCAATTGATGTTAAAAGGTGGCGACTGAATTCCAGACATCAGAGTCAAAACCGTATGTATCTTATCATTTCTTATCCACCTCCCTACAGCTTTTGACAGAGTATCAAAAATCGAATCAGCACCTCCCCTTGCTGACTGGTTTCAGTCTTCTTCCTCATCCGCTTCCCTCAACCACTGCACCAGAAATGCATCAGATAAACGCATTAGTGTATAATCTCCAACTTTCAGCCAAACGGTAACATTGCATAATGTGGGTTCAATGAGTTCTGTTGTTTACTTGAATGAACTTCTCTGATTGTTTCACGAAAACCCTGTCAGATTCATCTGCATCTTTTCGCTCGTCGTCCCACCTCAAAATGGCCTCCTCTCCTATGATCTCTCTTTCATATAGAAGATACAAAATCTAGAAGGAAAGAAATATTTGAGGCACTTTCGTTGTAGATTGGAAATAAGAAGAGACAGCGAGCTTCAATGCTGATGTTATTTGAGAATGCTGGGTACCTGGGAGAAAATTGGAGCAAACTCCTTGGTAGACTCGAGACACATTTCTTCGAATTTCATTATCAGTTCAATCTGTACCAAGGGGGAAAATAGAGCATCCGTTCAAGTAGAGGGATTGCATAACTATCAACATTTTAGAAAAGTGAACAAGGGCTTGCAAAAGTTATTGGATAACCTTTGTTCACCAAGACCGCCTTGAGGCAGCCAGATGGAAAATCCATAAACACAAGTTATTGCCCGTTAATTTTAATCGATGAGTAAGCTAAAAATTCAAAAGAAATATAATGATAAGCCGGACAAACCTGGTCATCTACTTCTTTAGCAAGAACCTCAAATAGTTTGTGCCACTTGCTCACAACACTAGCGACGTTCTTTTGCAATTCAACTGAGAACAATGGAAAAACCATCAACCAACCCATATAGAAGCATTAAAATCATTCAATCATTTTTGAAGCACTTATGAGAACAGTGCAGGAACAAATGCCAGTAGCAGGGAGAATCCAAGGTATTAGATACACGAGGACATACACCAAACTTCCGACATATACAATACACACACACGCCCACGCACGGATGGAGAACTTCAAAGACGAGTTCAAAAAGAGAGAATAAAGGAATACTGCACAAGTACAACCTGGAAAAATATGGACACCAAGGTTCGATAAATTTTACTACAGAAACGAGAAATATACATGTTGCCCAAACTATTACCAGCTGTGTTGTGCGGAGATTCCAAAGCCAGTTTCATCATTGGATAAAATAAGGCTCCGGTACAGTCCCCAGCAGACTTGTTGTATGATAACCTGATAAAATGTAATGCAAGTCTGCCTTCAGTATACATGTGGGACAAAGGTTAGAACATTAATCTCTCCGTGTTCAAAAATTTAGAAGCTTCAGGCTAGTGCTTGTTCAAGCATCTACTAAGGTAACACGAGAAGGTTCAACCTATATATCAAAACTATAGCTCCTCTATCAGAGTAAAATGCTCATCGACATTCAATACCCACATGTAATACTATGTTGACTAAATAATGAAAGTTTATTCTTAGATGGGACATGGGAGACTTTGCGTGCATTGATATATGTTGCATAGAGTTCAGAGAAAAACAGTCACTTAAGGATACAAAGCAAGCCATGGATTTGTTCCCTAACTAGTCCTATCAAGCATTAAAACTTACGCGTTCAATAAGACAACAATATTAAGACATTAGTTCACGTCTAGAGAGTAGACATACCGTAGTGAGTTCATTTCAAGGATCAAATCATCGACTGCAATATTGTCCTGGGCAGCCCTCAAAAAGGTTGCTTCAGCCTGAACACCACCCAAATTATTAAAATAGTAGTTTATTCATCTATCTGCAAAATTTATCATCAAGGAACCCAATTACACACCTCTTTCTCAAAATCAACAGTGTCAACATTGGAGTCATCCATATTATCAGAGTCATCGTCGTCAGACCCAGGTTCCAGCTCTCCAGAAGGTGTAAGAGCACTGTCGCTAACTTTTACGATCTCCAAATCCTCCTCTATGGCTAGCAATGCCTTGGCAAGCTTATCTGTAGGAATGGGTGCAACAGAGTGCCTCCACTCTTCCTCACAACCTCCATCACAAGCTGACCAAATAAAACCAGCACCACCAGGTCCAAGCTGCTCAGCCAATAGAAAGGAATTAATTAAATGCATGTAACTTCCTTGATAAATTAAGACCGCAAGTTTGTGCAGTGCTGATATGTGCCATGGCATGACAAGACCTACAAAGCTCAACCATGAAATAAATATAAAAAAATACAAAGCTTAAGATATGCAAGGACAGAAACGGTACTAAGATATCTGGTCCCAGTTGATGACATTGTTTACTGATAGAATCATCTGTTTTGGGATCTATAGGTATATTCTCTATGTAGGACTAGATCGGAAAAAACAGAACATACATATAACAGGCAGAGTTCTGGAAGCAACAGATTCTATAATGTCTATTGCATAATCCAATAACAAAAAAAAAGTTCATGCAGAACAATCAATCTTTTAAGGAAATCAACACCGCAAGCACACATGACAGCTAACCTGCGAAGTAGACCAATCTTGCATTTGAGATGATTCAGATACTATATCCCCATTCAACTTGTTACCAGCATCTGCAATGGCTAGCACATAGAAGTTGCCGGACAAATAATTGCACTGTCAGCCTCTTGTTAGTAAAATACCAAAAATATACAATTCACCTCATCTCTACCAATTTCCAGTGCATCAAGTAGAAAAGAAAATAGTTCAACTCACAGGCTGAGGTAAGACAGGATCAGAACTCACATGGATCTATTGCTCCACTGCTGCTATCAGCGTACTCCAACTCTTCATCACTATCCTGAGCAGTTGGCTGCTGAAACAGAGACACTTTCGAGTAGGCAGGAACAACAAATTCTCTTCCAATTACAACCTACAGAGAAACAAGACCAAAATTATGTTTCAGCCACAAGTATCCAATGATCAACAACAGAGATAAAAAATAAAAATAAAAAGAACTTGGCAAATTTCAAGCTGGACGCAGTTCTACTCTACCTCAAACCACTTTATTCCAACAGGAGATACAAAAGGTTCAGGCTAGTCATATACTGGAAGTCAATCACATTAGCAAGGAAATAATGAAGTCAACAGGGAGTTAGTCGATATAACCTTGAAAGACAGTACAACCCCAGGTTCCAAAGTCGCAGCTGCTTTTATAATCACACCGTCACATACTATTGCATGTCGCAGCTCACAACCATCCTCAATGGTAACATTGTTCCATATGTATGAACCCACTATTGAAACATTAGATCCAATAGTACATCCTTCTCCAATAACAGAATGAGTGATTCTTGAATCATCCCCAATTCTGGTCCCTTTTCCAATAACAGTAAATGGCCCAATATGAGCTGACCGTGACTGTTGTATTTCTGGAGGAGAATGAGATCCAAAATAAATATTCGACATAAAAGCTCATCACCACACATAAAGCAAGTAGGAAAAGCTCCCATAATGGACTCTCTAATAACGATCCTAAACTGCATGTATGAATAAAGTGTTCTATAAAGACTAGGAAGCATAGAATGCTGGGGAAGGAAGCCATATAAGCTGAAATTACAAATACAGACACAAAGATAAGAACAAGAATTCTACAGGCATTTTCCACAAATATCATTGACGATATGACACCATGCTCTTGGGTATCACCATATGCATTTTGAGCACGAACAATTACCATTGATGAGACAGGATACACAGCCAAAATGTGGCACATCCTTTAGACACTAAACGCCTATATATATCATCATACAGATCTTTATACATTTCATTCAAAATGTGCTTTATGTGTCACACTGCCGAACTACTCTCACCATGGATGACTAGACAAACTCATGAGTACAAAAGCAACCTCCACAACAGCAGGAATGACATGAGGACTAATTAAATATAACTCTAAAAACCAGAAGTGATATGCAAAAACAATAGATGTCGAGTTTCAAGGTTGAAGGTTCACAAAATTTACTACCTGGTGCCTTGTACATCCCCTCTCTTTCAAGTTTAGTCGTGCAATTTGCAGAAAATCTCACATCTGGCACAAACGGGTATGTCCACCTCTGAATGATATCTTTACTGATTGTGTCATAGCTTCTATAGTTATCAATCCTAGCCGCATAGCTAGAGTGAATTTCATGAGTAAATATTTTGTACCCCATTATCTGAAAGGTGAAAAGCAGAGAGTTCAGAAGACAATAAAGACTTAGAATAATGATAATCGCACAGCTAATCATAAGGAAGATTTCAACGTTGCCAATGTACTAGAGTTGAGTACAGCTAACTGTAAGATGAAACCAGTAGACACTACTTCGATTGCAAAATCTAACTCGGCAAAGTCTCACAATGGAATCCCTCTGCTGACGGCCAAAGATATAAAAAAAATTATATATAACCCCATTTGATCAGCAGATCACAGCACTAAGTTAGCTGCATATAAGTTTTACAAACATATGTTTGATCTATTTATTTGTGTATGAATCTTTGCACGTGAATTTTTGCACAAAAGTACCACATTATGATGCATAAACTATATTGCATTGATAAAATAAATAAACAACCGTCTGCTTCGAGGAGTTCTAGAAGAAACATACATCATCAACCAGCAAGCCTTTCACAAAATGACGACGAAGATGTTGATAGTCAAAATTGTCCGTAAACAAACTCAGCACCTCTTGGGAGCATATATCTATATAGCAATCCTGCAATGGCAGTGCAAATAAATTTGTTGGAACATATTCAGAGAAGATCCCAACACCACAAAAATAACCACAAAAAGAAACAAACAATATTAAAAATAGAAATCCCATAGATTTGCATATAAAGAAAACTAAAGCGAAGCATGTTGAAGGAACTAGCCTGCTTATCATTATGAAGCGAGATAGAAGGATTATCAGCAAGTAACGAATTTTCAAGAGATATAGCTCCTCTCGGGTGCTCTCCTCTCTCCTCGTAGCAGAGAAGTTGATTTGTATCAGGATCAATGGCCATAAACAGCTCATCAGTACCTAGACGCGACTGGTGGATGACTGGAGAAGGCTTTGATTTCTTGATGACCATGGTCATGACTGCGTTATTGTCCTTCTTTCTTCTCTCCTTGTGTTCTTTTACCGCGTGAGTCAGTGACATGTTGCTCACTGTATCCCCACTGACTAGGACAAAGTCCCCATGTATCTTCAGGAACAACGCAATATCCGATCAGAATCATACAGCAGCAACAAGTTCACAATTAACACTCTCATCCTAGAAAAAACAATGCCATACAAAAAACGGATCAGAGAGAGCATTTAATTCTTTCTTCTGAATCCGGACAAGTACTAGCATTACACAACCACAAGCAATTCACAGAAAGTGTTCAAGCAGCAAGGCAAGCTCACCACATTGCGCTCGTATATCAACCTTAAAGCATCACCGGCGCTAATCGAATTGTTCGACTCGATCATGGCGACGGTGAAGTTAGGCTGCTTGTGCCATCCCGAGCTCTCCAAGTAATCCATGACCTGCCTCGAATGCGCACAGCAGAAAATGAAAACTTCCTCGACGCCAGCCGATTCCAGCCAAGCGAGCGTGTAGTCGATCATCGGAACGTTCACCAACGGCAGAAGCACCTTGCAAGCCAAGCACGAAAGAGGATAGTAAGCAAGGACGTTACAGAAAGCGTAAGAGCAAGCAGCAGGAACTGTTACTGAGGAAACCGTACTTTAGGGCGCTCGAGGGTGATGGGACGGAACTTGGTGGCGAAGCTATCGGCCAAGAGAATGGCCTGAAGTGGATTCCGAGCCAGCTCCTCGGCGTCCTCCGAAACCCTGCTCGAGCCTTTCTTCTGCGCGCCCATTGCTACTGCTGCCTGGATTACTGGGACTAGCTTAGAGATTTGCTGAGGAGGGAAAGAAAGAACTGATGGGAGCGTAACCCGTAAACCCTATTTGATGGAGTGATCGGAATTTCATAAACCTTTTGATGCGAAGCGGAGAGATGACTCCCGACGAAATGTTTGGGTGTGGTTCGGTTCCACTGTTTCCAGATTAACCGAAAGTTGGACCGTACATATCGGTCATGTACTCATGTTCCACCCAGAATCATTTCTACCATGGTTCGGTTTGGTCTTTTAGTTTCTTATTGAGACTTGTGTCTTCGACATTACGATTCAAAACATCTTATCTTAAAACATCAATTAATCTATAAGGTCGAGTATAATGTAATCCAAAGCATTATTATGAGAATACGATAAATCTATTAAGTAATAACTAACTAACATAATCTTGTTAACACGAGAGGAAAAGTGAAAGAGTTAAGAGAGATTTGAGAGAAATTAATTACATTTTGATTTGGGTGACCGCTCAATTACATTTCTACCATTTATTATTTTGAGTTATCCTCGTTATCATTGATAGGTTACAAATTTTATGCTTATGTATTTTATACGTGCATAAATGCTTTTGATGGGGCGGGTATGGTATAGGTATGAGTATGAGGCGTGGGAGGTTAAAACCATAACCATACCCTACCTATACACATCAAACGTTTTGCGCGTTTTACCCAAACCCGTCACATACCCAGTCAATGCAGGGATTTCTCGCGTTGACTGGGTCGAGGGCGGTCAAGTACCCGCGGTCATGGGTTTGATTGTCGTCCCTAATCTTCGTCTATGAAATTTGTGATTTTCATTCCTGCGTTTTTTGTAAGTTTTAGGCATTGTTTTTATAACTGGAGCGGGAGCTGAACCGAAAAATTTAGTGGTTTTTGGTTCAACGATTAATTGTTATACGATCATTGGTTAAACGTTAATAGAATCGTTCACGTGCTATAATATAAAGAAATATATATATTTATAATACACTATTTTAGGAGGAATGTATCACAAACCATAAACAATTTCAAATGTATAACATCCTATCACCTAAAATTCTTACAAATCCTTGAAACAATCTCACCAAAAAAAAAAAATTATTAAATTTTACTTAATAATCATGGTGGTAATCCGTAGCGGACATATAAAGTCGACAAAGAGGATTAGAAACAGGAAAAAAAGAAGCATAGATAAAAGTAGTAATTAAAGTGGGATGGTCTTAGTTTATGTTAAATTATTTTGTTTCTTAATTTTTATGGTTAAAATATGAACCATTGGACTAGTCAAACGAGAGTGGTTCATATTATTTTATGGCAAACTACTAAATACCGCTTGGTCCATCTCGAATCGTCAATTCAAATGAACTGAATCGTTATTGTAACTGGTTTGGTTGTTCTACTAGTCCAACTCTTGATTCGATTCGATTCTTATAACAATGGTTTGATGAGATCCACAAACACAAAAACCAAAAACACAACGATGCTTACAAATAGTATATGAATGATAATTCGATGTTTTCACGAGTGTGCAAAATATATGAAGATGAATTGCTATTTTGTTTACAAGTGTGTTCAGTCTCGTGACATTCTAACTCTCAAAGTTAGCAGTCACTTGCAACTTGCTGATATACCCACCAACAAACTTGGTGCTTAACGAGTTTATTTTTACTAGGGTGCTTCATAGTTTCATACTTTCGAATCTGAATGTTCGTAAGATTCACGATCCATCTTGTGAGGGAGTATTTAGCTTGTCACAAGCACATAAGGGAGCCCAAATTTCTAATGCACAAGCATGTCTGCTTCTCGTACCATCCATGCACAAGGAGTCTAATGTTCGACTTCGACAGAGGCTAGTATTTGTTGGAAGTGTTGTCCATCCTGAAACCACAAAATATTTAATTCACAGTTCACTTTGCTAAAATAATTTAGTTTTAAACTTAGAATCTCTTTAAAATAGGAATTTATTCCCCAAATCATGCATGTTTCGAAATCCGATCAACATAAAATATTATTTCTAAAATAAGAATCTACAACAATGAACCACATTATATGTCAGCGATATTCATGCCAAAATTCAAAAAAGGAGTCAAAGATGAAGATTCACCAAGAAATTTAAGAATATTGTCCTGGTAATAATATGAGAATAAGAACATGTAACACACTCTATGTTCGGACCTTATAGTCAACAATAAATAGAAATTATTTACCACAACACACTACAAGAAAACGTGGCTATTGAAGCAAATAATTAGAGACAATTATAGTAATAGTCTCGATAGCTAGACTATGGCAACAAATATATTATTTGTCTCTCTATGTCATATTATTTGTCTCTATTACATGATATTTTTTTATAATTTATAATAAATAAATTCAAATAAAAAGCTTTAGAGACAAATATAATATTTGCTACTGTATAGTATGTTACTCAAACTATAAATGATATATAGAGGGAAATCTAATTGCTTCTAAAGTTGTTTCGTTTTTAAATAAAATAATTTAATATATTTAGTATTACAGTCACTAATAAATGTACTTATATATGTATATAATAATAATTACGTGTAATGCTTTGCATTCCCTACAAATGAAGGGGGGAGAGAGAATCTGAGCGGGACATGAAAATTTGAAACAAAGAGAGGGTAAACGAGCGGGATTGAAATATTCGAAGTACAAAAATTTCGCTTCTTCCGAAAGGGAAACTGTGAAGCCAGCCACGCTTATTTACCCTTTATAATAATAAAATTGCTTTCAATAACAACACCTAATATTGGCTGTTAAAATAACGAGAGAGAGAGAGAGGGAGAGAGAGAGAGAGTCCCTTTGTCTTCCATACTCTCTTCACTAGTTCTTCTTCCCCGGCTCCCACATTGGATCCCATGGAGATGCCAGCAACGACTAGAAGAGGCTTCTGATGTCTAGTATTGGTGGTGGGAAATTGAAGCAGAAGCATAACAATGGTAGTTGTGGCAGAGGCGTCGTAATGGGTCGACCAAGGTAAAGCGACGGAGTCTTCACGGCATAACACAATAATACTGCAGATCGACAATGAAAACGGTATGTATTTGAGTAAAATCAAATAAAATTATTGCCGCTCTTCCTGTATGGGTGTTTAGGGTTTCTAATCCCGTCTTTTGGGCGTTTGCTTTTTTCAATTTCAAGTATCTCAGACAATTGTTTCAAGGCACGCAAGCATTAGCATGCAGCGCTCTGGAAACTAGAATGCTGAACATTGAGGATTGGTAATTTATTGTTTCACGCTCGTGTTTGTCAATTCATACATAGTAAAACTTGATTGAATATATTAATTAGGTTTCTTGATTTTTTAAGCTATTTGTTCTTATTCTCCTTTCAGGATACAATTGTCGAGTTTTTCAAATATGCTCGAGATGCTTAATGATGATTGGTGGTGACAAGTAAAGGCAAACCAAGACATGGGTTACGTGATTATCTACATTTTTTGTTCAAGGGCAGCAACAACAATGGAAAAGTGATAAGGGAGAAGAAGAGCTCAGTAGTCCTTCTCTGTTAGGATACAATTTTTAGTGTACTTTTTCCTTGTCCAACTATATAATAAGCATTGAAAATTGTGGAAAATCAATGTATTTAGTTTTTTTTAACAAATGTATGTATTTAGTTTGATGTATTCAACTTTCATGTATTTTACGAATCATGTAAACGTTGATCTTTTTGATTTGTTTAATCAAAATATGCTTACTTTTTATTAAATAGAGCCAATTATAAGAGAAATATTATTGCAACAAGCAAAAATAGTAAAAAAAATTATTTGCTTCGAAAAATGTATTCATTAGAGACAAATATTCATGTCTCCATAAGGAACTTTAGAAGCAAATATAGTTGCATCAAAAGTTAACATTGCAAACAAATGTAATTGCTTCTAAAAGTAAATAAAAAGGTAAGAGACAAGCTCTTAAAGATAGAATCCGAATGCAATAAATTTGCTTCTAATTTCACAATTAGTAGCCTATGTTATTTGCATCTATATTTGACTCTAAAAGGAATTAGAGACAGAGGCGTCCGATGCAAATAACGTATCTGCCTCCATAGATATATAGAAGCAAATAAATGTCATTTAGAAGCAAATAATCTCTCCCTTTATAGCCAAGTTTTTTTGTAGTGACAGAAATTCTCTTTAGCGACGGAGAAATAGTCACGAAAACAGTATTATTCGCGGTAGTCACATAATCATATCAGCAATACTATTAGCGGACCAAATTATTTATTTGGCAACGAAGCAGTATTATTCGCCACCAAGAATCATATTAACTTATTAAGGCAACCAGTGTTCATTAATTACCATTTCATTGAGATACCAAATTAATTGAAGACAGAGAGTTTGGTCCGGTTCTGGAAACATATATCACTACAACCAGCGAGAAACACAGTCGAGATGCATTACAAATGAATTCATTTCACTTTTAACGTAGGAACTCGGAAGAACAATAATACTGCACATTTGATACACTCAAATAGCTGGACACTAATATCATGGATTCCTCTTTCTACAATGGACACAAGGGGTGAAAATATCAGGACATGAAGATACATACTAATCCCTTAACCGTAGCAAGAACCTTTCTATTACCACAAGCCATACCGCCCAAAACTGGATTATTCACTGACTGGGGAAAGCTACATTATTTATTATCTCCAAGCTCTTAACTCTGCCTGGAACAAAAATTTCTTACAGTCGTTCGAGCTCGGAGCTCGAGCTAGCTCTGTCAGCGAAACGCCCAGTTGACCGGTGCAGCAGGGGGGTTGGCGTGGGACTATGGACGGAAAGAAGAAAGCTAGCCAAATATGAACAGAATGTTCCCTACTAAGGGTTCCAAATATGCATGGAACAAGAATATTGTTAGCACTTGATGGAATGAGCATAAAAAAGACTACCCCTCCGCTGCTGTTTTCAATTTTCATCATGCGTTGCCATTGTCTGAGCTGCTGCAGGCTTGATTCGGAAGGACA